TAGACCATCAAATCCTCAAGAACTGTTTAACCTCTGCCATGCTGCTCTTTGGAACATAGTTGAACAGATATTTGGAGTTCTGAAACATCAATGGTGTATACTTCAGCTCACACCAGAATTCAGTCTTGAAATACAAGCAAGAATTCCAATGGTACTCTGTGCCTTGCATAACTTCAGTGTAATGTTTGACCCTGACATATTCCCCCTCAGTGAAGACATTGATTTCCAGAAAGATGACTATGACAGTCTTCTTCCTGAACTTGGAGGTGAGGTGCCAAGTACTGCAGAGAGGCAGCATGCAGAACAGTGTCATGAGGAGATCGCTCAGTCGATGTGGGAAGATTATCTGGATGAGCATCACCACTGTGGAATACCTCCACCCACATAAACTGATAGTACTATGTGGCATTCATGTATTGTTCATTTATTTTCATCAGTCACATCCAATTGTATCATGTTCAAATTGCATCATATTGTCCAAAGAAACTGCAGTAAAAGATGATACATGCTACATTGTATACAGACTTTGTGACAAACTACTCAAATGACATTACCTGACTTGTGAACTTGTAACAACTTCCACTGGATCCACCCAATGTGATGTTCTCCTCAATTTTGTTGAAGATAATAATTTGGTTCACATTGCCAGGAGCAGCAAGGTAGTTGAGTATCTCAAAGTGATCCAGCTGAGGCATATCAAGGGCATTAATAATAAGCATTGCCATCTCCATACTTTCTTCAGCAGCTGTCTTTACTGGTGCAGAGGGCATGGGGCTCATAGCAAGGCCACTGAGACTTTGCACCATTTGCTGCAATGCATCTTGGCCTTCCATCTGCATCTTTGCCTGTTCACTGAGCAGGCAAGACTGTGTCTGCTTGGACACTGACCCAGCATCAGAGCCTGTACTTTCCACCATCTTGTGTTTTCCACAACTGACACTGGTCAGTGCTGAGGAGCTACTGGAGACTGTGGAAGGTGCAAGGAACATGGAGGGGAGTGAGGGGGCAGGGGAACTTGATGCTGGTGTGTTGGGAGTTTGAGGAATGACAAAGGGAGAAAGTGAAGTTGATGCCACCTGGTTGGAAGTCAACTGGGTGCTGGGGGTGGGTGTATCTGTTTTTTTCTTGGATTTTCCTCTTGGAGGACAGACAACATATTTGCCCTTCTCTGTTCCAGGTGAGAGCTGGTCCATGAGATGGAGGTGAGGCCACCTGGTGTGAGTCAAAGTGTGGTTCAGTGGTGAAAACCAACCAAAACCAACACAAAAGACAAAAAGAGCAAGTGGTGGTGTGCCTATATGGTACCTAGATGGTAGAACCTGTTCTTTGGGAGGGTTTTTGCAAGCTATGACACTCAAAGACAAGTGCTGGGGGATGGGGGTGCTCCTGACAAAGAGGGAGCAAGAATGTGATAGAAAGTGATAGGGTAGACTGCTGTCAGCCTACAGAAGGATGGATGACAACTTAATTCAATGCTCTGGGCTGCACTGAGCTCAGGGAGGGCTTGGAGCAAAGTATATTGATGATAGACAAGGATAAGTGAAGTAGATGATAGTTAGACCCTTAATAAAGTCTCAACTATTGAAGCTGCTGAATGAATTACTGAGTGATGATAAAATGCAAGCAAGAGGGGCTCTCTCTGATGTCTTCTTTTTTTTTTTTGCTATCTAAGTACAGTGATTTATATACAGTACAGGGGTGTTGCCCTTGGAAAACAAGGTGCAAACACTTGGTAAGTGATTGGTAGCTGATGAGTAAGGAATGTAAGTGATGGGTAATTGTCTTGGAAAGCATTGGTAAGCATTGGTAAGGATTAGCAAGCCAAAAAGGTGAAGGATCAGTAAGCAAAGTCAAAAGATTGGTAAGTATTAGCAATAGGTGAGTCAAAGACAGTCAAAACATCAAAGTATGAGTCAAGTAATGTCAGGAACTAGGAAAGTGCACTGGAATCACATTAGGGGGAGGCTGTGCATGTCACATCTTGAAGAGATCACTTCTAGGCCAAGGTGGGATGACAGAGAGGCAGCACTGATCTGATGCTGATATAGTACATCCAAAAGTGGACAGGGTGAGTCAGATGTCAACAGGGGTCAAGCTTTGGGGGTCTGTGGGGTGACAGGAGCATAGGGGATCACAACTTTCCCCCCCAAACCATCCTCTCAGTGAAGCAAATAAAAACTTCATGATTGAGGCTCTGTTGGAAGAGAGGATGAAGGGGGAGTGTCTTCTGCTGTTTCTTGCAACAAGGAGGCAAGATGTGCATCATACTTGTCATGGATGCAATCAAGGAGAGTGGAGAACAGTAGATTATACTGTAGCTGTTGCAATCTTGGAAGAATGACAGACAAGACTGGTACAAAGACATTGCAGGGAGCAGGGAGGAAGGATCCATATGCTTCTTGGACTGGAGAGACTGAAATGACCACATAAGACCTTTCCAAGTGAATGACAGACCTGAGGCAACCAAAGAATGTCCTCCTGGAGGTCATACTGACAAAAAGAACATACTGTCCAAGCTGGATGGGCTGAGAGGGTGCTGACAAGGGTGGGATGTACCAGGATGCTTCAGGACAGAAGCTGGTAGGAACTCCTGGTAGATATATGTAGCCATGGTCCCTAGCAAAGGGGACAAGCAAAATGATTGACATGGAGGTGGCCATATCAGAAGAATTAGCAAAATGAGCATCTTTTGGAGGGAGTGCTGTAGAAACATGTGGAGTGCACAAATCCTTTCCAATTTTGGAAGGTAGAATTGCATGGCTGAGCACTACAAGCAAGTGTGGGAATGGTCTCAGTATCTGCAGAGACAGCAGAGATATGTTGAAAACTGGAATGCTGTACATGGGTGCTTAAGAATTTTAACCAGCACTTAACTTGCTCCCTTTCTTTTTCTTTGGCACTGATGACTTGTTCTTGTGTGAGGGATGACTGCCAACATTTCTGGCTGTCCTTCTTCACATGAGGGCTATGGTCTTCATCTCCATTCATCAGCTGTGTCCATGTCCACCTCACCAAACACCTTTGGTGTGTGACACTGGTGTTCTTGAACTTCTCTACTTTGCAATTAGCCTACAATTATGGTAAGCATGTGTGATCACAGGTAGATAAGAGCAATCAATACCTGCACCTGTGCAAGCCACTGAGGATCATTGTCATCTGTAATTCCACAACCATGCTTGTCCAACCAAGTCCAACCTGATGCACTCCTGAGATCATTCACAAGAGCATACATCCTTTTGAGCTACAAAGACATCAGACAGCAAGATAATAATAAGATGCTACTCACATCCCCATGGTACTTGCTTTTGCATGCTTATGTATGCTTTGGTGCACCTTTGTACACTGGAAACTTGGCTCTCAAATGAGCTGCTGCTGCCTCAAAAACTGTGTCCTTGAACCCTCCATCACCAGCATGATGCAAAGACTCAAATAAGAATTCAAGGAGAGCAATCTCCTCCTCCATGTTCTGGAGACAGCTTTGTGCATGGTAGGTCTTTTACCAGCATTCTGCAGAATGGTAGGATCCACTGGGCCACTTGAGTGAAGAGAATTGCCTAGATCCATTACTGGATGAATCAGACATGTCAGGTGGCTCACTGCATAGGACTCCCAGGGGAGTGATGAACAGGACAAGGTTACCTAATCATGTTCCCACAACCTATGTCACATGACACCATGAGAGAAATTTTCCATATCTTTTTTTTTTCAAAAATTTTCAACTGGCATTCCAAACAGGGCCTATCTGATGCAGCAAGTGGACCATAATTTATTTCGCCCCTCAAGGGGGCTTGGTTACATAATACAAAAATAAATTACATCCCCCCCGAAAATGTACTCCTCGTAGCATGATCGCAATACCTGAATTCGACATAAGCTGCGTTTTCAATGCTATTTCGAATTGGCTTACACCATAGGAGTCGATCCAACCAAAACTGTGGACAGATTGTGGTTGTCAGCTGTGTTCCAACAGACATGAAAAGAGTCCGCACGGACATAGATGAACCGAGCGGATCAAATAGAGGGCAGAAATCAACTTTTGCCTTACCCTAATCACGACGGATCATGCCCATGTACCACCATCAGGGAAATCAGGTATCTCCCATGTAAGAGGTTTCTCTGGTGCAATAGATGCGGTGAATGGGGATCAAGCTCTTCGACCGAAAGATTTGCTTCCGGGGCATCCTCGTTCGGCCTGTGGTAAGTAATGTTTCACGGGCAAAAATTATCCCGGGCCCCGTCAGCATGTGCCATGCATCGTCGAGCACAGAGCTACCCACGACGGACTGATCATTCATAGCCACATAGCGTAATCTCGCGAGGCCCATCAGCGGTGCAAACGGAGGGACGTGATGTGATTAGCGCTGGCAAGCTGGATCATAAGAAACGGTGTGCCTCCGGGATTCCACCCAGATTCTTCGAAGGGGAATCCCTGGGTCAACACCATGAACCTCCAGGAATAGAGCGGGGATTCCCATGATGGGTCTATCGCGGCGACCCCCGCAAAACCGCTCTAATCTTGGATGCCTGGGAGACTCAAGGGAAACATGTGACGTACGTGCTTTGCGCTTGACTTGGACAGGCCGGAGTTGCTCCAAACTTCTGCGGAGTTGACAGGTCGCTATATTCATTTCAGCCTTGCCGGCTTGTGAGGCGCCTACCAAGACGGCTGTACTTGGCTAAAGCAGACCATATACCGTCCAAGGATCGTCCTATAGTTGGACTCTTATGTTGGCGATATGACACGGAATGTTGCTTTCATACCCTCTCCATACGCGTGCTTCAACTGAAGCAAATTGCAGAGGAAACAGACTAGTTCATTCGCACCTTCAGGGATATCCAGGGATTGCTTTATTGTCATCATTGACAGTAGATACCAGTAATACCAGAAGCTCGACGACATCCGCACTGTATGTATAACAACAGCGCAGGCGTCACTCGTCGCTTCCCTCTTCACGCATTGAATAACGCAGGTTACGCTGAAATACTGCACTAACCACTTGTCACAGGTACAGGGCCGGAACGAAACCTACTTCCGCTGCCTTAAAGAGACGCAAGTTAGGATCCCACCAGAAACACCCATCCTCATCCACGAAGGGGAATACATCCGGTTCGCGTTTTCCCACAAATATGACCGCGTCGAGCGGCAGGTGTTGTGGACCGTTGCCGGGGCTTATCCTGTCCAGGAGGGGCGTCCCAATACGAGGATAACGCGTTCACGATGCTCTCGTGGTTCTCGTGGGATCCAAGACAGAAATTCCACAGATAGACAACGGCGGAGACCTGTTCCTGCTATTATGACATTCTTTGTTCATCTTGAGTCACCGCAGTGCGATCATATAGGTTCATGTGTGATTTGGCAGTCTCGACCAGGCGTGAGGAAGACCGTGGAGTCGGAAGTTTGGGAAAATATCAGTCCGACTGCCCAGAACGTCTGATCGAGATTCGTGATTTTGGTGCGGTGTGAGAGGAACAAGCTACAATTCGGGAAGAGCAACGCTTAGGAATCAGCTGAACATCAATCCCGGAAATTGTTGGATGACCGACTCTACAGGACGGGGCGCCATTTTGGCTGCTTCTGGTGAATGTCAGACATGGGTTATAATTAGGTCCACACTATTGAATACGTGCACAGCACTTGACAGCGAGATACGAACCTAGTTGATGGCGCAGGATTCCCAAATGTGCTTGGACTGTCATCGATTCACTCACAAAAATGTCCCTCGGTATTCCTGGAACTGAAGCCTATACACACGGGGAGCGTTCTTGCTGTATGGTGCAATTGTCACGAAACAACCACATCATTTTGGCTGTTCCACTTGACAGAACAGGTGTAGTGCGTGATGCCTCTGCCTCCTATGAAACGATGAGAATGGTTATTCTTGGTCCAGTAACGGATATACACATCATTTGCATTCCCCGTGTCTCACCTATGTGACTCTCCGCCGGCATGAAGTGTCTACCACGACGAATTCGGAGCGCCATACGTTGCGTATTTCTGTCCATGGATGCTCGATTGCATTATTGATGGTGAAGGATACAGCGTGCACTGGTGCGCCAGTAATAGTGGTTACATTGTAAAACCTGCGGTGAAACCAGGATGTCTGATGCAACCAACTGGTATATATCTGCCTCGTCGGCGCAGCAGTTGTCTGGTCATTAAGTTACAGCACGCGCTAGTGTTGTATGTATACCCCTACTATAAATATTCTCAGAAGGTTCAAATGACAGGCATGCCGGATGGGAACAAACGGTTCATGTACAAATCATATTCTATCTGTACCAGACTGAATGCTGACGAAATTTTTTAACTTGCTGATTGCTGTTATCTGGGCTGGGGACGGTTAGCGGTCGATAACAAGAACGTGATTGAGCACCCCCACTGGTACCTTCTCTATATCACAAGTACAGCGTCTGCATGCCTATCATCAAGAGGTCTCCCATTCCATCATTACTTTCCCACCTCCACCCGCGACTTCAGTATCTGGTCAGACCAATCCCTTAGATCCATCCCGCGAAACTTGTCCTTCCATTGGAACGCAAGAACTTTGTATGTTTCCCGCCTCTCCCACTTGCAGTAGGACCAATATTGTCCATCTCCAAGTTGAGGTTACTAATACTGAGGGCATATTTGTTGGTCACTGCCATAGCACTTCCGTACCACTTGTGTGGGATACCTTTCGCAGTAACAACGTCATCGGATAGAGGACACGAAATGCGGGTACTGCAAGGATGGAAATCTTCCCCAGAGATGCCAGGTTCGTAGGTGATGCATACAGGAACGACCAACAGTGTCATCGGCAGACCTATGTTGGTTAAGCTGAGAGGTTCGTCGAGACAATCCCAGTAGTCAATTTGAAGATTTCCGGATAAGTAGCATTCAGGACCAGAGGGGATCATGCGCAAAGGATGGATATGAAACGGAAGGGTTTTTCCGTCCTATAAAAACCAGTCGCGGGCGTATCCTACTTCCAGAATCGCCTGGAAGAGCCTGAAGAACGCGTGTTCCGGACCCTCCCCTATATGCCACCACCATGCCAACTCCAAATATTCCCATCATGCAATGTGACTTGTCCTCCACCCCCGAGGTGACTCTCCGGGCAACCCACCTCGTGCGTTCTGGTGAAGATGGATTCATAAATCCGGGCTTGAAATTAAGAAAATGATTCCTGTCTATACCCGTCGCGGTCGAGATGGCTTTGCCAAGAAGGCGGGACTGGAGAGAGGTCCCACCCGTGAGTGTTTCCATCTCCTCGTCACTTATCTTGTCGTTCCGGAAGTCGGTAAGTGGGAACCAGTCCTTGTTATAGACCTTTAATCGCGGCGGCGCGAGGAGCTCCTGTAAGGCCCACCGTTGCGTGAACAGTGATCGGCAGCGAGGTCAAGCAGTGATTGCGTTTGGCCCGTATAAACAATGCAAATATGTGCATTGTGATACCATGCGAACATTGAACGGATCGATTCATCCAGTTCTGCGCTACTAAACTTTTCAACACAGACTGTCCGCCCAAGCAAAGTCGGCTCCATAATCCCCATAGACAATGTGGCAGAACTTCGCGAGCATCTTGTCGTCCTGGTTGCCACTGCCGGACTCCTGGTGGAAACCTTCGTAGTTGAGTTCGTCCGCCTCCCATGTATGTGACAGGATGGCAAAATTTGTGATCTCCTCCACGCATTCATCGATGGCGGAGTCGCGCATCCTCCGCAGTGTATATCGATCTTCCGCAGCCACATTATTCGGGTTCCAATGCTGCACTACTCTGACTCGTTGCACCAGTCTCGAGTCCAGTCTTGACAAGATAATTCACCACCGCACTTCTTTCCATGAGCTTTAGATCCGGCAACTCTATGATGCACAAGGGACGATTAGCGAAGACAGTACAACGAATCCTTGACAACACTGCGCAGACCATCATCACTAGAGTGATACCGCCGTTAATTCCTGTCACGAAGTGATGGTTACGCCACCTACTCGAGAAGTGGTTGTACAGGATCCGCTGACTGATCGAGGGAACGGTCGCTGAATTAGGGGCGTTCATAATACTGGGATTAAGGAGCGATGACACGGAGACGACGCAGTTGACTGTTCGAGTTGTGCGTAATCCGACTCGCTGAAGTGCCGCAAGCACGCGGTGGCCGGGTTCCTGGGTACATCAGACTTCCATCCATTGTTTTCTAGGACTACCAAACTCATTCACGGAGCGGGAATGGTAAAGACCAATGCGGACGGATTGAACGGTCTGCAAGAGACGACGTCCATCAAAGTCTGATGTGACGTGTAAGAGATCACAAACTAACTTTCTTTCCGAAAGACATGATATGTGCGTGTGGATCCATAGATAAGAGACGTTTGAGCGCCGGCTTCGTTGAGATTCCGGCGGTCAGAATTCAGAACAAGCTGTGACGGGTTTAAATTGTCGGTAATCCTCAAGTAAGACGAGTTCAGGATCCCCGAATCAGTCACTGCGGTCAAGTGTGCGGTTACAAAGTAGATGTACTGTCAGTGCAGTACTTCCAGGCAAACAGCCTTATAAGTTGGAGCACTGCGCCATTAATTAATGTAAGACTGTAGTAGCCCGCTCAAGATCTGGGATTATGTAATCCGCCACGGAGGCAAAAAGTGCTCTCCTCGCACAATGTACCCCGGATCTGAGTTTGAAAGGAGATAGAGGGTTCCGTATAAGAACACGCCAGCCAGCTGCGCCCTTCCTTTGCACCGTGCACGCGCGTCCTCCCCATCGCTACACACCCGAGTCTCACCCAAACCATGCGACTCCTCTCCATACTGTACTTTGCATCCGTCGCTGCCCTTGTGGTGGCCTCTCCCGTCATAGACACCGGAAGCAACAGTTTACTCAGCGAACAGACACTTCTGGGCGACGACGACGACGAAGGGTGCAGCGGTTACGGATCTTTATGTGACTGGCCTGCCGGCACGAGAGGTCCATGTTGCTATCCGTACCTTTGCAGGCCTCTCACCATGCAGAAGTCAGTATACCTCGTGTGCGCTTAGGATGAGTTAGGTGTGTGTCGCTCTCAGTATCTGACAGTTTCTTTCGTCTTATCTTGCGGACGAGACCGTGGCTCAATTTCCATTAATAGGCACCTCTGCTCTGTCTGCAATGGCTCGTGACCCGACTCTTCGTTATCATGCCGTCTCCCGTTCGTGTCCTCGCATGTCTCCGTCGTCTCTGTAGCCTTGCTTCATATGTTTTTCATACCGTGGTGTTTGATGCAGTCCCCCAGAATCTCGGTATTTTTTTGCGCCCACGTCTAATAATGCCGTTCGGCCGGGGAGTACTAGTGTCTCGCTTGAGCTTGGTACTATGTATATTTGTGTTATGGTAATTACCGTCTGATCAGGTTAATGTGATCGTCGCGCCAGTTTTCCACGCAGATTTGGCTTGATAAAGTGGCTGATGGAACTGGTGGGTGGTCTTTCCTCCGCCTTGTTGAGCCCGTGAAGGGAACTTCTGTTATCGCCGTGAGAATTAGATCACAGCCTGGATTTACAGAGTGACTCGACTGAAAGTGGCGGTGTTGGGTCGACTCATGCATGTGGAGCTGGGACTTGAAGTGAGTGGTTAATAAGAACACTCGGGCCTGGCGAAGATTATGAGGTCATGCTCCGACTGTTACACCCATACTCCCTGCATTGTCGAATGTGAGAAGTGCTGGCTGCGGAAAGAAAACATCGCTACTTCGCTAGGTTGTCCTCCACAGGGCCATGACGTAGTGTGTCTAATTTGGCTTTATATGTCCCTCCGCACTCTTCATGGCGTTACCCCCGTATACAAGTTTTTCCTCTGAAACATGCCAACCACTGTATCACCTACACACGACGTTCTATTGTACTTCCTTGCTATGTATGTATGGTCCGATCATGAGTCGATACTCACCCTCACCTACTTACTAGCTTTGTCCCCCCTCTCGCCGTTTTCTTCAGTGTGTACCATCTCTTCGTGTGTAAGGTACCCAAGCTGACAACCCAGTTCCGAAGAACGAGGATGCACGGCGGGTGAGTATTGTTATAACACTCGGTCACCAGCCACCATCCGTGACGTCACTCTTGTCAGATTTTTGGATTAATATCTGCTTGTCGATTCTGGGCTGGATACCGGGGGTCCTGCATGCATGGTCGGCATATCTCACTGGATCGCGTTTCAACGTCGTCGGGCACTGACTCTTTCTCTTGTTTGGCAGGTACATCATTTCGCGGAGTGAAGGCGCCATGTAGGCGTATATGGATGCGTGACTCCGGTCGTATGACGAGTCGTGAGGACGGAGCTATGTGGCAGTCTGCGACGGAGCCTCAGACGCGCAGTATTTGTAGCGTGTGCGTCTAACCTCAGCATAGGAGGTGGACAATTGTTTTGATTATGCCAATAATGCCCAGCACTGTATCCATCCTTGCTTTTGGAAACTTGGTGATTCTCCGGAATATCCAATGAAACGCTATAAGCCTAATTTTCTCTCAATTCGTGATGGAATGAGTAGCCCATAGGTAGGGGAATGTTGCTGCCTGAGGACAAAGTTCGATGTGGCAAGAATGCCGTCAAGAAAGAGACGCTTCGCCAGATTAGCGATTGGTATTCGGACAACGGACTTGGTAAGGATTCCACATCAACCTCCTAAGCATCCTGGACCCACTTCAAAGACGTGGTGCGGAGCCATCGTATCGAAACCTCCATGAGCCTTGATGGGAATGTCAGTAGACAACGTCAGAGGTGACAGACCGCATGCAGACCCGACCAACAAGGGAAGCCCCGCATGTTGACGGCCGCCGGGTCATTCATGCACCGTTGTATGCCGCAGGGGTTTTGAAGCCAAGGGATTTACCGAGTTTGCTCAAGAAGGGGAAGCTCGAACAGGCGAACATGTCAGCTAGGGGACCGACTTTGCATTGTGATCCGCCGACGGCCTGAGTTCTGTTCGTCAGTGCAAAGGTTCACTGCATCTGCCTTCCATTTAGTCAGTCATCTTTCACGAACGCACGGACCTCCGCAGCAGTCTTTCTGACCTTCGCGGCGCAACCTTACATATATCTCCATTGGTCGAGTGTCATATTGAAAACTGATATTCGGAGAACCTTCAAGGCAGGACTGCAGACGTTGCAAGACATTTTCATATCATTGAGGCAGCGATTTTGATGTTGCTATATACTATTATACACAATGGCTGAAAGGTTGCATGTTGTTAGATGTAGCGGGAAGATTCAGAAGAGAGATTGTAGTTAGCACAGACGCAAAGATATACTAGATAGTAGAAAACGGTTTCGTTCTTCCCGCTCAAGGATGGGTTCAACACTTCCTGCACTGGGTCACGGTAGACGATGCCTTGCGACTCATCAACAGCGCCAACTCCTGGACAGTTCGTGATGAGTTTTCTTTTATGCTGCGACCGAAGTAGCTATACTCACCACTACGAGAGTAGATATGCTCAGCCTGCGCAGCGGTTCATCGACAGCGGTTGTGTTGTTGATAGCGTCGTTTAAGTTCTGAGTGATTGCATCGGCGGGAACCTGGAGCTAGTGACATGAGCACGAGAATAGTCGACAAGGCAACCGGGACCTCACAAAGTCCCAGGCAGCAGATTGAGACGATGCGATGAAGCGTTCTTCGTCGGATAAGAGGCTACCGTCGTCGGTGTATTGCACGGCCTAGTCAACGTTAGCATTCCCAACCAGTGAATATACAAAGTATGCAAGCCCACCATTACTCTCTCCCGAGCAGAGGGTTTGACTCTCGCATACGGGTGGAATCTAAGCAAGTATGAGGACCTGTAACTGGGAAGCCTTCCGCAATCCATGGTGTCTGAATAGAAAAAATTTGCGGGGTGAGGAGAGGGAAGGATGAGGAAGAAAAAAAGATACCATTGCAATGCAACCTAAAGTTTAAATACCCCAGCGGGGTCTGGAATATGGCGCAGAAAGGAAAAGGGAATGATCGAGCCTTAACTTGAGTGAATAGTCCGTGCGGCCGTAACCGACCTGGCCAGGGTAAAGAAGTCGAAAAAAAAACGGGGACCTAACGCGGCGCTTATTCACATTGACATTTGTTGCATTCCACATACATTTGCTTCCGCGGCACCGTTTCGCGTATCAGGAGACAGTCACCGGCCCCACTTCCGTCCCTTGATGGATAGCAAGACCCATTACGCTGGAATAAAGCTCCTTTCGTTCCAGAAGATGCACTCCACATCCAACACCATACCAGGCTACCACGCCGCCGGTCGGGAGTTACTGCCCTGAAGGACGGGTGGTAGCCAAATAGGAGTCCTCCTTCATATCGTAGGTCTCCAGTGGCCAACTGACAGGTTTCTGACTATCGACATCAGACAACGTAGGGAGGATGTTCCACGGTGCGGTTTGGCTGCCTGGGTGCCGAGTGCTGCGGGTAGTGGGTTTACACAACGTTGGGTCCCCTGTTCGACCAAAAACCCACTACACCGCAACACTTCGTCTTCAATTTTCATCCTGTATTGCAGTACCCATCCCTATACACACTTAACCCCATCTTCGCAGTCCTTGCAGTCCTGTTGCGAACGCAAACCCACCGTGAGCCCGATGGTGAGAATGTTGCGTGACGTGTCACGCGAAAAAGGGGTGTGTCACGTCACGCTGCTGCTACAGCGCGCCAAAATCCGCAGGCAAGTTGCTCACCGCCATCATGAGACTGAAAGTGCGACTCAACTTGTGTGTCCCCGAATGCTTCAACGTTCCCTTTTTTTTTCAAGGCCTCAGCATGGTAAACGATGATGAAACCGCGAAGACATTGTTCGCCTCAAGTTTATCAAGGGGGAACTCCCTGCAAGAAATCTGTTCGTCGACTAAGCTTGCATCAATATTCTCGTCAAACAGTGCCTCCCAATGAATGGAGTGCGTTTGAGTGAATCAAGACACTCACCTATAGTCATGCTGCACCTGTGGGACTCCTAAACTGGCGACCACCCTCAACCAGCCCCTCTGGCTACTATTTTGAACCCGATCAAGAATTCGAAGATGCTAGCGTGCTTTGACATGCATCAAGTGAGTGCTGCGACCAGCCAAACCCGCCCACACGCCATAGCGAAATTGCTGGAATTTTTCACCGTGGCATTTTGTGATGAAGACCGCCGCCTTGAAGTTGGACGAACTTGTGGTGACCCCCCCTTGATGTTAAAGGAGCTGACATGCGCTGTCGTGTGCAGAAACCAGCAGACGGTCGGCCAGAATTTTTGTGTCAAAGGTAGGCCGATGATTTGAGGTGTGCGATAACGCTTCCAAGAATCTCTGGGGTCCGCATTTTTCCGTAACCCAAAGTCTCCACGAAACTATGCCCGAACATCCCAACACCTCCTGCCGTCGCAAGAGGTGCGGTGTGCGTGCAAGAGCGTCAGAAATGCTGGTGGGAGTTGGCCTGGCGCAAAAGTGGTGGGGTCCCAGTCTGCTGACTCTCGCTCGAACTCCGCAAATGTCAGCGGCTGATTGAATAAAACAGACAAACACGTCTTTTGGCGGCGGCAATGCAATCAACCCGTCTGCATATTTTTCCCTGGCCCCCCCTCGCCGTGAGCGAAGTACTCATTAATTTTTCTCTGGCGGTCATTCGTATGTTTCTCTGGCTGTGGAAGATCCTGCGACGTAGCGACCAAATTTCCTGACCACAAATATGCCACACTTCGCCACTACATTGCCGTCCCCCCAAAAAATTATTTATTTACACCTGCCTGCCGAGTTTCCAACCTCGTCGATACCCTTGAACGCCCACACTCCAAGTCTCTGCTGAATTTTCAGCTCTCTTTCACAATCGCAAGTCCAGCGCTGCCTATCTTGCCACTCGCAGAACGTCCCCCTTCGCTCAGCCGACGTCGAAACGTCTTAGCCGGCAAAAAATGAACATTTGGAAGGGGAGGTGGAGAAGGGGACAACCTCTCTCTCCTGCCCGTCGCCTAGAAGTTTACCTTCCTGGACGCACTGGGGAGAGTCCAGTTCAGCTCTAGGCTTCGTGATGATACAGGCCACAACCTGGCTTGAAGACATCCGAGCAACACTCGCCGACAGCCCCAAACGCACACCTCGCTAAACTGAGATACCTGGCCGACCACTCTCCAGGGGTTGTTGTTCCTCACTCGGTGCCACCTCTTCAAATTTGCAACATGGAAACGACATGAGATAGGTATACCTCCTTGCGACGCCTGTATGTTCGCTTTCTTGCGGTCGTTCTATTACTAACGTATTCTCCGGTTTTAGGTACCCCCGCTATCATTTTTTTATATGCGAACAAGGAAGTGCCCTGCGAACAGTAGCTCCCTCCAATCCGAGTGGTCGCGTTAAATGGGTGGGCGTTGGATGAGGTGAGTGGCATAAATGCTAAACATTTTCTATCCCCGCTGAGACCCGTCGTTAGCAGACTCGTGCATTATCGCTGGTGTCTGAGCTTCGTCTTGGTTTCCGGGCATCTTACGGGCTATTAGCGCCCGCCTTATCTTGTAGATTTTCCCACCATGTTGATGCTGGTACCACGTTCCCCGAGATGAGCGTACCATGCATAATTTTATGTATGTGGTAGGAGCGGGGAACCTCTGCGGTTACCTCCGGTGGTCACCGAGTAACGCGGCCGTCAGCCATTGCTACTACGTGATCCGAAACTTAAAATGTGACAGATAGCAGAAAGAAAACGACGGAAGAACAAACTTCGATGTGCTGCCGTTTAAGAGATCGAATACACACAGCAACTACTAGGTGACTATGCTGGCTCAGCGTTCAGTGTTGCCACCATTTACTCGGTAGCCAGTGTACGTTGGAGGTTTTCACTTCTACTGACCGTCACGACGGCGTCGCCGCTCGAGCGACAAACTCTAGGCAGTTGTATCTGTCATGGCTACTATCTTCACCAAGGAAGACTTGCCTCTACAACGACACGAAAGGTGTTAATTACTCGCAGGCACAACCCTCCACACTTTGACGGAGCCATCATCCCCCGCGGTTGCAAGTAAATCTTCGACTCCGGATCGGGGACACCACTGCACCGAATTGACGTCACTGACACCATGAGCAGATGAAATCGAAGCGATTAGCTTGGAACACAGTGTATCTTTCGTGGCCTGTTCGGAAGGTTGCTTGACAGGCGCATCAACTAACGGCGGTGCAATTGATCAATGGTTGAGCAACTTACCGATATCTCCCATATGTTTATCCTCCCATCCCCACCGGTACTTGCTAGCCACCCCATGCTCTTGGACGATGTGCCCTTGCCAATATTCCAGCTGACAGAGTAGATGCTTCTCTCATGACCCCTGATCTGGTGTACGAATTTCCAATTATACTGATCCACACGTTTCCAAATTCTGATCGAAAGATCGTCGGAAGCTGAGGCCAAGTAATTCCCGTCGGGCGACCATGCAAGTGACCAAACCGTTGCCTCGTGGCCGGTCAGCGTCGATAGGCAGTACCAATCTTCCGATGGATCGTCGATGTAGAACTTGATCGTGTCATCGTAAGAAGCCGAGGCAAGGATCTACCCCGGAGTCAAGAAGTCAGGCTTGGATTGGATGTCGCGTAATTTCATCCAGACCTCTTCCGTGGGATGCCAGGCCACGCACTTGACGTCTTGACTGTGTTCCATTAGCACTCCCATGCATTCGAAATCGGCGTCGGGATGAACTGCAGCGATCGTGAATATGGGGGAAAGGTGGAAGAAAGTACGGAATGACTCGCCCTCCCAGATCCAGACCGTCTTGTCTCTACTACAGCTGGCCAGTAGGGTCCCAGTGGCTGAATACCCGACGCTTTTGCACTCCGTTTCGTGGCCTTCTAGCATCGTCACGCATTCCCATTCTTCGGATTCATCTAGACCGTTCTCGTCATCCAATTCTTCCTTTTTCTCAAATATCCCGACGTTAGAGTCGAACGAGCCGGTCGCAAATGTCTTGCCCGAGGGTGCCCACGCGATACTGCGAACCGTCTTAGTATGTGCTGTCGAGATGGTACTGATATGAGAGAAGGACGGCGATGCTGTCTGGTCGTCTCCACTACGTTGGTAGTTATACAGCCGGACGGTCTTGTCTGCTGAGCATGAGGCAAGCAGAGGTTTCGTTGGGTTCCAGGCAACTTGCCACGCGCGCTCTTCGTGACCTGCCTGGAACTAAGATCATCGCCTATCATTTACCTGTTTTTCTCTCACCTGGAAGCGAGGCCACCAGTTGGAGATTGAATTGGGGGTCGACGTCCATTTGAATCGACCTTTGATCACTGTAGATCAATTGCTGTAAATATTTTATCGGCGTTATCAAAAAGTTGTTTGTCTCAGTTGAATTCCAAAGCCCCTGCCTTCCTATCTAGGAACAGTTCATCTAGTACCAGTTAGACGATATGATTCAGACGGGTCTCATACAGAACGTGCACGACGACCTGCTCACAGATATATCTTATGATTTTTATGGTCTGCACTTCGCCTCGTGTAGCCTTGACCAGAAGTACGTCTCTCCTGTTATTCCATCCTTTTACCTTCGTAACGGGGTTGCAGAATCAAAGTCTGGTCGTTGGACGAGAGCACTGGAACCTGGAGCGTCGAGGATGAATGGAAGGTACACGCGTCCTTTCCTCTCGAGAACGAAAGTGTACTGACAGAATGCAGGCCCACGATGCTGCCATCTCAAAAGTAAGCTGGGCACATCCAGAGTTCGGGACTATACTCGCGTCGGCCTCGTTCGATCGTACCGTAAAAATATGGGAACAAATGATGTCCACTGCGGTTACTGAATTACAGCCTAACACATCCTCTGCCCCACAGCAAGCCAGTGGCGGGTCGTCCTCGAGATGGTCTGAGAGGGCCGTTTTGGTCGATGCCCGTGGCACAGTGAGAGCCGTGGAATTCGCGCCTCATCATTTTGGTTTGAAGCTGGCGCGTGTCTGGTTGTTTTCTAGTCCTCGAAATCTGACAGACGTCTAGGCGACGATTTCAACTGACAATCACCTTCGGATATACGAGTGTTTGGAGCAGTCATCGCTGGCTACGTGGCAATTATCAGAAGAAGTGGACGTCACCTCTTTACCAATAGCATCCCGACCCTCCTCTCACTCAGTAGCGTTCGGAACGCCAACTCATACGAGCGCAACTCTTGATGGTGCCTCTGCTTCCCTAGTTGCGCAAGCGTTGCAACAGTCCCAAGCCCCACCTCAGGGCCGAGGGGGGTTGGGTAACAGGGAAGCGGATGGCGGCTGGTGTATTTCTTGGTGCAAAGAGCGGTATTGGGGTGAAGTGATAGCAGCAGGGAGCGGGATATCGGGCACTATAAAAGTAGGTGGACACAACCTGACCCGTTCTGCTTTTCTTATTGTAGAGCATAGATTATACAAATCTCGCCGTCCCGTCGTCCAACGACGCTATTAACGTTGGATCCTTCTCCCGCTGGCAAGTTACTGGCAGAGGGTAATGCTGCGGGTGTTCTGGGCGAGAGCGACGCTCCAACGCCATACGCTGTCACCACTGTAGCATGGGCACCATCGTGTGGTCGATCGTATCATCTTATAGCGACGGGTAGTCGGGATGGTCATGTAAGAATATGGAAAGTCAAACCAGCTGAGGATAGCGACATGGAGGACGACAGTATGGGATCTAAGTGGACAGCTAGTATTGCTGCCGACTTCGACAACCACAGGTAGGTGCATGTTCTATATTCCTTCTTGTCATACTTTTCTTACAATATCTAAATAGATCGGCAGTCGGTCGAGTCGAGTGGAACATAACAGGGTACGTTGATCCATTTCTGGTATTGATGGGATATCCTGACTGAGAGCAGGACCGTATTATCATCTGCCGGAAACGACGGGCGTGTCCGTCTTTGGAAGGCGACGATCGGGGGTGTCTGGAGACCTGCTGGGAGCATTGGCGTCGAACAAACTGAAGACGAGGATGCTAACATGGAGGAGAGTGCTGTTGCTGACTAATATAGCCACGTACTACGAAGGTAGCATGGATAATCACTTACTAGCTACTATTAGTATTCGTGACAGCCATCTCTTGGAAGATATCGGAGAGATATGAGAGCAGTCGTGGGAGCGGTTTTATCACGGAAGGCCGCTCGAGTATCTGTGTCAACGTCCCGGATTGCCTTTCAACTTAGTCTCCTGCATTACAGGTCGTACTACGGCTGTCAGCCAGCCCGACACTTCGCAGACATGTCTCAGTCTGGGTCATTTGCACGCCCCTCTGATGGTGCTCTGCAACTAACTGCCGTACAGGAAACACAAGGTAGTCGTCTGCCGCAATCTTGGGCCTGACGCGATGTCTCTTTTGGAGGCAACACCTGAACTGGACGTGCGTTGGATTAAACATTACTCCATCCCTCATAGCGTTGAACCCACTTCATGTGGCACTTAGCTTGTCGTCTGGCCGGACGACCGAAGCTGCGACCGGACATGGTTGCTAGGCAACATTCCAGGCTCTACTGGGCTAGTTGTCATGCTCACAGAAAAAGTACACTGTGTGCTCCTACAAGACGATGTTAACCTGATGTCATATTTTAGGTTGACTCCGAAATCTTGGACAGAGGTAAAGCTGGTCATTGTGTTACGTTTATCTTCCACTTATCGGTGTCGTTACATCTCCCGTATGACAGCCGGTCCCTCCTTGAAAGTTGTTTCGACAATGTCAGTTGGGAATGGTAAGTTGTTCAAACAGGATCGCCGCTTGGCTTGAGCCTCTGCCTCTATCACAAGAACATATTGATCTCAGAGCTGCGGCTCAGAGAGGGCTGAGGGTGGGGTATACCCCCGACGTCCTCACTGATGCAGGCAAGTCAAAGATCTCTTGATCAATAGCTGTTTATACATCATCGGTTCCCATCCGTTCAGTTGCCGATCTGTCCGTGATGCTCGCACTGATGGCAAGTCGCAATGCTGGAATAGCGACGGCGGTCGCGAAAGATGGACAAGTAGGTGAACCATCGGTATCTGGTCACCAGATGGTTGAGGGTCTTTTTAGTGGCCAAACCACCCGTGGTCACCTTTTGCGCTGTGTGGTCCTCAGCTAAGTACGATGGCCTCTTCTCCGGCACGAAAAGCCGGCTTCCTTGGCTTCGGTCGGATCGCTCAGGCGACCTTGGCACGGCTTGTCTCATTTGGGATCACTCACTGCTTGTATTCGTCCAATCCATCGTCGCCCACAAATCACGAGCGCGATGCGGAATTAGCGAAGAGGTACAACTTGCAATCGGTAACCAAAGTAGACATCGACGAACTTGCCCGCGAAAGCGACTTCATCTTCGTATTGGCGCCCGGTGGACACGATACCTATCACATCATCAACGAGAACTTTCTGAAGCAAATGAAGAGGACAAGCATCCTCATCAATGCGAGTAGGGGAACTCTGGTCGATTCTGATGCGCTGGCCAGGGCACTTCGAGAAGGCTGGATATGGGGTGCTGGCCTCGATGTAGTGGAAGGGGAGCCAAATGTGACAATCGACCATCCGCTGATCAAGGAACCTAAGTAAGCTGGATTTTTCTTGGATGAACGTTGATCACCGTTTCACGGTATGTTGCCCACGAAGATGCATCATTTTACCGCACATCGGAAGTGCTACCTTGGAGACCCGGAGGGCTATGGCGGTGCGTGCAGCCCAAAATGTGATAGCAGGAGTACTAGGAGGGAATATGCCCGCAGAGGTGTATTTATCAGGTTACCGGTAACTGGCATGCTGTACTGCTGACCACGGAACTCCGTGACCTCATGCAATTAGAATGAGAAGCCATTTTGATGAAGTGAAGCCACGTTCATGGGTGTGCCGGGGTAGCCGCGTTGTCATCAGGGCGCCCGATCAGGAAATGAGACCCCTGATAAGATGGTGGCTGTGTAAGTCGCACCCCTTCAAATAGGGACGCGCCGAGGATGCCAAAAATTTGCGAGCTTCTATGATCCTTGCTTGCCACTTCTTCAACTTGCAGTAGTCATGACAAAATACATCGTTATCTCCGGTGGCGTCGTCAGCGGTATCGGAAAGGGCATTATTGGTGCGATTTAACACTGTCGGGGTCGGCGCCACCCGTGTTTATGCATGCACCTAGCCTCTTCCACCGGTCTGCTGTTGAAGACGACTGGCCTTAAGGTTACCGCTATCAAGATCGATCCTTATATGAACATAGATGCTGGAACCATGCGACCGACGGAGCACGGTGAGACTCGGGTGTGATACTGTTCCGTGTCCTCGCTTAGTCGACCTCGTTAGGTGAGGTCTTTGTCCTGAACGATGGAGGTGAAGTGGATTTGGATCTGGGAAACTACGAGCGCTATCTAGATGTTACTTTATCGAGGGATAACAATATCACGACGGGTAAGATCTATCGCGAGGTCATCGAGAGGGAGGTTAGTGAGATCACGCGTCGTAACGTTCACCACCGTTGTTAACCTTCTGGCAGAGAAGGGGAGAGTATCTTGGAAAGACCGTACAGGCAAGGCTCTAACGTTAGGCGAGTCTTTGTACACCGGTTGACTGCTACGCCACAGATTGTGCCACACATCACCTCCGCCATCCAGGATTGGATTGAGCGTGTATCCAAAATTCCCGTCGATAACTCGGGTGAGGAACCAGACATTTGTATCATAGAGGTATGCATTTCTATAAAAGCTAGAACGTTGAACTCAGTCTATGCAGCTTGGCGGCACAGTGGGCGACATAGAGTCTGCTCCCTTTGTCGAAGCTATGCGCCAGTTCCAGTTCCGTGTCGGATATGATAATTTCGCTTTGATTCACGTGTCGCTCGTGCCAGACATGCACGGCGAACAGAAGACAAAACCTACGCAAACGACAGTACATGCTTTGCGTGGACTCGGGTTGCTCCCGGATCTAGTTCGTCATGCCCTTCATCGCGTTGACAGGTTTTGGCTCAACCGGATAGATTGCTTGTCGGTTGCTGGCACCACGCCCTCTCGAGAACTCTACGAAGGAGAAAATATCTATGTTTTGCCACGTATCCTCTACCCAGGTGTTAGGTGTTCATGACGTGTCATCGGTGTACCATGTTCCCCTTTTGCTGCAGTCTCAAGGAATTATCGACTACCTACGCAAAAGGCTTAATCTTTCAGCACTAAATATCCCTGAAGAAATGATCCAAAAGGGTTTGTCCATCGAAGCCAGATGGAAAGCCATGACGAGGGCGTGCGTTCTTTTTAGGTTGCCTTTATCTTGCAGACTCATGATGTGTCATTTAGCCAAGAACGTTGTTTTGATGAGGTCAAAATCGTATTGGTTGGGAAGTATACCGATTTCAAAGATTCTTACATGTCTGTAATCAAAGCGTTGGAGCACTCGGCATTCCGAGTCCAACACAAACTTGTAATCCAGGTACGTCTGACTAACTAGAGTCCCTCGCGTCCGTTCTGACGCAAGATAACTGGTCAGTGGGTGGAGTCTTCTAACTTGGAACCACCTGCACAAGGGTCAGATCCTGCTAAATATCACGATACTTGGCGTGCGTTAGTCGGTGCAAGGTAGGGTTCATCGGCTTCATTCACTTTTGCATGTCATTGATTTCGGGGTAAAAGCGGCATTCTCGTTCCTGGGGGTTTCGGCCAGCGCGGGACCGAGGGCATGATACTCGCCATTAAGTGGGCGAGAGAGCAGAAAGTCCCGTTCCTAGGCATCTGTCTTGGATTCCAGATGGCGGTGTTAGAATGGGCCAGAAGTGTTCTTGGTGTACAAGGCGCGCGCCTTTAAAGTTATCTTCTGTGGTGGTCAATACTGACAGACTTGGCAGACGCCCAGTCTACTGAGTTCGTTCCAGACACGCCTAGTCCATTTATCGTTTTCATGCCTGAGGTCTCCCGTACCCATATGGGCGGTACCATGCGTCTGGGTCTCCGCCCCACTGTTTTCCAGGGAACAGCGCAGGCTCGTCTTCCTTCGGCCCTTGCCAATGGCTCCGCCACCCCTCCCACAGCTGCAGAAGGTACAGCCGATACGGCCGATACGTCGAGTAGCTCCAAGTTTGTTCTCCAGAGCCCCGCCACGTGGTCCAAAGCGCGTCAACTCTATGGAAATGTCGACAGGATGTGGGAGCGACACCGCCACCGCTACGAGGTGAATCCCGAGCAGGTCCCGCGCCTCGAGGCTAGCGGGCTCACTTTCGTGGGTAAGGACGAAAGGGGTGAACGTATGCAAATTGTCGAGCTCAAAGGTACGTATGCACATCTGTATTTTCGTTTTCTTTGATCGACTTGTCTTCTGACCCCGGGACGTTTGAACAGATCACCCCTTCTTCCTCGGTTTGCAGCCGCACCCCGAACTCTGCTCCCGGCCTCTGAACCCCTCCCCACCATTCCTCGGGTTTATCGCTGCTGCCTGTGGATCTAGCGTACTTGCTGAGCAGCTGGAAGAGCAAGCCCGGAACTATCGCCCGCCTCACCCGGAGGGGTCTATGGATAGCGAGGAGACGCTACGTGAACGCACGATGGAACATCCCGTTCGTGGTGGCAGAATGTCGGGATGGGGCACTCCTGTTGCGGATTGATCTATATGCCTTGTGCAATATGACGTGCAAAAAATTGGGGGCCGCATATGTCTGCAGGGTTTGGGCACTAGACCCCGTACAGCAGTCTTAAAGCTTTTCATATGAGTTATTACTTACCACTGTCATGTACCGTAAGCTAATAGTTTGTCCTGCCCTGCTTGAACGGCGATTTGATTATCTTGTAATGACGAGCACACATCCATTCTTGTACCCATTGTTAGGTTTGCTTAAATGAATACATTCTAAGTAGTGATTGCAAACTCCAGATTATCACCGGTAATATTGTATGTGTTACTGTGCGCGGCATCTACTAGAGGTGGTGACGCGTGGAGGTGAGATTTGGGTGTTAGTAAGGATGGGCTGAGAAGGTCCAGGGACTGCGGCACAAGGCGCATGCTAGGGATGGCGTGTATCCATCTCTCTGCGCTAACCGGAAGATATCCAGTGACCATAAATTGGAGTGCTAACTTCACTCAGATGAGGCGGGGCGTGCTGAGGGAAGGAAATACACGCGAACCGCCGATCCAGATCAGAAACTACTCTTTCGGACCCCTGACGAACGGAAAGACATGTTTCGCGGCTTGCTAGTCTTACCGTCTCTTGTGCTCTTGTCAAATCTCTGGTCTGGGAACCTGCGAGGTCCTCTCTTTTGCGATGAAGAATCAATTAGATCTCCAAGCCTCTTCCGCGGGGAGCCAGTTCTATCCTCGAGACGGACACCCATGCGACGAAGCCAAGCTTCGCTTGGTCGACCTGGAAAGTGGGGTAAGCAACTCGGAGAACCCCACGAAAAAAAGGGACCGCATACGCACCCATGTCGACGCCGAACGTACGCGACCAGTCACTTAGACCTGAGAGGACTTTTTGGGCAGAAACATGTAGTGGGCCTGCAAGGGGAAGGTAATGGCCGAGGAGTGAGGCGACTGTCTGACGGACCGCTTCTGTGTCAAGGAGAGGGATAAGTGAACGGAAGCGGGTTGACAAGGAATCTGGTTGTTTGTCTCCGCTGGTATTGTTGTCCGCCTTGCTTTTGGAGCCGGGGCTGTCCTCAGTTGAAGATGCATCATATATCGCGACATTCGAGTATTGACGTGACGGTGCAGATGCTACGGCAGCAACCTGCGACTCCAGGGTTTCAAGAGGAAGCACTTTGACGGGACATTGATGGAGGTGCCGGGAGAAGTAACCAGCCTCCCATGGGAGGAGAAGCATATCTGAACGATGGGGCGGTTCCTCTTGTGCATGTGAAAGGGGAGATGAAGAAAGACCTCTGCCAGTACGACCAACACGGTGAACATAAAGCGTTTCAGTGCTCGGAATGCCAAGTTGAACAACGCGAGTAACGTGAGGGTAATCAACACCACGAGCAGAAACGTCGCTGGTGACCAAGATGGTAGGAGCCGGTGCGAATTTGCGCTTCTGTAGTCGCCGATCGTGCTTCCGCTGTTCTGAGGTGATAGCAGGCTCTCTGAACTCCCTGCTTGCACGTTGCCGCGCAGCCTGAGTAAGCTTCGAGTGCATTTCAAAGACGCGTGTGTTCTTGGCAGGAAGGGTACCATCCGCGGCGAATTCGCGCACAACCGTTGAGAAGAAGGCCGTAGAGTGAGTGGTAGGGCAGAATACGATTATCTTGGACTTAAAGCCGTGAATTAGTTGATCATGAGCGATAAGGCGAAGCAGAGCTGGAATCTGGGCGTCAGGGGACGGGAGAGGGGTGTAATACTGAGGTATGTGAGCATGGGTAACAAGTTCATCATCCGAATCTATTGCCCAAGGCACGCGTGCATTTTCCTTCAATTTATCGACGTTGGAAAGATCAGTCCCAGAAGCAGGTGGGGCAGCGTCAAGGAATTGGTGATTGTGGGATAGGTGGGAGGTAGCAATTTGCCTGATTCGTCGGGAAAGAGTTGCGCTGAAAAGGAACGTCTGCCGTGTTTGAGGGGGCGCCAAGAATTTGGCGATAGCGTCGATATCATCTCTAAAACCCATGTCAAGAAGAGTATCGGCCTCGTCCAAAATGAGCTAAGGGGGAAGAAGTCAGACCAATGCTGCAAGTTGCAAAGCTGACGTACGAAGTTGCAGCTCTTCATGCTCTCTCGAACGTCAGAGTGGTTTTCGAGCACGTCACGTAAACGGCCAGGCGTTGCAACCACAATGTCGCGAAAACCATTGTTCCATTGGGATAGCTGTCTGCCTTTGCTTTCGCCGCCGACGAAAAGACCGACTTGGAAGTCCTTATGGTGTTCTGTCAACTTGAGCGCAACGTTTGCAATCTGAGTCGCCAGTTCTCGTGTAGGAGAGAGAACGAGAGCTCCGGGGACCCTTCGACGAAAAGAATTGCGGATACGACCCGCGAGAATTGACGAGGGGTCGGAAGCGTGAGCCGCGTTTTTAACGTGTTGGTCAACTGCTCGGATTCTGTGCTCGATGGCGGGGATGAGGAAAGCGAGCGTTTTACCGGTCCCGGTGCGGGCTCGCACGAGTAGATCACGAGGAGCATCCGGGTTCGGGGGAGCAGAGGGGTCGTAAGGACCGGCAAGGTCAGGGAGGAGTGCGGTGACAAGAGACTGCACGTGGGTCATCCGGTCGAGGTTAAACGGAGACACAGTGAGTCCTTTGAGAGTCTGTTTGGAGATTTTATCCTTCAACGATCGAAAGGTAGGCGGTTCAGACGCTGCTTCCGCCGTCACCGAGGGTGAGACCGCCGCAAGGGCAGCCTGCGCCGACATCCAGCGCGACTGTCCACTGGATCCAACCCTGCATCTCGTCCTGCTGAACGACCTCGTCAGCGAGAACCACGCCAACGTCATTCAAATAATTGGTTGGCTCGGGGTGAGCCTCAGACAGTTGACCGAAAAAAATATCAATTCTTAAATAGGAAATAGCAAGACCCCCACCACCGCTGGACCCCGGATTCTTCGCGTCATCGATTCGGAATCGCATCTCGGATCAGCCTGGTCCCGGCGCTGACTCAAAACACGATCGTATGGCGAAGGGACACAAGTCGTCGGCGACAGCTGGCACCAGAAAGAAGAATGCTCGCAAGGCTGCGGAAACTGCAGGTCAACCAGCTTCTTCTCCTGTTTCGGCGGCCAAACTCCCAAAGAACACCAAGGGCTCGAAGAGAGAGCTGAGGGAGGCACGCCAGAGAGAGAAGGTCTACATACCCCCTGTCAAACCTGCTCCCCCGAAACTCGATCCTCTCGATACAACAGGATTGGCAAGAATCTTACCTCCCGATCTCGTCGTCGTTTTGAGGAGTCTCGGTAAAAAGGATGCAGTCACCAAAACTAAGGCATTGGAAGAATTGTCTAAGTGGGTGGATGACGCCGCGAAAGAACCGTCAGATGTCGCAGACGAAGGCTATGACGGTGGTCAAAAGATCAATGTAATCGTAGAGATGCTGCCGGTCTGGGTGGGTCTTGGTACTTCACGCTCATGCTTTCCCAATACCAACTCAAGAGTACATAGTTGCATCGTATTCCTGTCCTGTTCACGCATCCCGCACGCCGTGTCCGTTTCCTCGCAGGTTCGCTGCAAACTGCTCTCGTTCGGCTGCCCCCAACGCGTAGCGCACTGATTCGTTGGATCGCGGATCAAGCATCTCAAAGTGAACTAGTAACCGTTCTTGGAGTATGGGTTATGCTTGCACACGATGTGGACCGTGGCGTTGCAAATGTGGGGGAACGCGGTTTGACTGAATTCGTCGGAAGTTCCCCCAACCTTGCAAGTCCTTTGCCTTGCGTTACGCTTACTTCGCCCGTTCTCTCCGATCTCCTTACCTTCTCTTACCGTGCAGTGCTAGACCCAGCTGGCCTTCACGCGTCATTGAATCCCATCGCGGCACCTATAGATCCTATCGCGTACATCACTTCTGGAAAAGGGGCGAAGGGAAAGAAAGGTGCCCCGGTAATACAAGGCAAGAAAGGTGGTTTCGTCTCCACCACAACCGAAAAAGAGTGGCCGTTATGTGCCTCCGACCGCAGAGCCCCGTTCTCAGGTAACTCCGACATCAGATCCTGCCAAAGCGGGTGACGCGCCAGGTGAGGAGAGCGAAGCTGACAGGAGCGGGCGATTGAGGGCTAGCGCTTTGGGTGCTGTGAGATGGATCATAGGTGCGTGACTACACATTTTTGCAAAGAAGTTTGGTCGTGCTGTTTGTAATGCGCCTTTGAGCTCACCGTGGAGAACAGATAATTACCTCCTTAACTTATTTCCTCTGTCAGGGACTTCAATGGAGGATACCACCGAAGTCCCACTACTGCAGCCTGTCAGCCCTCATTTGTCTTCGCCCAATTTTTGGTCCTCTCTACACCCGGGACCTACTTGCCCATTTACTCTCCCCGAAGATTCTACTAGAACGAGCGACAACGACGGAAGCGGTGTTCGACTTAAGGCGTGCTTGGGGCATTCCCAACCACAAGTTCGTCGTGCAGCGTGGGCGCTCGTTGCAAGTCTTCTGGAGGGGAAGAAAGGTTTGTACTCATTTTATGCAAATGCCTCCTGTCTCAATTTCTCACCTTATTGCTTTACTTGTGCACAACTCTTAGGCCCGTTACCTCCGGATATTTTACACATCCTGTCCTCAGCCATTCTACGCTCTGCGTGGGTGGAAACCGACGCAGGCGTACGAGTTGTACTCACCAAACCTTTACTGATGTTCTTGAAAGGTGTGCCTCGTTCGACAACTCCAAGTTAGTGATAATACTAAAATAACTTCCATAGATTATCCATGGGCCTGGACAATTGACGCAGAGCGCGCCATGAATAATTATGGGGATATTGAGATCGCCGAGGAAGTATCTGTAGATGAGCCTGAAGATGAGGCGGTGGATGACATTAGGTAAGGAACGTACGGACGAGGATGACTCCACGGACGAGGACGAGGACGACCAGACACTACCTTCGCCCGCGTTCTGTGAGTTTCTTGGCTTCCTGGAGATGGGGTGTGCAGGGAGCATGGCGGAGGGGTATCCACTAGTGTTGGTAAGTCGTGGCTGGGATCCCCGAAACGGTGGGTCTTCATTAGTTCTCATTCCAGTGCCACTTCCACGGTGATTGCTGCGTAGCAGCACTTCGTTGGTTTTGATCACGGAAGCTAATCTAGCACCCTTGCTTTCGACGTTACAGGTGTTCCCACGATCGCTGACCTATACGCACTCCTCTCAATTGCTGGACGCGTTATGGGCACCGTTCTATGCGCGTCTTCTTCCGGAGCGCCGAGCCACCGCTGCGTGGTTGCGAGCTTTGTTGGAGTGTATGGTGTGCCTTGTGAAGCAAGCTCTCGAGGTGGGTGCCACAGTACGACAGTCTGGTTCGAACGAAATGGACGACGTGAAACCTAGGACCTTGAGCCGGAATACGTTGCAGACGAAAAGCGACTGGTACGCCCACTACTAGAGAGACAGTTCAGCGCCTTGTGGGACGCATTGTCTACACGCACCCTGCGTATTGACGCAGTGGAGGCGTCCCGGACTATCGCAACTACATTAGACAGATTAGCCAAAATTGGAGAAGGTTAGTATCATCTGATTTTGTGTTTCTGTCATGATCTTTGGTCGAGCTGGTGTGCGCGTGCACTCACTGTGATTCCTAGATTTGTTCAAGAGTGCCTTCACTGCCATCGCCGTAAAGATAACAAAGGGCGAGGAGCAATCGTTGAGCCTTGCACCGACATTTTTGTGCGTCTTTAACGACACATTTGCACCTGGACACGTTTGCAGGCCAACAGACCCGTTTTCTCGTTGATAAGTACGTTTCGCGTGTTGTGCAGAGTACGAAAGCAGCACTACACGAGGAGAAAGGCGCTAAAGAAGTGGTAGCCAAGGTTGAACCACTCATCCACCTTATGGATACCTTCGGGTCACGACTTTTTGAAGATGATGAGTTTGCTTCGGTGCGTGAAGCTCAGCAATTCAGCGATTGCCCGACGTGTTGACAAATCCCCGATTGATGCTACTTGCGCAATACGAACTTGGGTGCTTTTCTTGCGGGAGGCGTGCGCATTTAGAGGACCAACGCGCTTTTCTCTGCGCACAGCATAGTCTTGTTGCAATCATCCCCGCTTTCCGTTATTTCTTACCTTAAGCACTCCTCGGCGGCTGGCAATTCTCTGGATAGGACTCAGCTGTTTTGGGCGAATTCTCCTTACCTCACTTGCATCTTATGTTTTTTCGTTCCCAACACCCGCAGAGCAGATGACATCCGCGAAGCCATTACTCCTACCTCTTCTCTCAGCGGTTCAAACAAGCTCACTACCTGGTCATCTTCGTGGGGTGTCCTATTCGATGGATACATTGATCCTGAAATGGCTAGATTACAGTGTAGAGCACAGCTCAGAACCTGTTGCTCTTGATATAGTAAACAACATACTAAGTGTGTACTGTACGTGCTTATTTTCGTTGCTCACCGCGATCACGACTACTCATGCATGTGTGCAGCGTACTTCATCTCTCCGCAGGGGCTGGCGGCTATTACGGATGCATTATCGCGGAACGTCACTAGCTACGCGGAAACCATGCTAGATGTTGCTGGTGTCTCTCCCTTCGGAATGAATGGTACCGCGGACCTATCTGCGACCTCGGCCACTCGTGCTCTGAGTCTTGCGCGGCGGCTGATAGATGCCGGGTATCAAATGGCTGGAGAGAAAGCCGCGGAACTGTATGTGGGAGTGGCTCTTCTGGCCTTCATTGTTCCCTCCTCCAACGGAGAGGATGATGGGAACACAGAAGGAGTTGATGATGCAAGGGTAATCTGGGAATCACTTGTCACCAAGAAGCATGACGGTGAGGGAACGGAGGAAATGCGACAAGCTGTGAGTGCTCTGCTGAAAGAGCAGCTACGCAAGAACGTCGTGAACAGTAGGATCTTATCGAGGTGTGTTATCTTCCCAGCCTTTGTCCCGTGGTAGGCTATCATAGTTAACCTTCCGCTGTAGGCCAGACCACATCATGCGCGCACTGTTACCTGGAATACCTGGTCTCCAGATTGATGTCCTAATAGACATCCTCCCATCGCGTTCTGATTTGGACGTGCTCCTCGAGGATCTTCCTGGTACAGCGGTCTCTCCAAGTCTTGCATTGATAGATGCCACCATTCCTACCACACCATCCTCAGAAGACACTAGTTATTATCCCATCGCGAACCCCGGGGACGCTCTCATTCTACCTCTACACCCGTATGGCCGAGCCGTTTTTGCACTCCTTACATACCTTTCCTCAGTACGCACGAAGGCGCTTGTGCATCTGTGGGCATTGCGTCACGTTATCACGTTTGGGGTGTACCTTGCGGAGTACGTGCATGTCGGGGACGAGCGAAGCCCTGTGTTCGGCGGCACATTGGACGCTCGACCGGGCAAAGACGCGATTGCTCTTGCAAAACGTGAGATAGCGAGGGATTTGCTAGGGAAAGCGCAGGCTTTGGTGACGTACCTCCTAAGCCGGGCCAAGGAAGATATTCATGCACGAGCCGTTGGAGCGCTCTTGAAGGATGATTCCGGCGTTGAAGAGGGAAGTTTCGCATCATTCGTTGTCGAGGTCGTGCGCAAATCCGTAGAGGGTGACACCGTTCGAGATGCGCTCGTTTTGCGAACAGTGCTTCAACATTTGTTTGTGGATGCAACCAAAGATGATGCAGACCTATGGCTCGTACTTGCACGCCGGTTCGAGAAGACAGGTACGCCAAATTCCGTTGTTTCGTCACCTACAATTGACTCATTCGGCTCCTTCAGCACCCCAGACCGCCATTGCGATATTGGTCTCCATCACAGTATATGCACCTGAGCCTCCCAAGCTCGATAGGTACCGCAATGAACTAGCTGCAACGCTTCTCGGTGTAAAACCTGAAGACGCTGAGACTACCGGGCTCAAATACCTTCGTTTGCTTAGCGCAAGCGCACCCGACCCAAATTCGGCGGTGGTGTTCCTACCACAACATCGCGCTGTCAATGTGATGCGTGCTTGTCAGACATGGATTGCAGAGGGGGATGAGGACGCCAGCGAGGAGTTGGAGAGCGTAATGACCCTGGTATTCCGACATGTTGCACCCATTTTAGAGAACGTGCCGGGATCGCACTGGGAGTTCATTTGGGATGTCGTAGAGAGCAATCTGGAGGTATGAGTCGCCAGCTTCTTCTTATTCACTTCGGCTAATCCTGTGGTACTCGCCAATGCGATACATATACGGGTCCCAGGTTTGTTCGCTGGAGGAACCGGACACGCTAGCGACCCTTGGACGCACGTTGCAATTGGTCACTACCATCGAGGAGCTGGTAACGACGAACAAATCACTACGCGAAGGCTGGGAGAAGAGACGCAAAGCGATCTTTGGCCTGATTAAGAAGGTCGTCATCGTCGACACGCGTACGTCGTGCGGATGCTGATATACTGCCTGGACTGAAATCCCCCGCAGGTGAAATATCGTATTCCGATCCGCGCGCCATTTGTCGTGAGCTGGCGATGTCGATTGTCCAAAACATGCCATCTTCCATGATAGATGAGAAGACGCTGGCGACTGTAGGTTCCCGGACGATCAGCGTTTCGTGACTCTGCTCACATCTCCGTAGATGTGTCACCTCCTCGCAGACAACTCCCCGGATGTTCAGAGGATGAGCTACCACCTGCTGCAGAGTGCTGCTTCCAAGTTTACGGAACATCTTGTGGTCGAAGCGGGTGTTGACACGGAAGGAACTGTCAAATCTGAGCTGCCTGAGGAATTACTCGCTATTCTACAACAGGGAATTGGAGAGGGATTTGACGAAGATTTGCCTAGCTCACGCAGCCTGGAGGTGTCTGGATACTTGCTTGCGTGGATGGTTATATTCGATCTCTTCACCGGTGCTGTGAGTGTCTCCCTTCTTCGCATGGCTGCACGTGACGGAGCTGATGCTGGTACAGTCGTTGAAAGTTCGATCAGGCTACTTTAACCACTTGAGGAGTCTCGATATTGTTTCTGAGCATTTTATTCCCAGCATTTTTGACGTACTTGGCTTGCTTGACGGGAAGAAGGTGTTTAAGTTAGACATGTGGTCCGTGGACGAATTCTACTTAGATGGTAAGGAGCTACACTCGCAGCATATACTACATACTTATCCGCATTCACAGCTTATGATCCCGCAGACTCTCTTAGCCTCCAACTGCTCGCTGCCCACCTATACCATCGTGCTCTGCTGACTATTCCAGCATTGATAAGGAGCTGGATCAGCGATCGCACTGACAAGCAGTTGCTCATGCGTATCAGCGACTATACATCGGCTCATTTCTCACCCGGAATCATCAAGGCAGAACTAACGCTGATTCGACACCCCCCCGAATCTTCTGAGTTGTCGACCACTGAAAACTTGAATATCAAAGTGTCTTCGGCATTTAACGAGGTCGCTGCATCGTACTCGGTCGACGAGCAAGTGCTAGAGCTATCAATACGGATGCCAAATGACTGGCCACTTCGTCGCCTCGAGGTGCGGGACACGAAGAAGGTGGGTGTCTCAGAGGAAAAGTGGAAAGCATGGGTGTTAGGGGTACAGCAGATCGTATGGCAACAAGTGAGTCCAGTTTCTTGTGTGCGAGATGGGCTGCTGATGCGATTCTTTTATCAGAATGGGCGGATCGTGGACGGCCTAACGCTGTTCGCAAAGAATGTGACCCTCCACTTCGCTGGACAGGTGGAATGCGCGATCTGTTACTCGTGAGCCACGTTCCATATTTTGATGATAGATCCATTCATGTCTCTGGCAGTATTATCAGTGTCATGGATGCCAGTCTTCCTCAAAAACCTTGTAGAACCTGCAAGAATCGTTTCCACGCCAGTTGCCTTTACAAAGTGAGTCAATACTGTTCGCGTGTCTTGCGACGATTCCAATGATCCCGTGTTGTACAGTGGTTCAAATCAAGTCACTCGTCTAGTTGTCCGCTTTGTCGATCCAATATCATATAGACAAGCTGTTGTATTCGTTTGTGAAGCTGTAGCTTTACATGTCTTACTAGTAGCGAATTGCCATGATGCGCCATCCGTTGCGTCGCCCTCCATCTCATTTTAGTTCATCACCTAACATCCCAGTTACACGTACACGCTGGCCATGCAATCACGCTCAGTCTGCTTTGCACGCGTACAGCACCTCATATTACAAAACTTACACGCCCCTATAGTACTCTGGTCCAGTTACTACAATAAGGGTAAGTACGTACATGGGAACAAGAATGGGGGGAACATATGTACTATGCATACAGAGATACAAGTACAAAAGCTCTGGTTATCGCTGACAAGGACAAGGATCATATTCCGGAACGAGAGAGCTCACGGATCACGTTATCATCTTCCAACACCAAAAACCATCTGTGTCGTACGTTTTGATCAACCCTCTGAAGATGTGCCTGTCTCTCAGGTAGTCGACACGTCTTACGCCTCTACTAGCCTCCAATTGTGCCAGCTGTGGCACACTCGAATATCTGCGGGTATATGCATGGGAAATCGCCCTCCGTTCCCAGGTGGTTTACCATCGCCCAATCTGCATGGGAGATCTGTCGGCGAACGGAATGATAGATCATCCGGAGGACGTCCCCGACGGTGATAGTTCCGGAGGTATATTCATTATATCGGAGTTCGATATCGATCGGCCACTGTGGAATTGCATCATGAATGATCCGCATCTTCGTGACCGGAGGGGTCGTCGCAGCTTGACGAAGCTCACCCTCCGAAATCAAAACGAACTGTTCTGTGGCGAGGACCCGCATTGGCGAAAAGGTTGGAGAAGACAGGTCAAAGTAGAGATCGCTCAAGGTCGAATCTCCGTTCAGAAGAGGATGTAGCCAGAAGTTCTGGTTGGCGCCCTGGTATCCCCAAGGAGAATAGGGTACAGCATTGTTCCATGGGGAATACATTCCTCCGAAAGAATGCCTCCTGGACCTGTAGAGTGAAGGTGCGGACTGCAAGAAGGGGCTTGGTGGCATTCCGTCGACCCATGAACGGCTGCGAGAACGATAGGGTTGATGATACCATGCAGTATCACCATTGTAAGGAAAATCGTTGGTGGGGGTGAAAGACCTAATGTAGGGTGATGCTGCTGGTAAAGGGGAATACAGGGAAGTTGAAGTGGCGGGTGGGATGAACGGGGTAGACGGTTGGTAAGGGGTATAATTAAGGTATGGTGCAGGTTCAAGCGCAGCAGCCGGATATGTGTACGGGGATGACATCGGTCCAAGAGTTGCTACCAGTCCTGCGAGGGTCGCCAATTTATGTGTCGCAAGAGCTACGGGTTAATTGGGCGGTGGCTCGACACAGCTTGGGATCGCCAAGTCCTCCATGACCTCGGGCGGCTCTGAGTTTGTATCATGGAGACAGTTGGAGCTGATACCATGAAAGTCATAAGACCGTTGGTCGGATCAACATACTATACCTGGTTCATAGTATATGCAGTGGTGGTAGTTCAAACATCTTACCACCATCCAAATTCAAGTTGGTTGAACGACCAAGCCTCAGTGCTCAGCGGTTAACACTGACTTTGCCACGATAGCTGACCAGATAACCAGCGAGTCTGGCAAACTCTCTATGGCTCGACGGCTCGGCAATCATTTGTTTGTGAGTCATTCCAGATACAAGTTCACATTGGGAAGGGGAGACCGTTCATTCCACCACCAACGAATGAATGCTGTGCAGCCAACGGACACTGTACATGTGGACACGCATGAGGAACATTGCAAGGTAAACTAGGTAGTCAAAGCATAATGGACATACAATACTTTGTTTAACCCCGAAGGGAGCAGGCCGACGGAGTGTTTGGCTGCGATAAGCCTTGCGCAGAACATCGCAAGTTACTTGTGTGTTCAATACTAGAAATCTAGAACCTCAACGTTTGATGGCGACCATGCATTTATGTAAGCCTTTAGGCTTATTAGTGCAATCGAAGCAACATGTGCACCATACCGCATCCATCCCAAGGCTTCGGACCTATTAGGCGTAGCAATATCGACACTCTTTGGCACCGTATCGTCATACTTTACCGTATGCGCCTCATTCAGCTCAAACCCGGAGTCGAGTATTCGGTTCATGCCCAAGGGTCACCAGATTGAATCGGATGTGGGAAAAAACAAATGGTCATATGCGAGTCAAGACTCGAAACCCCAAGTCAGCTTTTCGAAATTGAAACTGGAACATATCCTTGAAACTGGAACATATCCGGGGACCTGGCAGCTGATTTCTAAAACTCTGCTATTTGGTAAGTCGAAACCAACAGCATGTCGAGGTCGGTGTTTTGAAATTGAAACTGGAACCTATCCTGGGCAGGAGCGGTGTTGATGTCACGGATTTAACTTTTCTGAGACTCCAAGTCGTCCTGTGACCCGTTTCCTACTTTGGTCGAAATATGCCTCGTTCAGTGGAGCAGGGCGTGAGCATGCGACTATAAAGTCGAAACCTGCAGAGACAATGAAACTCCCTCCCTTCAAGCTTGGCCGAGTTCAATATCCTCGCCAGTCTCCGTACCGTCAGTCAAGTTATGATGGTTAGGCCAGACGCGACGACTGCTATACTGCCAGAGCCCAACCAGACAATCATTCATCCAGATCACCTATCCTTCTCTGTCAAGCAAGATGGTAGCACTTCAACAGCATTTTTTGCCTTTGCAGTAATCAAAGGTTTCGTTTGTCTGGTCCAAAGTGAGTCAGCCTTCGCAGACTTGCCCTCGCTCCCTCGCTAAGTTGCTCATCTAAAGTAACGACGCCTCGGAGCATGGACTCGACGTCCGTGCTGCTCGACGTTTCTATATTTCGCCACGAATTTGTTTCTATGTGGCGGTACTCCCATACAGTCCAACTCTATCCCTCAGAGATCGGGGCCTTCTTGGCCCTGAATACACATTCAGTCCGGTACGAGGAGGACAGCGGTACAATATTCCTCGCGAAAGACTTGATGTGCCATTTGAAGGGGTTCATGGATGCGAGCACCAAGTCCAAGGCATCCCGCAGTCGTCCAGCTTCGGGAAGGTGGCGGAGCTAAACGAGCATCTGGTAGTAGTGGCGCATTTGTTTGTTGTGGCAAGCTGTGCGGCGTCGCAGAAACCACTTCGGAATGACCAATGACCACCTAAGGTGTGCTAAGGGCTTACTGCTAGCTCTTATCTGTCTTATCTTCGTCGTCCTCCATTTCGTTATCCAAGCATTGTATTCTAGTACACGCACACTTATTAGGGTAGCTTTGGGTGGTGGTGCTATGTACCAATGGGGTTCATAAGGCTACCGTTTTGCCATCGTATGCTAAGGCGTACCCAAAGTTGACTGCTTTTGTGCCTGTGGAGGCTTCAGATCTGCCTCGGCCTTTCTTCAACACGCACGTGCTCTTCTCCACCATTCTCCAAAAACTGCTTCGTCTTACCCACAGTGACGTTTATGACGTAGACCGGGTCGATCGCAAGGCCCATCATTCTGTTGACGTAGTCGGGCAAAATCAAAAACACGTCAGTGAAAGAAGGATGCGAAGAGCCCGCTGGAAGAAGTTCCGGGGTGAGCAGCACATGATAAAGGATCCGACGAACTACTTACGAATGACATGGACTTCGTGCTGGGGAACACCAGAGAGCATATAACGTAACATGGAAAATTCCACACCAGCAGAGAATTCCTCAGAACTGACCGCAAGTAAGGGAACAGTAATCCGTCCATTCCATGATTGCAGTCCTGGGAGGTGTCAACAAACGGACGATGGAAGACGACGACGACGACGACACAGACTTTTCGTGGCGGGATCGAATACAACAATGTGGCTGAAGGAAAAACGACTGTCAGCGGCGGCAGCCATCTGCAAGGAAGGTCAACGAGTACTGTTGCGTGAGCAATACATAACGATCAAACTGACGGCTAAGCTCCCGCCAAAAGAGTGCCCTGCCATCACAGGCGCGTCGACTTCCACACAGTCCCACTCGTCCCAGTTGCTCGATGACGAGTAACGATGTCCAGTGGACGCAAAAGGCTCTCCACGCGCCGCTTTCTGTAATCCCGCCAAGACACCTTGCACCTCGGCTAAACGAACCTCCAACTGAACACGTCGAAGCATGGTATCATCCGATGGCTGTTCGGGCAAGTCTATCCAACTGGTCGAAAGAGGAAGCAAGGTAAGTATACTCAGATGCAGGGGTAAGGAAACGCACTCTAGATCGTTCCAGTGAATCCATGAAAAGTCGCTTTCCTCTCCATTTGCGTTGGTGATTCTTGCGTGTGGGCCAGTACCGTCCCGATGTTCTATAGCAGCAACAACAAACCCTCGAGATGCCATTTCACCACAAAAAGATGTCTGTGACAGAGGACCGGAGGTGTGGCTGATGAAACGTAGCGCAGGACAAAGGCTTACGTTCATTAAGCGCGAAGATCCTGCTCCGTGACTGAACAGTAGCAGTGGCCACTTCGTCGAACCCGGCAGTGCCTTCAGCGGCGCATTTGGTATGCCCGGAAACGTGGTTCCCCATGTAACGACAGCCGCCCCCGCATCTGGTACCGTGTAAACCCGAGTGCTTCTCAAGGTAGGGAACGCCTACGTACAAGCCATGTATTTATAGAACCAATTGCAGGTGTTGGACATTTTCATTAAGCCTTCGACGGTTTGACGAAGTCTACTCCCAACCATTTCCACTGTGACTGCCTCAAAAACCTCAGAAGTTTGTTTCTACTCACCTGGGAAACCATACAATGCGATGGTCATTTTCATTCGATTCAGTAGGATAGAACAGAGTAAACATGGTGGTGTCAATGGTGATTCCAACCTCATTCGGCATCGACTTATGCTTAAAATTTCCGAACGACTGTTTCGGGATGGAAATTTCGACGTCTCGAACGCCAACGCGGTACTGCCCACTGTAGCGGGGTAACGTCCTAGAGAATAAGGTGCCGTAAGGAGAACGTTTTGACACCGCTTGAATGTGCGGCGTTCCCAAGCTCTGTGAGTTTGACATAGCGTGCAGCACTGAATGCAACTCCAAAGTAACTCAATGAGAAAGAAGGACAAAAGGTACGAATACAAGCTTGAGGTCATTATGGAGTTATTGGAAATAGCCCAAAACGGTGGCGTCATAGGAGCTGGCATAGGAGATGCGTGAGAACCAGTTGCCTTGCTTGCGCCCCCTGTCTACGGAGCAAATAAAGGGGGGGCTAACTTACCTAGGTTTTCAAAAATCTTGTTCCTTGATGTCTTCTTCCCTAAGTGGCCCACCAACCCCCCTCACTTTCATGCACCACCTCTCTACGCCCCTGAAAACTGTGTAGGTAAGGGCAGCAACAACAAACCCAACAGCAATCCCGCAGTCTCCAGACCCGTACTGCGCAACGGGCCCTACATACCACGCCTGAGACATAAAAGGCACAAGTGCTCCACACGCGCAAAAGAATGCAAGGATGGCGGATGTTCCGGTAGGCAGTAACCTGGGAGAGTCCCACGTGGCAATTGGGTAGACGTCCTCGGTGAACGATGCGCGACGGAACAGCACGTGCTCGATCAAAACGATTGCCGCGAAAGCCGCACTCCAGTATCCGATTACACCTGGGAACGATCTCAACACAATAGTATGCGATGAGTGTCCAATGACATACTGAGAATGTCCACGAATGTTGTATAGAATGTCTTTGCGCCAATAATAGCGACCGGTATGAGGCTGGAGAGGATTGTCGATTAGCAGGCAAGTCTCCAATATACATATATTAAATGCAGCTCACACTCCCTCGGATACCAAAATATACACCCAACGCGGAACGAGGGCGAACCATCCGGCGATGGTCATGAAACTCGTGCTGAACGTGTACATGCACGGTGCGCAGGCGCTGGGTATGCTGAGCGCAACTAATACAGTGAGCAACTTTCCGAAGCTGCCAACAGGGGTCAAAACACTGTATATCAAACCTCCGACAGATGTGCTGTCCTGGAAGCCAGCGTTCCATGCAGGCACACTAGGAGCTGCAGCTGCAAAAGCTGCACCCATGGTATGAGCCGTAAGCTGCGACTTTCCATCAGACGCACTCATAGGCTTCAGTTCGAGGAGACTTACACTTGCAGTGAGGAACCCAAGATACGTGTAGAGGAAGACGCGAGAGCTAATACCGTTATATCAACTCACTGAGCGCAGTACGTGAAAGTGTCCTTACGATGAAGCTTTTGGGCTGTGGTAAACACCATAGTCGGGAGTTATCGTACACCAACTAAGCACACTAGCAGCCACCGTGGATCCAAAAGACAGTATGGATGATGCTTTCGGTGCTGGAACCGATACGGACTGGTTGATATGAAGATGGGGGTACCCAAGCGCAAGCATGGCAATGAATGCAATCACGTTTGGGATCCATGCTACGCTTTCGAACCTATCACGAAGGTGAACCACACGAACATGCGCAGGAACAACCACTACTTACCAATGAAGAAAGCGATACCCAAAGAACGTCACCTGGGTTTGACGATGAGAAGTGGGGATGCTAAACAGCGAAGAAACTCACCACGAGCGAGATGATACTTATGATAACGATGCCCAGGGTGTCGTCTATATGTGAGCTGACGCTTGCGATCGTCTGTCCTCCGATGATACAGTTCAAGATAAGGAAACCCTGCAGGGAGAAGACATTTAGAGCGCTGGGAATAATTGCACCGTAATAGCTTGATTGCAGGTAAGTTCCAGCGCTTAAGATAGAACGCGTGGCATCGCCTACCCCCAAGAAAACCGGGACTGAACCATAGCGCGGGTGCCAAGCTTTGGCCCAAATACAGCACTGATTTACTTCCATGTGAATGCTTTCCATTGAGCAGGTAGTGTGAACGTTTGCACGTACAAGATTGCCGGAATCAGGCAGACCCTGATGAGATCAGGTAAGCAGCAGGGCGGGTGAGATTACGGTATGGATGGCAGCTTACACGAGATCGACGATGGTTATAACGACGATGGAGTCACGCACGCCGAGCGAGAAGAAAGCTGGCCCGGCAGTTCCAGTGCTGAAGCTGCAGATTTGGAGAGTTGGCTGTCCTGCTCCCGAAGCTTGCCGCAGTGCGTGCACACACCTGAGGATGTTCATGTTCGCAGAGAACCAGACAAAGAACATCTGGTACCACCGCGTCTCCAGTCTCTCTTCCCTCGGGATCGGGGCGATGCTTCGTGTAGCATGAGATATGCGACGGTAAGTCTATGAATAGAAGAAGCTCTTACCCATGAGTTTCAACCCCATAGTGAGCTAGGAACGTTGACACACGCCGCAACCAACGTAAGGGTAAGGGACCTGCTTGTGGGTCATTACCAGGCTCGTCCATTGAAACTCTAGTCGACTAGAGGATCGAAGCTAAAAGGCAGCTTTGTCGGCCACGTCATCGAGCTCCTACGTATCTGCGAAGGGCGGAATATTCTCCGTTACAATATCTTCCGGTCACTAACAACCGGACAACCCCGAAGTACATGAAAACCGCAAGGACACTACATACACTCTCGTAAACGTCATGCAATGTTGTACGTCCAGCTAAGGGTCTGGGGGTGACACCGTAACGTTAAAACCTATGGGTCGCTGTTCATCCGCGGGACGGTGTCTCAAGTACGATGCTCTGACGCGTCCGGCAACAAAGCATATCGGCCATACTAGACGTCGCCACCACGGACTACCTCTCGGCCAGAAAGAACTCTCTGTTTGCATAGCAATCACCAACCACGCGGTCAGAACAGTCAGTGTGACCGTGGCCTCAGCATAGTGACTAAGAGTTTCACGAGTGCCTGGATTGATTTCCGCGACGTTCATCCCGAAAACACTCTGGGGAGTAGAATAAGCTATCTGGTGATTGGATATGATGTAATTGGGTACTTACTGCTATCAAGCTCGCAGGCAAGAAGATCATTGTGAGGTAAGAAATCTAGAAAAAACTGTCAGCAACAACACCAACTATAACCAACTAGCACACCTGCTTCATTGCAGCAGAATCTCGCATGGATGCCTCCGTGAGCCTTTTCATGGCTCGGCTGTCTTCGATATTTACAGTTGCAAATGCCTAACAAACAGGGTCAACGATGGGAAGTACGCATCGCACAAACACCAACCAGCTGCATGACGTTCTTCAAACGGTCAGACTGCATGGTTCTATGACCCTCTAACCGGTTTATTTCGGAAAGCAAGTTATCCACTTCCCTCGCCAGAAGCTCCGCGGAGTTGTCCTTGTCTTTATCGCAGTCCATCGCTGGATTTGGAGAGTTTCTTACGAAGTCGACGGACTTGTGGAAGTCCTGGAGAAGTTGTTGATAATGCAACAGATATGCTTGCACTTTGTGCAACTCGCGCGTCAGGTTGATGTCGTTGGTTCCTAAAACTTTTGATTCCTAAAGCACCATTCAAGCAAATGTAAAAGCAGACAATCGTGGCACTCACTAGCTTGTTAATATGCCGGTATAAAGCTTCGAAAGCCTCATCCCACGCATAAAGCGCATACCAAAGTATAGCGAGGAAGACGAATGTTGGATCTCTGGACTTGGCAAAAAGCTTAGACCAATATACACTATCCCCAGTTCTTTGCACAAGGGACTGGAGACGCTTGGCGGACGTTTTCTTCAAATTGGATATAGGGTGATATGAAATGATAGTGCTGGAATCCCTTGTCCGGACCATGTGAATAGCCAGAAGATCTTGAAGTAAAATTTCGTGAGCTAGATGGTCGGTGGAATGTCATTGTAGGGTAACTGTGCCAGAAATACTTTGTCCGCTTACTTAGCTCTAATGGCGCTTGGGTATTAATCTCAAGAACCTCTAGAAACGCGAGGTCACAATTGCATCCTATTCGCATGATAGTGACGTACCATGCATTGCGGGCGCAAACTTTTGTGAGGTAACCGACCCAACAGATGAGATGCTCTCTGGTCTAGTACCAGGCTTCCGCATGCTGCAAATGAACGGGAGAGTGACGGTTATGTCTGTATAGCGTGTAAGCCATGCTTTGAATCGACGCCACGACTATACCAACGGTCTCCATATTCAGCCTTGGCGTCTTCTTGGTATCGTGAAGGTATCCAATTCGTCGAGGACGAGAAGAAAAAAGGTTCGATATCGAAGCTGGGATGAAGGTTGTAGGACTGCAGCAAAGAGAGGTGAGAGTAAACCCACGTTGTTCCCAGCATCTTCAAAACATTCAGGGACAAATTATCGACGAAAAACGCCCGAATTCGAATGCCCTCGGGTCGCTGTTATGCGGAGCAGACAACTCAGCGGATCAACTAACCTGAGATTTTGAACAATCCTCACAGGCTGTTGTAGTTCGTTCCAAAATGCCTGATAACTAGCACTGTCAGCAGTAACGGTTATAGTTCTTTCTCCGGCAGCTTTGTCGAAGTGCCCGTCGTCTTTCACTTCCACGTTGTGAATCAAACAAGGCTGGGAATCTGAGCAGGCAGTCAACATCTTGCTTCTCTGGACTTGATCTGGGGTCCAGTTCCCGAACAAATTTTGAGGGTATGTTTTCCAATGATCAGAGGGAGAAGCCAACCCGCCCGGATAGAGTGGCTCGACTGTACTCTCATCTACGTCGAAGTCCATCCACGGCCACGGCGCGGATGGTGCAGCATGGCGATAGCTGAGAACACGTCACCGATCCTCTTAAGTGCGCTTAGGATGAGAGAGACTCACGGGGGTACGGGTGTTCTTAGCTTCGTGATATCTGCCTGAGAGCTGCCCGGATCCTTCCTTCCACCACCAAGACTGGAGAGGGCCACAGGAATGCTACGGCCTGACATGACGTTAATTGAATGAGACGGCGGATGAGAAGAAGAGGGTGACCAACGATGGCGCCGGGGGGGAACGTGTGTATATAAACCATTTCCCTTGCGAGATACAAGCAAGCGCCCAATGGAAAACCCCGCTGGTTCGGAGCCCAGACACTTGGCAATTCAATTGTTAGACTAATGCCTGCCGCATGTCATCTGAAGTACGTACATACATGTGGATCAATGATGTACCAACTACCAGCCCCTCGAGTCATTGCGGCTTGCATATCCATTAACACCCGGCCATGGTACCCTGATAGACAAGGACTGGTTACGGAGCCAAGTGGTAAAGGGTAAGAATTTCGATATCGATCACACCGATAAGCTACGAGCGTTTCGCTTCGAATAGAGTGGGACCCGTGGGTGATACATTATGTCACAAACATGCACAGGGACCCACAGACTCGAGCAAGACGGTGCTGACACAGATGGGGCCACGACATTATAACTTCACCATCCCTAAAGGTCTCCCTCAGGCTGGGTGGTAGCCACCTAAAGCGGCGCTCATTTCGGGGGTGGTGCACGTGTGCATGCCATAACATTGAACATCCTCTGGTTCCTGTGACCAGGTCTCAGTGCACGCCTTCTCACATGGTTCTAGGCGCTGAACAGGAGAGGTACGTGCATGTTACCTATCGACCATTCAAACACACTCCGTATGGGCGTCATCAATGAACGTTGGCATTTGCTCCCATTACCGCGTCAACACGGAAATAAACGCATTCTCCACCGGCCAACCAAGTCAGTCAATGATCCTACCACAGTTACACTGCTAGGGAAGTTCTTATACTAGTACCTGTAAAGGTGAGGGAGGTAGTAAGGAATGTACGAATGAGACTTACATAAGAGGATGGATAAGGTACCGGGAATGGTTTGCAACCGGATAATTTGAAGACAGAAGACAATGTGCAACGTGGTGTTTGGCCAACAGATAACGAGCCGAAATTCTGTACACCAACGGCCCACTCGCAACGAAGACGTGACAATATCTCGGCGCATAGGTTATCAGGCATTTGGTTGCAGAAAACCTTCCGTATTCACATGCTACAAGTATCGTCTATGGGCTGTTGTGTGTCCTCAAACCGAGGGCCCTTCCATGGTCGGCGGCGTCCTTGGACAACGGATCAAGGCACTCTACGCCAGGGATTGCAAAACGAATCCGTCAACACATCAAAATACAAAATTGCCACTGAGATGATAGATAACTGAGTGCTGAGGCTTATTAAATAGAAGTGCAACAAGTGCCCAAAAGGCGATGTGTCTTTCACCGTTGAGCCTCAGAATTTGGGTTTGGACAATAAATATTGTTGAGGCCATAAGCTGAGACCATGTCTGAGTAAAGAAATAAGATGCTGCCCAAGGGTGGGAATGATGCCATACCCCCAAGAGGGGTGTGACTACACATAGTGGGAGCAAGGGCAGATGTGCCCCAATGAACAAAGATATCAAATACACAACATAGATAAAAGGTAGCTACAAGATACATAGGTATACACCCCCATGAGACAAGAAAGTCAGCTCATTGCCCTGCACACTTGCCTGATCACATCACTCTTGAGTGATAACACACATGCCCAGTACCACACTCCTGCCTGAAAGAGCCTTACATCATCCACTCTGTTGTGTCCCATCTTTGCCTCAAGCACCTCAACCTATTAGAGGTACATTTCCTATCAAAATTTCAATCCAGCAGCCCTGCCATTCAAAATAACCCCAGCCGAGAGGTGCTGGGTTTATATGAAGGGAACTGTATTCATTTACAATAGTTGCACACACAGTAAGTAGGGGAAAAAAAAAAAAAAACAGATTCTACCACCTTGTGCAATTTCACCATCTGCCATTGTGCCATTGTGCCGGTGGATATCAACCGAATATAATCTCGCCACCTACGCCAGGTCTGGGTCCGTCACCATAGCATTAAAACTTCTGGGCTGCTGTTTGTCTGTAAGACGGTGTCTTAAGTTGGCAACAAAATATATCGGCCATACTAGACGTCGCCACCGCGGACTACCTTTCGGCCAGAAAGAACTCTCCGTTTGCACAGCAATCACCAACCATGCAGTCAGAACAGTCAATGTGACCGTGGCCTCAGCATAGTGGCTAAGAGTTTCACGAGTGCCAGGATTGATTTCCATAATGTTCATCCCGAAAACACTCTGGGGAGTAGAATAAATTATCTCGGAATTGGATATGATTGCGTACTTACTGCTATCAAGCTCGCAGGCAAGAAGATCATTGTGAGATAAGAAATCTAGAAAAAAAGCTATTGGCAATAACACCAACTACAACCAACTAGCACACCTGCTTCATTGCAGCAGAATCTCGCATGGATGCTGCCGTGAGCCTTTTCATGTCTCGGCTCTCTTCGATATTCACAGTTGCAAATGCCTAACGAACAGTGTCAACAATGGAAAGTACACATTGCACAAACACCAACCAGCCTCATGACGTTCTTCAAACGGTCAGACTACACGGTTCTGTGACCCTCTAGCCGGCTTATTTCGGAAAGCAAGTTATTCGCTTCCCCCTTCAGAAGCTTCGCAGAGTCGTCCTTGTCCTCATCGCATTCCATCGCGGGATTTGGAGTGTTTTTTACGAAGTCGACGGACTTGTGGAAGTCCTGAAGAAGTTGTTGGTAATGCAACAGGTATGCTTGCACTTTGTGCAACTCGCGCGTCCAGTTGATGTCGTTGGTCCTTAAAACTTCAGATTCCTGAAGCACCATTCAAGCAAATGTAAAAGCAGACGATCGTGGCACTCACTAGCTTGTTGATATGCCGGTATAAAGCGTCGAAAGTCTCATCCCACGCATACAGCGCATACCAAAGTATCGCAAGGAAGACGAACGTTGGATCTCTAGACTTGGCAAAAAGCTTGGACCAATAAACACTATCTCCGGTTCTTTGGACGAGCGACTGAAGACGCTTGGCGGACGTTTTCTTCAAATTGGATATAGGGTGATATGAAATGATAGTGCTGGAATCCCTTTTCCGGACCATGTGAATAGCCAGAAGATCTTGAAGTAAAATTTCGTGAGCTAGAGGGTCGGTGGAACGTCAGTATAAGGTGACTATGCTAGAAATACTGTCCGCTTACTTAGCTCTAACGGCGCTTGGGTATTAATCTCAAGAACCTCTAGAAACGCGAGGTTACAACTGCATCCTATTCGCATGATAGTGACGTACCATGCATTGCGGGCGCAAGCTTTTGTGAGGTAGCCGACCTGGTGGATGAGACGTTCTCTGGTCTAGTACCAGGCTTTCGCGTACTGCAAATGAACGGGAGAGTGACGGTTATGTCTGTATAGCGTGTAAGCCATGCTTTGAATCGACGCCACGAATATACCAACGGTCTCTGTATTCGGTCTTGGCATCCTCTTGGTACCGTGAGGGTATCCAATTCGTCGAGGACGAGAAGAAAAAAGGTTCGATATCGAAGCTGAGAGGAAGGTTGTGGGACTGCATTAAAGAGAGACGAGAGTAAACTCACGTTGTTCCCAGCATCTTCAAAACATTCAAGGACAGATTATCAACGAAAAAAGCCCGGATTCGAATGCCCTCGGGTCGCTGTTTTGCAGAACAGACGATTCAGCCGATCAACTAACCTGAGGTTTTGAACAATCCTTACGGGTTGCTGCAGTTCTTCCCAAAATTCCTGAGCATTGTCAGCAGTGACGGTTGTAGTTCTTTCTCCGGCAGCTTTGTCGAAGTGCCCGTCGTCTTTCACTTCCACGTTATAGATCAAACAAGGCTGGGAATCTGAGCAAGCAGTCAACATCTTGCTTCTCTGGACTTGGTCTGGGGTCCAATTCCCGAACAAATTTTGAGGGTATTTTTTCCAATGATCAGGGGGAGAAGGCAGCCCGCCCGGATAGGGTGGCTCGACTGCACTCTCGTCTACATCGAAGTCCATCCACGGCCACGGCGCAGATGGTGCAGCATGGCGATAACTGAAAACATGTCACCGGTCCTCTTCAGTGCGCTCAGATGAACAAGACTCACGGAGGTACGGGTGTCTTCAGCTTCGTGATATCTGCCTGAGAGCTGCCCGAATGCTTCCTTCCACTACCGAAACTGGAGAGGGCCACAGGAATACTACGGCCCGACATGACGTTAATTGAACGAGAACACGGATGAGAAAAAGAGGGTGACCAATAATGGTGCCAAACGGGAACTTGTGTATATAAACCATTTCCCTTGCAAGGTGTGGGTAAGCGCCACAGTGGAAAACCCCGTTGCTTCGGAGCCAGGTGGTAAAGGGTAAGAACATCGGCGATATCGATCACGTCGATGTGCTATGAGCGTCACAGTTTCGCTTCGGATAGAGCGGAACCTGCGGGTAAAACGTTACATCACACATGCACAAGAACCTACAGATTCGAGCAAGACGCAGCTGACAGAGATTGGGGCCACGACACTACAACACCACCGTCCCTGAAGGTCACCGTCAAGCTGGATGGCAACCACTCGATGCGGCGCTCTTTTCAGCGAGTCGATTAGTGGTGTGCGCATGCCATAACATTGAACACGCGCTGGCTCCTGTGACCATATCTCACTGATACACGCCTTCCTCTCACGTGGTTCTAGGCGCTGAACAGGTGAGGTACGTGCATGTTACCTATCAACCATTCAAACACACTCCGTACAGGCGTCATCAACTAGCGCTGGCATTTGCTCCCATTACCGCATCAACACGGAAATAAATAAACGCATTCTCCACTGGTGTAAGCGTTCGCTTACCTTACCACTTACCGCTTGCCACTCACACACCATACGCACCGTTCACGCTATTGCTTCACGTCGTCACATCTCCTATTCCCTCGGTCGTGCCCTCGTCTGGGCATGCAGATCCCTCCTGCTGTGTTGTACTGTTTGGACCCCAGGGGTATATATACTGGTGCTGCATGTATGCGCAGGTCGTCTCTTCTTTTCTCTCTTTCCACTCACTTGCTCTGTTGAGCATCTTGTATCAGCATGTACACTTGATTGTCTAATCCCCACATGCCTGTCCACGTTCTGTCGTCGTTGTGAGCCGTTCTGAGTGTACTCACCCCACAGTGGTGAGTTCCACTTTTTTTGAACGTGCCATAGCGCGTGTCAACGCCTGCTAGAGGTGTCAAACTGCCATCCCATAAACTGCTGTCCTGTTGCGTTCCCTCTGTCCCCGTATCATCGCCATTGTCCTCGTCTTTGTCTTTGCTGTCTATGTCACACACCGCCTCTACTCCCCTGCCATCTATGCCACTGCCTGTGGCCCCACCCAGCACTGCTCCGTCTCCGCCTATCTCCCCTGCATACGTCCCATTACCAGCATCCCTTCCACCGTCTCTGACTTCCACGGATAGCTCATCGTCATCTGATAGCTTCACAGTGGTTCTCCCTGTCTTCACGATGTCCTCAACACAGTCTCAAGTAGCGCGATGTGAAAATACCACTCCTGGAAAAACCCCTCCCTTCTTGACAGTGGGTGACATCACCCTGGAAGGGTTGCGAAGCTGGGAACTAGGTTGCGAGAATTACTTTCGGCTAAAAAGTGTAGCAGAGGACGTTCAGGTTGCCAAGGTTGTGGGTCACCTTCTGGATCCTCGTGTGCAGGACTGGATTAGTAACAATGGCAGTCGACTGACTGCCCTCTCCTTCTCGGAGTTTATGGATGAAGTCCATACGTACTGGCTTCCCAGCGACTGGGCGGAAGCTATCCAGCAGAAAATGCTCTTGTCAACGCAGGGTAACAAAGCCTTCCACTTGTGGGCTGTCGAGGTGGAGAGTCTGAATGTTCTGTTATGGGGTAGCAAGTTCCACCTCACTGAAGACCATCTTCGTTTTCACCTAGAATCTCACATGCACCCGGATCTCACTGCAGAATATCGCTTGTCTGGTGGCCGCCGTGAGAAGCAGTTCTGTGCTTGGCTTGACCTGGTCTGCTTGCTTGACGAGAAACACGTTCATGACGCTGCAAAACTCGATGCGGCTCTTTGTAGAAAGCCTTTTCAACCTAGCCGTTCAGCTAACACTGCAGCGTCGGGTTCGAAGGCACCAGATGGTCACACCCGCACTCACCCTCCTGCCCTCACTGTCGAGGAACGCCAGCTCCTTCGGGACAACTCAGGCTGTTTCAAATGCCACTGTCTCTTTCAAAACCATACCACACGTGATTGCCCAAATGATTTCCCTGACACAAAAAACTACAAAGCACTGACCACTGCCGACGTTGAGGCCGCTTGTAAGAAACATGCCAAACCTATTGCTGCAATCATCGAAGAGGAGCCTGCAGCGAAGCGCTCCTGCATCACTGAAGTGGATGACGACACAGATGCCATTGCTGTTGTCATGCCCTCTGCTGTGCTGGGGGATGGAACTGACTCAGGTGAAGAGTATGTTGCACCTCTTTCCGTTCCCCATCTCCGGTGGTCCTGCCTCCTGGAAGGACCTAACATGACCTTCCCTCTACCTGTGAAGACACTGATTGACAGTGGTTCTCATTTAGTTCTGATTGATGAAACCCTTGTCTCGAAGCTAGGGTTATGGCACCGTCAGTTGCATAAGTCCCTCGATGTTTCGGTAGCACTTTCTTCTGGTAACCAGGAGGTCATGTCTCTGCAGAGTTACGTTGTGCTATCTTGTCTTTCCCTGGATGCACGCTTTCATTCTCAGTCCATCTGTGCAATCATTGCACCCCATTTATGTACACCACTCTTGTTAGGACTTCCGTTCCTTGCACATAATCAGCTCGTCGTCGATCATGCTCTCTGTACATGTATTAATAAAGATACTGGTTATGACTTGTTGAATCCTCCAACTCCTGTCCCAGCACCTGTCCCCTCACCAGTAACCCCTACTGTTCAGGCTGTCAAGCAACTTAAGGGTGTGGTCCTTGCAGAGTTACATAGCATTCTGCCTGTGTATCGCGAACTTGTGGAGGTGGCGTCCACCCTGGTCTGTGGGGTGGATGTTATTGGCGCAGTACAGCATCACATTGAGGTCCTCGTGGCTGCTGAGGAGCTGACAACATGTGATGCACAACTCAAGGTTGAGTTCACTGATCACTTCCCGAGTGACATTCCACCCACAGATGCCCTGCCTGACGATGTGCTCTTCTGGGTCCAGCCCAAGGATGCCAACAAGGTGATCCAGCTTTGGTCGTACGATTGTCCAAAGAAGTATCATGAAGCGTGGAAAATGTTACTACAACAACATCTGGATGCAGGGCGTTTACGGCCTTCCAATAGTACTCACTCTTCGCCCACGTTCATTATTCCAAAGGCGGATCCTGCTGCGTTGCCATGCTGGGTCAACGATTTTCAACAACTCAATCTGAACACGATCCCCGATAACCACCCGTTACCCCACATTGATGAGATCCTTCGTGATTGTGCTAAAGGCAGGTATTTCACGAAACTGGATATGACCAATGCCTTCTTTCAGACCAAGGTTCATCCAGATGACATTAAATGGTTAGCCGTGCACACACCTTGGGGCCTGTACGAGTGGACTGTCATGCCTATGGGGGTGTGGAATGCCCCTGCAGTTCATCAGCATCGGATGTCTGCTGCCCTCCATCATCTAATCGGTCGCATTTGCCATGTGTATCTTGATGACATTATTATCTGGTCACAGACGCTCGAGGAACATGAATGCAACATCCGTGCAGTCCTCCAGGCTCTCTGTGACGCTAAGTTATATTGTTCTCTTAAGAAGACTCAGTTGTTTTGTACTGAAGTTCTGTTTCTTGGCCATTGCATCTCTGCTCATGGAATCGAGCCTGACTCTTCCAAGATCGCAAGGATCCTTGATTGGCCAGTACCACGATTGGTTATGGACGTGCAGGCCTTCCTGGGCCTTGTTCGTTACGTTGCAGATCATCTTCCCAATCTCGCAGAGCACACACGTGTTCTGAACACGTTGACAACCAAGGCTGTGGAACTCAAGTTCCCTGTCTGGAATGATGACCATCAGCAGGCCTTCCAGGCCATCAAAGATCTTGTGGTCAGTCCCCACTGCTTGATGACAATTGATCATGATAATCCAGGTGACAACCGCATTTTCCTTACATGCGATGCCTCGGACTTCCAAACTGGGGCAATTCTCTCTTGGGGACCCACTTGGGAGACGGCTCGGCCAGTTGCTTTCGATTCCACTCCCCTTCACAGTGCTGAACTCAATTACCCTGTGCACGAGAAGGAGCTCCTCGCCATCATTCATGCCTTGAAGAAGTGGAGGGTCGAGCTGCTTGGGACCCCAGTGTTGGTGTATACTGATCATCAAACCCTTCAGCACTTTGCCCTACAACGCGACCTCTCCCAGTGCCAAGCTTGCTGGCAAGAATACATGTCCCAGTTTGATCTGATGATTCATTATATTCAAGGCGAGTGTAATGTGGGTGCTGATGCCCTGTTGCGACGCTCGGATGGCGCCCCCCCCATGGCTGCAGTGTCCACGGTCAAGGTGGACAGGTTGCTGACAGTGGAGATATTGAAAGGGTACACAGAAGATCCCTTCTGTCGGTGACTATTCTCTCTTCTTGACTCACTGCCCGGTCTACAGGAACGTGATGGCCTGTTGTACCTTGTGGGTTGCTTGGTGATCCCCCATGTACATTCACTACAAGAACGCTTCTTTCACCTCGCCCATGATGCCTTAGGCCATTTTGGCATGGACAAGACCTATGCGACTCTCCGTAATTCATTCTACTGGCCTAACATGCGTCGTGACCTTGCATCTGCATATATCCCAGCTTGCACTCATTGCATGCGCAACAAGTCTCCGACTATGGCACCGGCGGGCCCGTTACATCCCCTGCCAGTCCCTGATGCTCGTGGAGACTCTGTGGCCATCAACTTCATTGGTCCCTTACCAGAGGACCATGGCTTCAATATGATCGTCACAATGACGGACTGCCTTGGTGCTGACACATGCCTTGTGCCTTGTCAAAGTTTCATCACTGCCTCAGAGTTCACTACACTTTTCTTCGATCATTGGTATTGTGAAAATGGCCTTCCCTTGGAGGTCATTTCAGATCGAGATAAGCTTTTCTTATCTTGCTTCTGGAGGTCCCTTCACAAGTTGACAGGAGTTAAACTCAAGATGTCTTCGTCGTACCATCCCCAGACCGATGGGGCAAGCGAGCGCACCAACAAGACAGTCAACCAATGTGTTCACTTCCATGTTGAACGTAGCCAGAAAGGCTGGGTCAAGGCCCTGCCTCGCGTACGTTTCCATATTATGAACACCGTTAGCAATAGTATGGGGTTCTCCCCATTTCAGCTCCACCTTGGTTGTTCTCCACATCTCTTACCTCCCATCTCCACTTTGGATGCTGAGACAACAGAACATGCAGATGCTGCTGCCTTTTTGGCTCGTCTGGAGATGGACGTCCTCGAAGCGCATGACAACTTACTTGCGGCAAAGGTGGCTCAAGCTCATGCGGCTAATCGACACCACGTCCCCGACCCAAGGTTTTTGATCAGGGACAAGGTTTGGCTGTCTACGAAACATCATCGTCGTGAATATCTTACTAATGGAACAAATCATGTAGCCAAGTTTATGCCACAGTATGATGGCCCCTACACCATCTTGTTGGCTTTGCCCGAAACCTCCTCCTATGTCTTAGATGTGCCTCGTGCAGCCAACGCATGCACCATGTTCCACGTCAGTCAACTACATGCCTTCGTGCCTAATGATACAACACTCTTCCCCTCTCGCGAGCTACCTCACCCAGGCCCTGTGGTCATGGAGAATGGTCAGTTGGAGAACTTGATTGAGCGGATCTTGGATGAGAAGCGGGTTGGGAGGACGAAGAAGTATTTGGTGCAGTGGTTAGGGTATGGACTGGAGGATGATGAGTGGTTGATGAAGAAGGATCTGGAGGATTGCGAGGCATTAGATGTTTGGGAAAGGGAGCACCCACCGTAGGGTGTTGAGGTTGACAAAGAACAGGTTGATGAAGAAGATGTTGAGGTTGATGAAGAAGAGTTGAGGTCAGGTTGATGAAGAAGATGCTGAAGAAGATGCAGGGTTCATGCCCACTCACGCTCCCTCTCCCCCCGGTTGCCTTTTTTTATGGGCTGGGAGGGTGTAAGTGTTCGCTTACCTTACCACTTACCGCTTGCCACTCACACACCATACACACCGTTCACGCTATCGCTTCACGTCGTCACATCTCCTATTCCCTCAGTCGTGCCCTTGTCTGGGCATGTGGATCCCTCCTGCTGTGTTGTACTGTTTGGACCCCAGGGGTATATATACTGGTGCTGCATGTATGTGCAGGTCGTCTCTTCTTTTCTCTCTTTCCACTCACTTGCTCTGTTGAGCATCTTGTATCAGCGTGTACGCTTGATTGTCTAATCCCCACATGCCTGTCCATGTTCTGTCATCGTTGTGAGCCGTTCTGAGTGTACTCACCCCACAGTGGTGAGTTCCAACTGGCCAACCAAGTCAGTTAATGATCCTACCACAGTTACGCCGCTGGGGAAGTTCTTGTACTTGTACAGCCAACTCCCTCCTGACAGATACCTGGTACAACCCATACTCCCTCATAACCCATACATTTTTCCACTTCTCAAATTCCCATACTCCCCCCAAATAGCTCTTAGAAACCCCGTACGAATGGGTTACACATAAGAGGATGGATAAGGTACCGGGAATAGTTTCCAACCGGAAAATTTAGAGGCAGAAGACGACGTGCAACGTGGTGTGTGGCCAACAGATAACGCGCCGAAATTCTGTACACCGATGGCCCACTCGCAACGAAGACGAGACAAAATCTCAGCGCATAGGTTATCAGGCATTCGGTTGCAGAAAACCTTCCGTATTCACATGCTACAAGTATCATCGATGGGCTGTTGTATGTCCTCAAACCGAGGGCCCTTCCATGGCCAGCGGCGCGCTAGAACTACGGATCAAGGCACTCCACGCCAGGGGTTGCAAAACGATTCCGTCAACACATCAAAATACAAAGTTGCCACTGACAGCTTTCGGATGATAGATAACTGAGCGCTGAGGCCTATTATTAAATAGAAATGCAATAAGTGCCAAATAGGCAATGTGTCTTTCACCGTTGAGCCTCGGAAGGCTTCAGTCAATAGAGATCCTGACGTGTACAATGGATCAACGAATGAGGGAGTCTGAATAGGGCACCCGCCCAAATCTCACAGTAGGCGGAGAGACGAGTCTTCTGGGGATGTGCACGAGAGGCGTAAATTAACGAACTACGTCGGCGCGTCGGCGCTCTCCAGTGGCTCGGCTACCCTCCGTGCCCTTCGCTCGTGACTTCCCCGCAGTAGATTTCAAGCTACTCTTGCTCTTTGGCTGCCTAAAGCACATGAACTCAATACCCGTTGCCCTACGGCTCTCCGCAAGTATCTTCTTCACGCTATCGAGATTACCCTGCAGATTGTCATCAGCTTGGCGTCGAGCGTAGGCCTGGGATATCTTGGTGTATAATTCCGAGAGTGTCTTGGCAGCCGACGGCGATACGTAGCGGGTCAGGGTTTGATGCATGAATTCGATCTCCAGTGTTGCCTTTCAGAGTCATGTTCACCACTGGAGACTCAGGAGACCAAATAGGCGACATACACGTAACATCCCACCCATCCCAAATCGTTTTACTTGCTGGAATGAACGCAAAGCTTCCTCCGCAGCATCATCCACGAGCGCACAAAGCACGCGGTCCAACAAACCTTCCGCGATGTGACTGACTTGTGCATGGATCCCAACAAGAGTCATTAATACCCTATACATGTACGGTCTGATTTCTGTTATGGTCATGAGGAATCCATATGTAATCGAAAATGGGCTAAACTGCCGTACCAGTCGGTTGAGGAGTCTCATACCAATCCATTTCGGGGTCCAGAATGCCTTCTTTCAGGATGGAAGCTACAACCGCGGATTTAGGTTTGATGTATCCGTCGAATAGGGTCTTGTCCAGCTCCTGCACAACCTTCACAAGTGTCTGTAAGCATCCGTTAGCATCGGCTCGTCAATACATCTCCAAATAGAAACCTTGCGATCCTCTTCGGTAGATGTGCCAAACACGCTTTCTAGTTGGGACATCATGTTCGGGATGAGCGTGGAGGAAAGGTACGCGAAGTTGGAAAGCACAAGCAAGACCCGAGTATTCTGTCCATCCACGCGTGTAAGTTATAATCAACCCTCCTGAATGTAGCGCCTACCGCGTCACGACAGTCCGATGACTTGGAGGGTAGTGATCGGCTCGTGGTAGTGACAGGCCCCTCCACGGGGACTCGAAGCTCGCTAGAAGTGAGGTGGACCAAGCCATCTAGAAACGCGTACACAGCATCCAAAAATGCCCTAGTGATCTTATTAGCGAACGTGGAGGGAAGCTGGTTTTGTTGAATAGTCCGCAGAGAGGAAGTCGTAGTCGCCAGATCGACGCCTCCAGCTATCTTCAATGCTGACAACGTCATGTGCCGTTGGAACACCTCGAATAATGACATGTACTGTGTAACAGACGAATCCGTCATAGACGGAGTCCACGATTCGAGGTGATACAACACATTCGCATCTTAAGCCATCAGTCAGTTCCACAACCCGTAGAAACGAGATAATATATACCCCGTAACCAAGCCCGAATAAGCACAACCGTAAATCTCCATCGAGCACTTTCCATGAAGCCTTTGAGACTGATGCCCGCTTCTTTAATGATATCCATGGAGGCCACCTCATTAGCACAATCCTGCATCTCCATGAGAATCTTTATGATAAAATGGGCTGAAGTCAAGGAATTCGAGTGAACCGGGAGGAGGGCGGGTAATTTCCCGTCAGAGTTGGTTGGTGAGGTGACGGCGGCATCAGAGAGGATGAAAAATTCCGAGAAGAGATTGATGTACAGCTTTACAATGTCCAGCGCCATTTGCCTGCACTGTTGTGCACTTCGTCTGGAGCTAGTAGGCTGTATATTGATCGTATTCAAACATAGAACCTGGAACTAAGAACGCACTTTTTTGAACTTGCCGTCTAGAAATCCCTTGGCAATCTTCCAAAAGTTCGGAAGTGAAGATAGCAGGTCCTCCGAAACGTTTTTAACCAATTCCAAGATAGTCTCCCAAACTTCATGACCTCTTCCCTGAACTATTCGGGAATGAATTCTACAGGATCGAAGCGAGCAGGAGACCGCTTACGAATTGTCAGGTCAGACTGCTTGGTATCCAGAGCTGCGAGACATAGTCCCAGCTGAGATGCTAAGGATGCATTCAGTGCATCGGGTCCACTTGTATCCGGTGCCTCCTGGTCCAAAGCGGCTTCAAGGATACTTAGTGACTTAACCTAATAGCTTGGAAGTGGTCTTACTTCTGACGTTCGCTAAGCCCGCACGATATGTGGCATTCATTTTGTCCAAAACATGGCTGTGATGACTGTCAAAATACGTCCAGATAGGATCCTGCGAGGGATTTAACTCCAGTAAGATCCTGGCAACAACTTAGCTTCGCTTGGAATGAACGGCTCAGACTTCACTGACTCGATGATTTTTTCTTGCTCTTCAGCACTGCGCCCAGATTCCCGTAGTTTGGATGACAACTGCAACTTCATTTCACTCATGACTTTTTCCACGTTGGACCACACCCTTTCCAAAATTCGCTTCTGCTGCAGCTCTGCAGAGGACACGGACTTCCCTTCTCCAGACTCTACGGGTGTTATTTGACCTGGCCGCGAGTTCAACATAAACTTGCCCTTATTGTAATTTCGGAGGGCAGCTTCGTATTTACCCTGCGTGATGAGTCCTTAGCAGATGTGCGCACGATGATAGTAGACTTAAAACGTACAGCTTCGATGCACTCGACGAGATTGCCAGGTAGATTGAAAAAGAATTTGGATCGCTCGAAAACAGAGAGCGTCGTGCGTAGCTTCTGAGCTTTTGCAGAATTTTCCAAGACTGGGAGAAACACTTGGTTGGCCTTCACCGCAGCACCTATCGTAAATGTTGTCAGGAGTGCTTGTCAAAAGAAGGTTGGCATGAGTGAGCAGTACGCTTTAGGCAGTCTGTTAGTGGTTTTGACGCAAATTCACTGGTATCAGACAGTAGTCCTTCCCGCATCTCAGCGTAGAGAGCTACCAGGTTCATGAGCAACCAGTAAGGTTTCATCGCTGGTCCATACCATCCGTAGAAGCTTTAACCGCTACAAAACGATCAAAATTATCTTCAACGAGAATGCGTATCTGTTCGGAGCGTGCTTCTATGGAATTCTGAAGGTTCGATATTCCAGCCGCAAGGTCTTGGTATGCGGCATTGGGGTGGGCGACGGACAGGAAGACCTTCGGATCGAAGGCCTTGGAACTAATAGAAATCGCAGACCCTTCGGAAGGGTATGAGAAGATGATGAGATAACCGACATAAAGCCCTACGTGTTTCCGCATCTAGGCCCGTAAGACTGCAAATCATTAGCCATTGTGCACAAGCTGGGAGGAACTTATTGCACACTCGATAACACCACCAAGACCAAGAGGGTCTCCGTCACTGTCTGTCCCCGCCGCAGCCAAGAAATCCGAGGGTATGTCCTCCGCGTCGTAATCAATTTCCTCCCATTTGCTATAAGTGTTGATGGGTCCACCTGATGAATGACGACTAAGAAGAACATACCCGGGATTGAGATTAGATAGCTTATAAGATTTTAATAACAATGCCTCATCCACTCCAAAGTTCGCCTTTCCCGTAGAAAGAGGCATTGCATTGAAGATAAGACCTGAGGCTGGAGCTGGACTAATAGCCTTACCAAGTCGAGTCAAACCAGAGCTGTGGCGGTGCAGTACGTATGCAAGTACAAACTCAGAACAGGACCTATAGTTGCACTACCAATTCCGGATCGCATATTTGAAAGGTATCCACGCTCCTGCATGATAATCGCCGCCAGACATGCAATGCAAAAAAGAAACTGGTGTCTCTCTTATTATCTCTCGAAGAATGTAATATAGGCAACGGGATGGGTAAATAGGACATATATATGAAAAACATTGCAACGGAGTGGAGAATTACCCGATTCAAACTGGGAGGACAGTATTAAAGACGTAATCCCATATTTTACCTGGTGAACAGTTCGCGAATTAGAATTAGCCACAGGGTGTTAAAGCGGAAAAGACGCACTCGTAACCCCGAAACCAAGCTCGAAATTTTTGTAGTGGTGAGCAAGGTGGTATTTCTTCATCTCGCGCATGTAGGCCGGGAGCATCGTGTGATGCAATCTACAATAGGTTAGCTCGTAAGTCACGAAGGTCTCAAGTCCATACTCACGCGTAATGCATGCAATCATAAATGACATCTTCCACGCACACTCGTCAAACGGGGTAGTCCAAAAGCCAGAACGGTATCACTTACAGAAAGTGAACGAGCCGGAAATTATGCCATTAGCAACGGCAGTCGGGAACAGTATGTACGCCAGACGAGTGAACGGCGCCTGGAGAACTGCAAACAAGACCGGCGGCATGACAAGCCTCAAGCTGAAACCCTCGTCAGCATTAATCAGGAAAGAGCTGAAATTGCCTCACCGGTCCATTGGCATATAATGATGGATACCATGTAGCAGGAAATGTAGTGTCAAAAAGACGGGTTTGTCAGGTAAGAGGTCGTCGATGTGGAAGAGGAACCGATGCATTCCGTACTCCAGTAAGGTCCAGATAAGATTCCCGAGCAAAAAGCACGGCAGGGTTTTCATGAACATGTCCGATGCCAATGAAGATAGCTTAAAGAACGGGTATATCGGATTGTCCCAAAACGAGGGTAAGGGCATGTTGAACTGCAACATCGAGCGCACAAATAAATTGATGGCTATGGGTAGCCATACCACAGGTACGACATACCATACCGTGCGGGTGAACACCTGGCGAAGATGGTTAGAACAGAACAAATGCGCCCCTGAAGGGATTTCGTGCCTCTAGAACATCGGGACCGAACAAACGCGCTGACCGCTTCAAGTGACGCGGTTGGTGAACTTGTTTAAGGTAGTATGATTTACTGCAGGTCTCGTCAGGCTCGTTGAAATAACAATACGAAGAACACAAGCCTGAAATTCGCCCGCCACATTTGCCAAAGCAACGGTTGCCGCAAGTCGAGGAATTGCGTTTTGGCGAAGTCTTCAGCGGAATCCGTATCTTCCGGCTTGAAGTCGTCAGTAGCTTGCCAGTCTGATCGATTTCAAGCTGGCTGTCCGCAGGAGCGGAGGACATACATACCATCACTGACGGTCGTTGCCTCAGTACCCAAACGACCGATCACGTACTCCTCCAACATGTCATACGCTGCATCCGAATGGTCGTGCAAATCCTTATCCTTCATGATATTTTCCACGTCCTTTCCGGCGTTCTTCAGAATAAAGTCTTCGCCTCCTGGGTGGTCAGGAATGAACGCAGTCACATCGTAGACCTTTCCGTGAAGAACGACCCAACAACTACCCGAAGACTTGTGGTTGGCAACATCTTCAGTAGTGAAGATACGAACTCGCTTCGAAGCAGTCATTGCGGTCGCACTTGGGTGCTGCGAAGAGTCCATTATTACTGTCGGCCCATTTTTCTCGGACTCGCCATATATAGTAATTCGCACGGCTACATTATAGCATGACTATACTAACAAACAGGTGTATTGTGAGTTGATTATGATGTACGCATAGCTACTACTTGGCTACCTTTCCGACATTGTTCAGAGCGAGCTCCTTGCTCCACTCACGCAAGACATGCTTCATCACTTTTCCACTGCCTGTCTTTGGAAATTCCTTCGCGATACCGGGTTCGCCAATGAACCACACCCACTCGGGGGTATTCTAAAATATTAGAACATTTGAAATCTCGGGCTCGCACGAAGGAAAGCACCATACCTGTGGGTTCATTCCGTCTGACACAAGTTTTCGTACTTCTTCTCTGGTCATTGTCGCGTCGGGCTCGAGGACAATCCATACACCGACAACTTCCCCGTATACGGCGTCCGGGACAGAGACGGCGGCGGCCTCGCGTATGAATGGATGGGCTACAAGCACATTTTCAATTTGGACTGGAAACAAGTTCTTGAGGAAGAATTCAGAGGGAATGAATTTGAGCTCAAATTTCGAAAACACCGACCTCTCCACCACGAATGATAAGGTCCTTGGCACGAATGAGTTCAGCACCGGTGACGGAACACGGACACCCATTGCTCTACCTTCACTCTCCCAACAACTACACGAACGTTGGCAAACTGTAACTGTCTCACAGGAAGGCAAAAAGACTTACCCTTCAAATAACCGTCTTCATCCATAATCCCTTCGTCACCAGTATGCATCCATATTGTAGAAGGATCCTTCGGGTCTGCACGCATCACCTTCTTCGTCTGCTCCTCATCTTCCCAGTACCTAAAAACACTGAAATATTTAATCACTCCAGTCCACGCGAAAGCCAGACTGTTGTACATGCCCCTTCTGAAGCAAGTAACCCGTGACACAAATTTCGCCAGGTGTCCCAACGGGAACAGTCTCCCCTTCTCGGTTGACGACTTTCGCTTTCACGTGATGTTGCACTTTACCTACGGTCTCAACACGCTTGATGACCGGATCCGCTGGTGTAGTTTGGAAAGATACGGGACTGTTAACAGAATCGACAAGAGTCGTTGCCGCGCGTCGCGTGGATAACTCACCTCGTCTCAGCTAGGAGTACGAAGAACTTAGTTATTGAACCACAACAGGCAGATAAAAGAAAGCTTACTCATTCCATACGCGTTTGTGATATCAACCATATTCAGTTTATTGATGAGTTGGTGCATCAAGTCAATGGGTACCGGTGAACCAGCAGCAATGCCAGTCCTACCAGACTGTTTGCATATGAATTCTTAAATTGCCGTAAACATACCTCAAGCAGCTCAAATCCAACTTTTCTCCTGTCTGTTGCCGTGTCTGTACTTCCGACAATACACCGAGAAAATGTGTGGGTACGCCGTGCAAGGCCGTGCAGCGTTCTTGTACGACTGCATCAACAATCGCCTCGGGATGAAAAACGGGAGAAGGGTATACAATGCAGGCTCCGTGAGACCATGCAGCCAGGTTACCTAGCACCAGGCGTATAGAAGACATGAACTTAAAGTCCCACAAAAGATGAGCGAATATAGGACTCATCAAAGCAGTGAAACAACGGCGGGACATTACCTGCGGATATGTTAGCGTTTCTACCAACCTTTGACAACAAAACAACGCACATAGAATATCATCTGCAGTGAGGCGCATGCATCGGCCGTTCGAGAGACCGTTATTTAAGAGGTTCAGGTGAGTTAACTAGGTAAAGTTGGGAACTCAAAAACCGGCCAAGTAAGGAGGGACAGAGCGGTCTTACCGACACAGCCTTTGGCTTGCCAGTCGTTCCACTGTTGACAGTTACGTACATGAGTTCGTTCATGGATAGCAGAACATACCTCGTGAACTGTAGATTGATCACTTCGTCAGGATGATGTGAGTCGACAAGTTCTTTCACTCGTCGTTGCTCGGTACCGTCTTCACGCCATACTAACATCTCGCGAAAATCTATCGCACATTTCGTGTCACCAATCTCCTCGAGGTATTCCCTGTGATCAGGCACATCGTCTACCACGACGAGGTTCCGCAAAGAAGGCAAGTCGGCCACCTGAATATTACCTGGGGCCGAGTGTCGTAAATCTGGAAATGCGGCGGACAGTCCACGTAAATATTGTGACGCTCGAACGCGTGGTACAATAAATAAGTGAGACAGCCCAACGACGTTCAGGGCTTTGACCTAGCCTTGTGGATAACTTCGCTCTCAAGTGAAGTATTGAACACTCACGAGTTCGGGTAGACGGTATGCGGGGTTGAGAGTGACTAAGATGGCACCGACGCTAGCACATGCCCACTGCAGCAGAGCATATGCACTGCTCAAATTCAGTGGAACGAATAAGGCTGCGGAAGAACGATAATCACACCTGTTGTTGCCCATGATGACGCCGACACGATCACCTTTCTTCACACCGAGAGAAATGAGACCTCTCGCTGTCGCATTGATGTGTCGGTAGAATTCCTGAAAATCCCATGAAAGATGACTGTGAACACCCGTGTTTGGAGACGGTGGCCCTCCATGAGTTCTCGGACGCTCTTGACGGGAGATCAGTGCCCGTCGTTCCGCATGCTTGCCAAATATCTCGTCCCGAAAATAAACTGGGAGAGTCCTGCGCTCCAATGGGGGTTGCGACGGGCCTTCGACAGAAGAAAGCGTGATCAGCCGTCGCGCCCTCCACTTTCCAGTTGTACTCCCGGTTAAGTGTAAGCGGATCCTGGTTCTTAGGAGAAGGACCATGGTCACGTCGTTCGCCAGGTGCTGCTCGAGAGCGGTATTATGTACAATCTATCGATACGTCGTGTTCGGCTGCCTGACGGTTTTCACAGCAACCAGAAAACAATCGCTACCGCGGCGATAAAACATCTCAGAAGTACATCGATTAAAAAATGTCTCATGTTACAGTAATAGGTACAGACAACGTGGAAGTCAGTAATACAGTAGGTGTCGTACATGGTACTTAGCACCGAATACAAATAAAGCGACTTAGCGGGTAATGTAATGTTCAATCTGTCCCTTTCGCCTCTGAAACTGAATAAGGTGGCGGGGAAGGCATGGTAGACAACGTGAGGGAGACGTGAGGCTGCTGGGATAGTACTACCGTACTCTCTGTAGCTTGTTGTTGGCGTATGTTGTTAGTTGTGGGCGCTGGTGTTACGGGCCTTGACGAATTCGGAGTGTTCGTTTGCGAGCGGTTATGAGCCAAGTGTGCACGCACGAGGTGGCCGGCAGCCAGTGCGCTAAGCAATGACAGTTCTCCTGCCATGACTGCTGCAGAAATAATGCGAGCAAGGCGCTCTGCATTGCGTCCAGGAACAGTCAGATGGGGCCCCCTAGTGCCAAGCATCTCGAGCACTGCTGCTTGGGGGGCCAGGATTGTGCCACCACCAACAGTGCCTACCTCGATCGAAGGCATAGTTACTGTGACGAGGAGGTCTTTTCCACCATTAGTACTGATAGCCGAGGTCAGCGGGAGATGGTTACAACACAACAACGGGTCCACATACGGTTCCATGAGTGTCATACAATTAGAACTCTCCACGTTTTGGGCGGGATCTTGTCCAGTTGCCAAAAAGATTGCGGTGAGGATGTTCGCAGCGTGAGCGTTAAAACCACCGATCGAGCCGGCCATAGCACTACCCACGAGATTCTTCTTCGTGTTTAAATTGCAAAGCGCCTCGACGGTCGTCTTCAAAACGCCCTTAACGACCTTTCCAGAAACGACAGCCTCGGCCACCACACTCTTTCCGCGCCCCTCTATCCAGTTGATGGCAGCAGGTTTCTTATCTGTGCAGTAGTTTCCAGATAACGCAAGAGTAGCCATCTCAGGGAATTGTTTCTGCATGGCCTCAAGAGCCTTCTCAGTTCCCTTAGAGATCATGTTCATGCCCATCGCGTCACCCGTAGCAGTGGCGAAGCGCACAAACAATGTGCGCCCAGCCATCGCTGTCTTGAGCCGCTGCAACTTAGCAAACCTGGAGGTGGATTCAAAGGCGTCACGAATGATGTTGAAGCCCTCCTCGGAATCTAGCCACGCCTTGGCCTCAGCAGCCGAAGTGATATTCGGGAAATCGATCGCTGGACCTCGTGTCATGGCATTTTGGGTGAGAACGGTCGTCACCCCCCCACCCGCATTGAGAGCCTTGCATCCGCGCGAAGTAGACGCCACCAGTGTACCCTCTGCGGTGGCCATGGGAATATGGACCTGTTCGCCATCGATCTTGAGAGGTCCTGCAACACCGAGAGGAATCGGAATGTAACCGATGACATTTTCGCAGCAAGCACCGAGCACGAGTGAGTAGTTGTAATTGGTATAAGGAACGTCCGACCGTTCCAATGTTTTGGTCGTACTCGCTCGAGCTGCGACACCCACATCAGTAACCACTTACTGATCAACGAGTCGACTTACAAATCAACGCCCTTCTGATAACCACGGCTCGTTCCAGGTCTCCCAGAACGCTTTCTAAGGCGTACGGCGCAATCTTGCCATTCTGTGCTAGTAGAATGACCTCTTCATTGTTGAGGGTCGCCAGCGCATGCTGCACCGGCTTCGGACCATTATCAAAAACATCAATGCATTCCTCCAACGAGCGCACAGCACGCATCTCGGTGGACTCCTCTCCTCTATCAGGGTTTGACTGAGCCCTCAGCCTCATATCTAGCAGGAACACCGGGAGAGAGCTTTCCGCGTCCGCGCGGACAGCTACTGGAGCGACGATGGGACTCAAATCAGGAGGAGAAAATGGGAGATCAGATGAGGTGTTTGTCTCCGTAGCATCAATGACATGCTCGGGCTCGTTGCCGACGAAGAGCCGGGGTGCCTGACTAGTGGTGGATTCCGGAGATTGGGGGGTGCTCTTGTCATCCAGCGTTTCCTCCCTAGTATCAGAAACAGCCAAAAACCTAACACTGGGAGAGTGAATTCCTCTGATAGCGCCCTCAGCAATGCTTTTCAGAAGATAACCGTTCAGTGCGAGGCTGCTAGCGAGAAGAAGAACGATCCACTTCGACAAAAAAGGGTCTCCCACAATCTTCGTCCAGGCAGTCATAAAATTATCTATCATCTCGCCGGTTCTCGATGAGGGGCGTGATGGGGGGATGACTAGGAAGTGCACGGGTGGGGCAATCTGAACGAGAATATCTCCGGAGCTGGAGTTGTCCTCGGCGAAGTGAAAGGTTTCCAAGCTCCTTAAGGCTTCGGTGACAGCCGCGAAGGTGATGTCAACTTTGCGGGCTTCTGCCGGATAAGGCGCGAGATTGGTGGAACCGTAGTGGTCAGTGAACGGTGTCAATGTAGTCGTGAAATTGAGGCAATGCAGGGTTAGGAACGTCGAGACCTGTATTGTTGCAACCAGTTAATGGACCAATTGGCAGGCACGAGGAAACTCACTAAGAGGAGTTTCAAGCGCGCCGCAGGATTCTGATTGGTATTTGACGATACACCTTTCTTGTGCTTCAGCATGGCACCCTTCACTCCAAGAAGGGCAATAGAGACTCTGTTCCAAAGACTGCCTCTCCGTTGTGGTTGCGTCGGGCGCACTAAGCAGCTCGCTCTACCCTCAGCTGTGAGATTATTGGAACTGCGAGACCTCGTAATGGTATTACGAGCAGTCTGGATTCGTCGGACCTAATAAGGGAAAACCATGTGAGTGGCGCCAAGGACAGCTAAGTGCAACAAGGGCCTATCCGAGGAGCACGAATCCAGGCCCCACGTGATGACGACTTACCTCGACCATAATAGTTAATATAGCAGGGTAGAACGACGCGAAGAGGACACAGTCCAGTGTTAATAGTAACGCAGCCAACGCACAGAACTCCTGCAGGCCGCCGACTCTGCTCCTGGCACCCAAGGCAAGCACCACGACTTCGAGGGCATATTCACAGAAGATGCTATTGCCGCATTCTTCCATGGCTTCCAGTACAATGTCTCCCGCCGGTTTCATTGCATTCCGCCCGAAGCTGTCCTTCGTCGCAGTGGTAAGATGGCGATGGTTAAAGACAGCGCTGGCGAGACGCAAGGGTTTTTCATATCCGACTGTGGAAACAAGAAATGGCATCGCTTCCGTCAGACTGACGGGGTCGAGAGGAATGTTGAGGTAGTGCGACAATGGCAAAGCAAGCAGAAAAGAGAGGAAGGCTGAAGAGACAACGGCTGTGCTGAGCCAGAAGTTGGATCCCAAGGCGCGCGAGCGCAAGAAGAGGCGGGTGAATGAAACAAACATGAGAATGTACCCAGACAGGATAAACAGAGCGTCAAGTAAGTTTGCTTTCTGTACTAGCACATTAAACATCCACCAGAAACTCATGTACAACATCTTACCTTAACCGACTCTGCGAAGCGAGACGCGAGAGCCCGTGCAGCGCACTTCACCCATTTACTCCCTTTGGTTCCACCCGTTTCAGCTGAGGGCTGACCTTCGACAAGATATTGGATCCCGTACCGATCCTTGTGGAAGGTCACCCGTGATTTCAGGGAATCGACAAACGGTTTCCGAGCACCGGTCACGAACGACAATGACAAGACCCATGACTCCGGTGTTTGCGGAGATAACTTAGCAAAACACTGGCGATCAGCACTTGAGCTGACAGCGGGGTAGCAAAGCGATGAATAATTCTGGCCTGTCCTGGTCAGGACGTTATTAGATATGTAGTGTGACAAGTTATCGAGCGAGAGTCCAATGCCCGCCCAGTTTAGCTTCGAGTGGGTAGTTGTCTTCGATGTGCATTAGAATCAGCGATAGGCGTAGCGTTCCACCAACTAGGAGAACTTGCCATGTCTATAGGTTGTGCTGAAGTGGAACGCGAAGAGAATATTAGCTGCTGGAGCTCAACCGATCGGGAACCTGGAGAGCCTAGGCGCTTCATGTACCATTCCTCCTCAACACCGACCCATTCCCTATCGTGGAGAATGACATGAGACGGGCGTGCGGAAGAGGGAAAAGTCGGAAGAGTGACAGCTGCATGTTTGATGTACGATAGAACATGGAAGTAGGCCAGTGTCCCGATGATCGAGCAGAACACGATCGTCTCTATAGGAGAGAACACTGTGCGGCGTGTCAGAGGCAACAGCCATACACGCATATTGAAAAGTTGCCCAACCAGCGGACAACTGTCATAGGTCTTATGAAGTGTTTCCCATTCGTCTTGCTGTAAAGGGTACCGGATGCATTTGGAGGGAATAGCGATGTATCACTCTTGCTGCACCGCGACCCCAGGCAGCGCGAGCACTGCCACCACTTGAATTTATCACCCACGTATGTATCAGTTCGGGCCACCGATGTCATCGAAACCGGCCCACTGTTAATCAGTTATTCTTCAAGCACACCTGACCGTCAGAGAGAAAAACACCAGAGGAACTCCTTTGCTCCTTTGTTTCACAGTTTGGGAATCCTCCGAAACATTGCCAGTACGATAGCTTGGTATTCTTTGAGTTTGGTTTTGTAGTTGTACAGCCTTACGGTATTATCATGCCAAACCATATCTTTCGATGGTTCGTGGAACGTGGCCGCAGGAACGTTCTGAGACTAGGATGCTGCCACACTGGTTGGTATGTACCGGCAACTTGAAAAGCCGTCGCATAAGCAGAAGACTAATACGTGTTGAGTAGAGGTCCACTCCCCCTCCGATGCTATCGTAACGCACGGAATTTTAGAAGAACACAACAGCGGAGTTACGGAGTACAGGGCAGTAAATGGAGACATTGGGCTTACACAGGAACAACGTTCACCCGGCCGCGACGTTCGCAACAAGAAAACTTGAAGTTACAGTCTTTTCAACGTTCCTGCTGTTCGACAGTCAGTCTTCAGCACTGCCCTGTGAAGCAAACACACAGAAGTAGCCGGTACCGGCACATAATGTCTCACTGGTTGCAGACAGGGTGGCCGGAGACCTACCGGGCAGACCACGCACTCACATTAGAATGTTACGAACATCCATCCTGGGTATGGCGCTATTTCACTGCCTGAAACCTACTAAATTCACCTGTTTTGGGATACCTAAAACCCACAGTATAAACAGTTCGAACTTTCTCAGTACTTACCGCGTATGTACGTATTCTGCGCCGTTCCGTGACTCAGTTTCAGCGCAGACGACCAAACATGTCAACTAGTCGCGGCCACACATCACGGTGGTTGGATTCGTCCGGAAACTCATCAGAACAGAGTTGGCGCATTCCTGAGGCGCAGAAGCACATCTGTGGTATTTATGACGTGCACTGTGTTGTTGTTTTCCCCTGTCTTGTTCCCCCCTTGGCATGCCGTCCCTTGCCAACTGGGTGGATTGCGAGGTCCTGCGTAAAGGAAAGTCATCGCGAAGGTGTGCTGTTGAGGTGTACCACCAACGATTTTCCAGAGAGTTTTATTTTACGAACAAGAAGACCAATTCAGAATTCTGCCATCCGTGATTTCGTCGCGGTGGACAAAGTTAGAAGGCGATAATTGCCAAACTTACCAGATTCCCTCCGAGTCCTCTCTGCACTTGGCAGTGAAATGCATACCCCTCAGCTAAATAGCACCAGTCTTTTGGTACGTGATGATAATGCATCTCCTTGTCGCGTAAACCATGTCTTTCCCGTGCGACATAACTTAATTATCGGGGGCCTGTCGTCAACGCATCAGAAAGGCAGTGGGATGGTTAGGTTGGCGTAGGAGGTTGGATGATTATCACAGTAATCAGTTTTCCCGGACACAGTTTGGGGCACGTATATGAGGCCTGAATGAAGCTGAAAGTTACGTTGAACTTGCACCCTAGGCAAAAAGAATACACAAGGATTCGAAAGAAAAACTGTTGACCAAACACATACAAATACATTCTGATGAAGGCGGACATGACAACTGGCGAAAGGCCCTCGACCCTCCAGGTTGAGTCTATATGATTTCCCCGGAAATCGACGGCCGATCAGCCGAGGCCCCCCGCATTTGGGCGGTTCGCTGACCGCAGCTGGTACTCGCAAATGGAGGCTTGAAGAGGGCTCTACGGCACCCGAAGGCCCTCAGGCCTTGCTCAGGCCGGAGGGTACGCAAACGATATAAGCTTCTTACTTACATAACGCGTGCAAGGGTGTCCAGAAGGCCCGAGGGCTTTTGGTATACATAGTTACACGACTTAGCACTGAGGATGTGGGGAACTTTTGTCGACAACGCCTTGCATGGCCTTTTCACGTTACAATCACTAATCACTAACACTCAGTTGAATTCTCCACGACGTAGCGCAAACCGAATATGGTACTTCAGTTGTTATATGGCTTCGTGGTGGTGGCAGTCATAGTTTTTATCTATGCCATCCTCAACGACCGGAAACTTGCCCAGTTGCCGCCGGAGGCGAAGGTCTTCTCACCTTTTAGGTTGACAGCTGAAGGTGTGCTGGATGCATTCAAGCAACACCGAGAGGAACCTGTTCATATTGACCATCTTCTGCCTCCGAAAACCGGTCGTCGGTACATTGTGGTCGGTGGGGTATGTGCCTATTATCCATCTCGATCTTGCAATGTGCCATTTCTCATCCTGATACTCAACAGGCGGGCTTTCTGGGAGGTTGGATTGTTCTTCAACTCCTGCAGCGGGGAGAAGATCCTAAGAGAATCCGAGTATTGGACATCCGACTACCCACACGGCCTGATTTGTGCACAGGCAGAGCTCAGCACGTCACCTTCCTCAGGGTGGATATTTCCGACGCAAAAGCTGTTTCAGATGCTTTTCGGGCACCATGGCCTGAGGACGGTATTGACAATGAGGAAATAACTGTCTTCCATTCTGCAGCCAACATCCGCTTCTTCGAGCGGCTTCCTGCGCTTTTCTCCCGCTCAACGGATATTAACCACGAGGGTACCAAGAATATTATCGCATCTTCAAAGGATATCGGTGCCAGTGTCCTAGTCTACACCTCCTCAGGAGCTACTGCGGTCAGGCGGACACGCTTTTGGCTGTGGCCATGGGAGACCCGTCCTCAGTTTTTTGTACAAGTCCTCAATGATGATGACAATCTTGTTCCAAAGCGGCACGAGCACTTTTTCTCCAACTACGCTGCTTCCAAGAGGTTGGGCGAACTAGCGGTTCGGGCGGCGGACAACTCACAGTCAGGACGATCTCGTACATTGAGAACTGGTTGCATCCGGCCTGGAAACGGGGTTTTCGGTCCTGGAGGTGACATTCTGTGCGGTGCATACCTCGTTCGGCAGCACAATCCCACATGGGTCGGAAATATCCTACAATCCTTCGTTTACGTGGAGAATTGCGCACTGGCACACCTATGCTATGAGCAACGACTGGTCGAACTGGAGAAAGGAGCAGCGAACCCAGATATTGGAGGTCAAGCATTTACAATCACGGATGCAGGGCCACCGCGTACTTTTGGGGACGTATATCTCGCAATCTCAACGCTGGACAGTGAATGCGACTTCCCAAACTATTCCTTCACTTTTATGCTTTCCCTTGCACATATCATCGAGGCACTTTATGTTTCGAAAGCCTTGCTTTCGATGTCAGGCTCTGTCTTCGCTCGTGCAATCGCTAGAATGATACCGCCGATCGGCGGTGATCTTGTCATCCTCCAACCGTCTATGTTTGCACTCATTGCCGTGCATCTAATTTTTGATGACACGAGAGCGCGACTTTCGCCTTCCGAAGGCGGGCTGGGTTATTATGGACCATACACAACTCTACAGGGTATATGTAAGACGGTGGAAGCTCATTTTAAGGCCGGTAAGGCTGGCGAAGAGAGATCGCTGGCGGGAGGCGTTGGTTTAAACTTCAAGTCTTGGAGAATGCCAAGGGGCGTACGCAAGTTGCAGAGGTCGGTCAAGGAACATCAGCAACCAAAAGCCCACCACCCGGCTCAATTGATAGGTGATGCCGAAGCTGCGAGTTTGGTGTTGACTGGTTGATTCTAGAGGGAGGTATGTGATCGTGTTGTGGTATGTAGTAGCATCTCCTGATCTAGAGGTTAATGAGTCCAGAGTTACCCGTTTGTTTTGTTGCGGCGTAAGAGGGTTCGGGCCAGGTGCAGGCGGAGCTTGCTAACCATACCAGCATTGGGGCCTGAATCACAATAATTTGTTAGTAATCCTCCAGATGCTCTTCTCGGATTAAGTACCCTGTTTCAAACCTTGTTAGAGAAGTCTGATGCGATCTGTTGTGAATGTGAGCAGAGGGTGACGATCAAGGGCAGTGTGATAGGGTTCTTGTGCCTGCAATGAATTAGGGTCGCATACGCAGACGGTCGTACCGTTTCTTTGTACGACCCACAATTCAGGAGCCCTCACTACCTATCTGCTCGCATGGCTCATCGACAGTTCAGTATTGTACGACGGTGGATGCTCGGGCCTCAGGACGGTTGACTCGATATCGGTGATCATGCGTGCGAGGAATTAGGGTATAAACGATACCCGAGTCGGTTATCCAACCAGGAACCAGATCCTCAGGAACCACAGGAAATTTCACCTAAACCAATCGCACGTCTGTACAAGATCAATGGATGTCTGCCTACTCTCGTATGTATGTTAACCACCACTATCAAGTCTCCTTATGTGGAAGGCCTAGCTCTTCGTCTGGAGGGTAATCGACAGTGACAGTCTGCCGTACGGTTATTTGAACGCCAAGTCTTTGGTCATCTGCTCGAGATCTTTGGTCCACCTTGCCTTTAGGAGGCTTGAATTGCAGCCGGGATGGCAACTCCACGTCTTGCTCCCTACGCAGGTGTCGTGTGAGGATATTGATGCTTTGTGAGCCTCCCTCGATTTCGGCAGCTACTTCTGAGAAGTGATTGTCACAAGTGGGGTCATTCATGGCCGCCGAGAGACGCTCACCCCTTAAATGAATTAGAATACGTTGGCTCATTATCCAGATCACAGCATATCCAAGTGAGGGCCTATGGATGGATTGGAAACAAGCTCCAGCTCCAGCTCTACATAGGGATGAGGATGACTTACGCTGTGGACTATGATGCCGATAACCAAATGAGCAAGGGGTGACAATGACCACAACTTGAGTCAAAACTTACCTGGGCAACTACATTGGTCCCCCGGTACAGGATGAGGTTTAAGACATTCACGGCTTGCGATTGTTTAGCCAAGTGCCGTATGATGGGAAGAGACGCTCACCCGTCAGGGCCACGAAAAATATCAAGCCATCATATAGCATACTACCATATTCCCATTAGCGTAAGTTTACAAGCCACTAGTCACAAAGGCTTACACTTGAATCAATTGATGGAAACTACTCCCAACAGTGCTAATCAGCTTCACCGTCCAAGGAAATAGGACGGACTTACCGACTGCTAGTGTGTTTTATATTGGTACAACTGTACCGTCGAAATACCCAACGTGACCAGATCATAACAGATGGCAACTAGATAGAAAAGCCAGCTTGCCGAACTCCCTGAACTGGTGCCCGAGATGCAGCTGTGATTGATTAATCAAATGGCGACGTATCAACGAGGGCGATGACTCACCTTCCCTGTAAAGTCGCATGTCGTATCAGTCCCTAATCAAGTATAAACAAACTTACGTTTACAACTTGGGCTGACAACTGATGATCAGTATCATTATGATAAAGTACATGGTAGCCAGTCTCACGGGTGCGGCGATACAAATTGAGAAACCATTCAAGCTAATGCGCAGGCCTTAGCCTCAATTCTAAACGCGTTTTCGGAATGACTCACCACAACAGCGATAATATAGTACACAACGAGGAAATTGCGAACGTTTTCGTTTCGCCTAGAGATATTGAAGGTCCTAGGGGATGATGAGAATCACCACGCGGAACAGAGCTTGCGTATGTATTCCGACCTGAACCCTACGATAGCTTGCGATACCATGGTTTGCAAAACTAGGAGAGTTGAGCAAGCAAGCATAGCACCTTGTCGATATCTCACCTTTAAAAATGGGTGATACATAGTAGTAATGACGACAAGACTCAAGTGTAAACGATGTCGAAAATGCTCCATAATTGCTGACAACCATTGAGACGATACTGACGTATCTGCTCACCAGATCGACATGAGGACACAAAGGAAAATGAGGGGAAGACCACTCACCGGATGAGTATAAATAAAATGCAAGCTTGGCTGTACGGCAGAAGTTGGTTAGTTCACGCAATGATTGGGATAAAGACATCACACTACCTCATCTGCAAGATATGAGGTTGACTGCGGTAAAAACGGTATTCATTGGGCAGCGTCAGGAAATAACTGGCGAACGGGTCGAAATCATGATTAACGCCTGGTAATCTGAGCACTCACTCATAGAAAGCAATGGACAAGGAGGCGACTCTGAAATAATACTCCATAGCAGTGCTCCCTCCGACAGCGGCGGCGTCCAGTTCGGTGACAGTGTGAAACAACATCCCAGTAGACGAACTCGGTATCAGGTATCCGCAGAGTTGCTGCCCCGGTTGAAACTTTACCAGTGTTTCAGGGAGGCAAAAAGAACGCGCAGGACTAAGCTTAGCACAGGCTGCTTCACTAGAGCCTGGGGTAGCCACCACGTATCGTTTAGAAAGGGCGAGTGGAACTGGCGAGAAGGGGAATCGACGGGAACGACTTTAGCATGTAGGTTGAGCAGAACGCTACACGCACTGGCAGGACCTGCGACAAATCAGGAGCCCCTGGAATCAGATTGTTGACCGTTAATATTGCCATATCCACTGCTCAGCCCCAGCCACCCGGAGAAACTTCAATAGTTAGTAATATTCACTGACACAGGTTCCGCTCCCCGTTTTCCCCATCCAAACTCGCTTCGATCTTTAAAAAATCATGTTCAGGGCAGTCTAGCGGCAAAGGGGGCATGCTGCTGTGCCTGTCAGTGAAACAGTCGAGTGAAGCTGATAGCCCTTTGCGATTGAGCGACCTGACCTCCGGGCGCTCACTCGAGGAAAAAAAATATCGCTTATCATTATTTTCGCAAACGGGTGTTTCCAGTTGACCCGGAAGAATGAGTCGCGTGACTCGTACATGGACTCAGGTGTTAAAGTCCAGCCAAGTTGACACGCCCCCCAATTTAACAGAGACCAACAGTACTAGTGACAGACCAACTCTGTTTAGCTTTTTGCCTCCGCCTGCCATTGACGTGGCAATATTTGGACACTCAGCATACCGACAGCAAAGGCCCGAAGACCCCTGACAGCTAAGTTCCTGGCAAATATGATCAGCCAGCTCATCCAATCCCTGACGAAACATGTGGCTTTCTCGGCGTGCACATTGGTGTGCTGGCATAACCGTCTAGATAGGTCAAACAAAATCATACAATCACAGTAAAAGCATAGAAACATAATATCCGGGAGCCTTTCCCATCATTCCAACTTCCGGATAGCCGTCTGTACTAGATCCCGCTACGTCCTGCTGCTTTCACAACGGAGTTGCTCGCCAGAATGGGGAGCTCCTTCCTTCTTTGCTCCTGTGAAGGGGCAGGTAAAAATCCCGCACTCACTAGCCACGCCAAGTAGAGACCCATCAACTCGTCCGACACCGTGGGCGCTGTTTCACAAGGGTGAGGAAGTAATAGTGCAGAGGTATTCGAATCGTCCAGTTCTGGCGCTTTTGTACTTGTCGGAAGGTCATCAAGGACGAAGTGAAGCAGGGGGAACAGTGCATTATCTTGAACTTCCAACACGTGCTTTTCGAGCTCGCGGCGCCATAGCAGGTACTCGCACTGCTGCGTGGCGAAACCGTATTCTGCCAGCGACGACAATATATTGTTGAATGTTGGCAAGGGTTTCGCAATGATATGAAGGACGGAGAGAGCGGCGTCAGGAAGAGGTGTAACCGCGGCCAGAGTGACGCAACGTGACACGTGGTCGACCGGCACCATGTTCACTGTATTGTTAATATCAGGAACAAGGCCAAGCTGGATACATCCCTTGACCAGACGCCACAAGAAGTCATCCGTATTCGTTACTAGATAGCAGCGTTAATAAGAAAATAAAAGCAGCTGCAACTGTAAACAACCTACCTGCTGTCTTGGAGTCACCTACGACATATCCCGGACGTATGATGTGCCCTCGCAAGCCTCTCTTCCCGGCTTCGAATAGCAGCTTCTCAGACACCCATTTGCTCTGTCCGTACCCAGTTTTGAGACCTGTCCTCGCCCCTTCTAAATTGTCGTCCTCTGGGATCCCTCCGGTTCCACCTTTATTTACAAGTGACTCCGACAGCCGGATGTAGTGTTCGGTGTCAATTGCTGACGTGGACGAGATGAAAACCAGCAGTTTTTGTTTTGTTGTCGAAGCCAGTTCCACCGCCGTCAACGTACTAAGCACATTTGGCGCCCGGAGCTTCTCGTAAGGGTATACCCAGTGCACCTAACCAGAACGACGAGCGCTACTTAGAGTAACGGATGACTATTCAGCATAAGAAACTTACCAATGCTCCGTTATGTAGCACGACATCCGCGCCAGCAGCGACACGAGACCACGTCTCACTATCCATGCCGAATTGGTCCTGCCCGAGGTCACCTATAACAACCTCCAACTTTCCAGAAGTCACCCATGTCTCGTTCCATACACCCCTGTCACTGGAGCTTTCTCTCAAGCGGTCGAGCGCCTTTTCCATCGATGCTCCGCGGACGAGACATAGGACCTTCTGAACTCTCTCTTCACGTTGGAGGAGATCGCGAAGGACGAATGCGCCCAGATATCCCGTAGCACCAGTAAGAAAAACGGTCAATGTACGTGTAGTAAAGTCAGGAGACAGGGGAAAATACGACGGCCGAAGGCGAGGCAAAAGGACTTCGAGGTCCTTCCCATACTCAACGGTGGCTGTCGGCAAAATTTTCGGTAGGCGCTGTCCACCTGACGTTTCAGGTGGCGTCGTTGGTTCCTGCCGAGCGATACCAAAGTCGGGTTCCCGTAATGCGTCGACAGCGCATGCCAGACCGCTAATGGTGGGCTGTGCGAATACGAGACCCAACGGCGCCTCAACTACGAACTGCTTCCTTATTTCAAAGATGAGGCGTGTTGCCAAGATCGAGTGACCACCCAAATCAAAGAAACTCTCATCCAGAGGAATAGAGTGTGGAGGGTTTGGGAGGATGTTCGACCAGATTGAGCATAGTTTCTGTTCAGTAGGACTCGCAGTGCGAACTTTGCCGCCTGCAGCTGACTTCCTTCCAGTAACGGATGCGTGTGCGTGAGCAGTATCTGGGAAGGGAAGTGCTGGTTTGTCTATTTTGCCATTGGGGTTGAGGGGCATACGATGCAGTGGTACGAATACTGAGAGCCGATTAGCAGATTCAAAAACCAGAGGTTATCAACCTACGTGATGGAATGCTATAAGACGGAAGTTTCTTCTTAAGGTGCTCCCTAATATCCCAGATAAGCCGCTTATACTTCGGAATACTCTTGACACCGTCTGGTTCCTCGGCATCGCTGATCTCACTCGTGAAGCCGTTCAATGAAGGGCCATCCACAGGCACGAAGTAGCTGACCAGAATCTTCTCTTCATCCTTGTCCCTGCGTACGAGTGTAACGTTCTCGCGGACCAACGGATGTTGGCTCATTAACGTATCGATTTCCCCAAGTTCGATTCGGAAGCCCCGAATCTTGACCTGGTCATCCGCCCGCCCAGTACATTCTACCCGGCCGTCCGGGAGGTAGCGCCCGAGATCACCTGAACGGTACATCCGGTCCCGAATGCCTTTCCAGTAACGTGATTCCGGTCCAGCAAGTCCTTGGATCGGATGGAGTACTGTGTCCCTCCACGATGTTGAGGACGCAAACCAGTTGGTGACAAATTTCTCCGCAGAGGCAACAGAGTCTAAGGTAACCCTCCGCCAATCCCCCAGACCGGACGTATATCTCACCGACCTCACCAACAGCGCATGGAACTGTTTTGTCTGTGCGGTTGACCTACAAGAAGCTGAACATCAATCATGCCTTCACCAGCAGGCAAGATGTCCTTTTGAGTAGCCAGGAAAGTAGGATCCGCGGATACAGCGGGTATCTCAAAGTAAGAAACTGCGCGCTGAGTCTCCGTAGTTCCATACATGTTGATGATATGAACGTTAGGAGCCAAAGATTGCAGGCGAAGGCAATCACGCTTCGTCAGCACGTCACCGACGAAAAATGCGTTGCTGAGTGATGGAATGTGGCGAGTTGCTTGGGCGGAAAGGAGCTGACCCATAGCGGGTGTGAGGTGGGTAACAGTAACCTTATTATCATCCATCCACTCTGCAAGCCGGCCAGGAGTACCAATGTCCTCAGCTGTGGGAACGTATAGTCTAGCGCCGAAGAAAAGTGGAGTGAAAACTACAGAAACATGTCAACATTGATACGCAGCATTGTGGACCGCACCCACTGTCTCGTTGTATTGGATCATGCGCAATGCCGCTCAGCATTGTGAACTTGGATTCTTCACTTAGCGAAAACCTCTCCCCCATCCAAGGGAAGAAGTGAGTAAGGCTGTAATGTCGCCCCCTTACGCCCTTCGGAATGCCAGTGCTGCCGCTAGTGAACGACAATGTCCCAACACTATCTGGTCCGATGATGACATTTGGATCTGTTTCAGCAAGATGGTAACGTGACTTGAACACGTCGACACCGTCGACAAGCCCACCAAGGACGTCGCCTGAAGGTGAGAACGCGAGCGCAGGGACTTCGACGCGAATTTTGAGGTTATCAGAAAGGAATTCTCTAACGGTAGGTCCAATTTTACCCGCGCCAGCCAGAACTACTAGGCCACGAGGTTGAGCGACTTCGAGGTAAATTACCTGCCGGGACGGTGGGTATGCCGGATCTACAGGACGAGACCCAATCCATCAAGGGCGCACGTTGGATTCGTAGTCATGCTCACCAATCACCGAGAAGGTTGCCCCAATTTTGAGAACTGCCATGACGGCAACAACAAGCTCGACACTACGATGCGCGTAGATCATGACAACTTCTTCCCTCTGAACGCCTCCTTGCAAAAGATGGTGTGCGAGAATATTAGATGCGTGCCTGATGTCGCCATAGGTATAAACGCGAGTTTCCTGAGGAACATCAACAGTAGTAACAGGAATACTCTGGACGACACAGGTTCTATCCGGGTAACGCTTGGCATTTTGGGAGAAGACGTCTGTGATGGCACCCTTCCAATCACACCAATGTACGTCTGCGGTAGGATTTGGAAGCCGCTCCCGCTGGCTGGGAGTCAAGAGAGGCACAGATCCGATCAAAGCATTTGGGTTTGCAGCGACCCTTTCTGAGCAGCACAGAGAGCTGGTCAACGATGAAAGAAATGCGAACGGGAGAGAAGAGGAGAGAGTTGTACAAAATGCGGAGGGATATGTGCGGAGCAAGCGAAGAGCGTGTTGTCGCTGGGGGTCGCGTTACAAAAATAGTAAGATCTGAGGTCAAGCTAGTCGACCTGATAAAATTTTCGCGCGGCCTATCCGTCTCGTCGAAGAAGCGAACGCGGAAGATTGGGTGAATTTGGTCGTCTTGATCCTTGAGCAGCTGCCTTCACAATGGTTTCATAGGGCAAAGCGTCTGCATCTGCCTCTTTCTCGACATGTTGGACACGACGAACGATTGTCCAGAAGGTGTCTGCAGGGTCGACAGCCAAACGCAAAATCAAAGGCGCACTGGCCCCGGCAGATGATGAACCGATAACGATGTCAGTGTCTCCAGTGTATCGGTGTAATAATACAGTGAAAGCCGCGAGAAGAAGGTAGAAAGCCGAAGGCGTGTTTTCTGAGCTGGGAGATTCCTCATCCTCATCACCGGCATCCTCTGTGTGTAGTGCGAGCTTCAGGAGAGCTAGTGATGTTGGTTCGGAGAGATTTGCAATGTGAACTGCCTCGATTACTTTGTTGGTCCCGATTGGCCTAGGATAATCGGTCGGCAAAGACATGGAAGGCAAATTTTGCAACCTCGCCAGCACTCTCGAGAGCGCATCTGCGGCCATTTTCGTGGACTGACAAGTTCGGATGGAGGAGGTAAACTATCGTATGACTCGTCGGACTTCTCGCGCCAAAACATCCGTTTACATTATGGTCCCCGATGAAAATTGTCTTCGAAATCTAATCTAATCAGCTACCCAAGATCTGCCGCAAGTCCGATAAGCCTCATCTGCTTCAAACTTCGTTGCCTTCGCTCTGACCATCAAAGTAAGTGTGCCGCACATATGTAAGCGTACACTTACCACTCACACATCACTCACGCTCACGCTACTGCTTCACGCTATCACATCTCCTATCGCGCCCTTGTCTGGGCATGCGGATCCCTCTTGCTGTGTTGCACTGTTTGGACCCTGGGGGTATATATATCGGTGCTACATGTATGCGCAGGGCATATCTTCTTTTCCCTCTTTCTCTCTCTCTCCATCATCTTGTATCAGAGCGTACGCTCAGTTGTTCAATCCCACACACCTGTCCACGTTGTGATTCGTCCTGAGTGTGCTCACCCCTACCGTGGTGAGTTCCAACATAGCTGGTAGCCGTATTCCAGCAACTTGTAGTCAGCTGCAGTCTTGTCATTTGAGCCAGAAGCATCGTCTGGCGCTCTTCGGTAAGTCACTGCACATATTGATGTGGATCATTTCAGCTTGTTCCGCAGAGAAGCCGCTTGGGATGGAAATGGGGATATGGGATGAAGCAACTGCTCATATCAACAAGGACGACCATTACAAGCAAGCACGATGATTGAAAACACGGCAGTTAGAACTTGACCACATCTACCCGTTGCCCCCCACTTCCAACTCGTAACAGCAACCATCCGCTGCAATCTCGCGAGATAACGTCTAAGCATTAACATTGATAGGTGTGCAACCAATGTTGACCCCGCCGTTCTGCAAAACCGTGTCTTTAATAACTTGGTTGGGACTTGGATGGAGGTAAGGACATACAAAGTAAACGTTCTTGCAGCATGCAGTCTGCGCCGAAGCCTGGCATCCAGAGCCAGTGCCGGCAACTGTGAGGGGTGAGCAGCTCACACCGACGAGACCCTGGACAGCAGCATCGGCAACTGTCCAGCCGCACTTCTGAACTAATGAGGCGCATTGGTCCGCCTGTCGTCGTCAATTTCAGAAATTTCGACAGCAACGGAAAATCAACAAGCCCACCTGCTGGAGGCTTTGGCAACACTGGATAGCTCCAGTATTGCACTGGTCACGAGCCTCGAGATGTGCATTGGCAGCGACGAGCAGAGCAAGGGGAAGAACGGCAAAGATGCGAGAGAACATACTGTCTATGATGAGGATTTTTAGTGCTAATTGAAAACGAAGATAGGTGGGTTGTCGACCTGCTGAGGTCTTCAGTATCTGGCGCTCTCCCTTTATACCCCTCATGTCGCCTAAACGTTTTGCGGTACGCGAGCGCTGTACCTGATTTACCACATAGACCAAGTTCTAGACGGACCGCGGACGTTCCCTTTGGACAAGGCGGCCCAAGTGTCAGGAGTCGAAGGGCTGAGACCCGGCAGCGTTGACAGGTTAGCATACTGACCTTCTCCGATGTGTTGACGATTCACGCTTCATAGGCCATCCACAAGTCCTCGCATGGAGTCGCTGTAAGGAGTAGACCCGTCAATCAGGCCGCTCAACGTTGGCTCAACGAACGTTAACGTGTAGTGACACGGTAGGGATCAGCTATTGTATCAGCCATTCTGGGCGACTAGCCACCAGGTAAGTGCCACTGGTTCGCTTACAACGCCTGATTTTACACCAAATGAACAAAGGAGACATCTCATGTGTCCGAAGAACATGAGGCAGAAGGCTGCACTTCGCTGGAGCTCGTACATGAGCACCGAGACGGAGAAAGCAATACTCAGCGCCGCGATGCCAGGCTATCTGTTTGCTCGTCAGCGGTTCACCAATCATTACATGCCGCAATCGCGGCGTCCTGCCTGCAAATGTGTGCATCTAAGCCTGGAAGGTGGTCATGGTCATGGAAGCTTTCCATAATAAGATCAGGTAAACCACAAATTGAGTGAGTTCGGACACGAAACCTAATCAATCACACTGTATTTCACAGGTGTAAGGATTGCCATGATACAACGTATGGCGCCGGCGTATGTAGGCAAAGTCAGTTAGGCTGCGCTTACCAGAATAGGTCCCAAGTTTCCTTCTCCGTTACCTTTACTTGCGACAAAGCATTCGTTTGATGTCTGATCGACGGTGGTGCAAAGCAAGTAGCACTTTGTTAAATACAGCAAAACGTGGGTGTGACTTTCGGAACGTACAGTGCATTCGATGCTAATATTATTAATGTTTTGCGATATGAACGGCATGGTATCATGACGGTCACAGTTACCCCGGTGCAATCTATGAGTGTGCGCGTCGTCTAGAATGTAGCGATGTATCCGCCCAGATATCTCGGGCTGCCCTCTATCGTTATGAAAACCGCTGGCTCAAGCCGTCGTACACCACGAAGACAATTGCGCTTGATGGAATAGCTCTGGCGACTGTCATTCCACAACCAGCGTACAGTCCCCGTACGCCCCGTGTTCTGTACATCGCTTTCGCTGTCTGCCAGAATGATCCTGGGCGATTCAAAAGCTTTTCAGAAGGAGTGAATGTATCAGGTGGTCGCAAATCGTCGGCAGTCTGGATAACTGATTTGACGGTATCCGCGGGGTAGAGGGATAATCTGTAAATGGCACCTGCCAGCGCCCCTGAGAGAGCGGATTCCCAGGGGAGAAGCTCGACGTTATCGCGAGGGATTTCAGTGAAAGAGCTCCGTGGTCCAGAAAGGGAAGATGCTTGTGTGCGACGGGCCAGCAAAAGCGACGCAAAAAACTCCTTCGACACAAACCATGCACCGGTTCCCCCTGTCTCCCGGATTATGGTTGCTACATGTCCAACCCAGAGACCCCTGACTCCTGAAACACGGACAGTATTAGATACTATACCAAATGGTCCTGGGAGCTCTCGAAAAAGCCGGGAGGCCGTGTGACGATGTTGACGTGGGACCGTGGAGTTGACTGAAGCGGCATGAATGAAGGTGGGAGGATGTGTTTTGAAGTCGGGGATTCTGGGCGGAGCTGCGAGCATTTGTACCTGCATCTTACACTTGACAAGCTCGATGGGAGTTCTGTGGAGCCATTAATAATCATTGATACGCCACAAGATAAGGAAATCTATAGCAAACGGACATAATAAAGCTGGTCAGGAATCCGGAACTGGCCGCGGCAAGTCCCAGTTCTGGAGGGATAGCTGGCGAAGGGCATCGGATGAACGCCGGAGGAGAATTGACTGCATTTGACTGTAGGTAAGAAAGAGGCCTGCTGTCTCTGCCATTGCGCCGAAAATGGGGACAGGTAGACCCTGGAACGTTTTCAGATCACCAGACAGAATTGGAAGATGAGGTCATCCATCATCGTCTAGCTCTAAAAATTAGCAGTGCGCTACTTACGCGATATAGGCCCCTCATGCCTTCGTTTCGCCACGTCTGGACCAGACAGTCCAGAGGTCCACCGAAGCGAGTAGCGGTATCAAGTACTTGCGACTGTAGGCGCACTTTTGCCAAGTCCAGCGGATATTCAAATACCTCTGCAACCATACCTGCTACCTACGGATTTCATATGCGCAAGTTAAAAGCGATGCCGAGGAAGAGAGAATTGGAGCTGCTCACGCTGCCAAATGCGATGTCTTTTACCGCACGGACTGTGGCCGGGCTGCGATTCCCATTGGTGCCATCAAGCTTCGGAACGTCAAGATGGGTTCCTTCTGAAAAGGACCCATGATCAGGTTCCATAGACACTCAACAGCTAGAATGAGTATCGAGGACACATCTAATACATTTTAGCGAAACCGCCGCTGTGGCCAGAATATTACACACCCCAAAGGCACGTACTGGGTGCACGTGATTTATCCCAGAGGGGATCAGCAACTGCTATTAACTCCACGCTCGCTATTGTGGGATTTTAGGGTGCATAATATGGATCACGGCGCAAAGCGCCTTCCAAATCTGGTATCCTATCCTCAGATCCCCTTGGTAAGTATATAAGGCCCAGCTTCAGCTTGTCGTGGAGCGGCTGTTCCCACCTTGAAACGTCGTTTATCCACTCCTCAACAAGTATATCGTCCACCAAGAGCTCCCTCCCTTCGCCATGTCTCAAGAAACTATGAGAGCACTGTGGTACAATAAGGTTAACTCGTCAGCTGATTGTTCGGGGTTTTTCCAACACATTGTTACAGCCACGAGAGTTCGAGATTAGACAAGTTGCAATTCCACAGGTCGGCGACGATGACGTTCTCCTGAAAGGTGAGTCTCTTATCTTCCCTCGCAGCCCCCTCTCCCAGCTGACCACCGAACCAGTTACATACTGTGGTATGTACCAAGTAGCAAGATACAATTGCATTCTCAGACGAACTTCACAGGTGTCTGTGGGACAGATGCACATATCCACGATGGGGAGTTCATTTCCAAGTTCCCGGTAAGCCGTTCCATCAGATCAGTGTGACATTGATCGAGTATCTTATCTTACCACGGTACCATCATGTAGCTTATCCCCGGCCATGAGGCAGTCGGGAGTGTGGTAAAGTTTGGAAAGAATGTCCAAGGCTTCGAAATCGGTGACCGATGTGTCGCTGACGTGGGAGTTACTGTAAGCACGATGTCATCTTGTGGAGAGAGAACAAGAACGTTCTGATGGAGTCCCATCCTGACAGTGCGATAATTGTTTCTATTGTCGACGTGGCCAATCGCTATTGTGTGAAAACTTCAATGCTCGTGGCGTCACACAGGATGGAGGATTTGCGGAATATATCGTATAGTGAGTCGTCGTGCCTCGGCTATTATGTCCTTGGATACTATTTGTGCTCCAAAGTCCTCAGAGGAAGCTATACAAAATTCACAACCTGACTGACGAGGAGGCAACTCTCATGGAACCTGCGGCTTGCGCTATCCATGGCCTTGACAAGCTAAACCCCCCGGTCGGCGTCGAGGTCTTATTATTTGGCGCAGGTCCTACTGGACTCATTCTCGCCCAACTGCTGAAGTTGAACGGTGCTTCCAGAGTCGTGATCGCTGCCAACAAAGGCATCAAGATGAACATCGCGAAGGATCTGGAAGCTGGTGATGAGTATATCGAACTTGACCGCCAGAATCCCAGCCCGCAATGGGAGAAGCTCAGGGCTGACAACCCCTACGGCTTTGACATTGTTGTGGAAGCTACTGGTGTGGAGAAACTCGCCAATGACGCCATCAACTACGTCCGGCGAGGCGGAACATTGATGATCTACGGTGTCTATGAGGACAAGGCACTTGTGCACTGGCCACCGTCCAAAATCTTTGGAGACGAAATCAAGGTGAGTCTACGACTCTATGAAGCACGTCTTAGTATCTAATATCTGTTTACAGATCATTGGGTCGTTTTCGCAGACGTACTGTTTCCCTCGGGCGGTTGCATATCTCGATAGCGGAAAGGTGAAGGTCAAAGGAATGGTGACTGACGTCTACAAACTCGAAGAGTACCAACAAGCATTGGATAAGATGAATAGTCGAGGCGCAGTCAAGATAGCTATTAAGCCATAGGCGGGACCGCTGGCTGCAGAGGATAAACTGTATTTGTATACCCCGCCAAGTAGTCTTGTATGTTATCTAGGGGTGATGCAGACGAACTATGAATGGCGAGTATAAAGTCTCGTAGGGCTTGGGTTTCGGTCTCGGAGTTGTCGGCGTTGCGTTGCGTAGAATATCTCTGCTAACGCCCCAGATCCCGTGGAAAAGAGCAAGCGATAAAGGGGTCAAGATGTGTCCATGTCCATGTCATCAACTTCCTTTCGAGGTTCGTTGATTGCCACAAGTATATACTGGATCGGTACTGGTCGGTGCTGTGCCAAACGCTACCCTGTGGTTCAATGAATCGACCAATCCCGTGCCATCTTCCGACATATCCCGTACACACGTACACACGTATACCCCAAGCTATGCAATCATTGGTATTCTGATCGTCCTCCTAGTACACCGACACATTCAGCCTCTCCTTTTGAACATACCAAATAACTTCCCTCCTTTCGCTTTGTCTGCCAAGCGGCGTCGTGTTTCCTCTTCTATCTCCTCGTCGCTGTCCCCTTCACCCATTGAGTACCACACAACGGACAACATGCCGATAACTGCTGACAAGACACATCTAAACGAACGGGGTTGTCAAAAATCGATATACGAGGATTGGTATGTGCAACCATACCCTGTCATCGCCAGGATACCCTTTGGGAGCCAACCCAGCTTCTGCTGATACGGACCGAGAGGAAGCCCTGAGAGGTCAGTCGCAGAAGCATGACCGGCTGCATTTCCGGAATCGGGTGCTCCAAGAGCCGTGCACTGTTCGTACATATAAGAGGGAACGTTCCCAGCTGCACGTTCTTGAGCCTGCAGCGGCGCCTCGATGAATTGGACAGCGAGTCCAGCTTCTAGGTGCCACTCAATGTGACCTGTGTGATGGATTAGTTAACTACTGTGTTGCGCAATGCAGGGGAAATTCGAACAGTGGAATAACCAAGCTCCCGGATTGTCCGCGACAACTCGTAAAGTAACAGAACCTCCACCGGGGATAACTATGGTGTCTCGGCGCATCGGGTTAGGTTGTCCCTCTACCAGAGGAGGGTTGAGGGTCGGATCATCCGAATCAAACACTGACGCCCGATTGACAATTTGGAATTTGTGGCCGTGGAGATGGCTGGGTACCACAAAGCTCAGAGTTAGTGTGGGCTGCGAGTAATATTTGGCTCACAAAGGATGGTGGTTTGTGTCCGTGTTCTTAACCACGAGGTCGACCACATCAAGGTGGTCGAGGAGATAGCTATAAGGACCATATGCCTCTTGCACTGTCGCATTCGAGCCAAGGCTGAGTTCGGACATTATGGCAGGTACGAGTGGGGGATTGTAGACAACACCATTAATCATTGCTCGATTGGTGCCATCGTTCATGGTATCGAAGAGGAATTCTAGGTCGATTGTGTTGGTCGCAGGTGGCTGTGGGACTACAACGGATGGAACCAGTACCGAATCGTTGAACTGGGGGTACTCCGAGACGGTGCCTAGGTCCGTGATGTTTTGACCGCCTGCATAGGTTACTGAGGATGTGATATCTGACCACATCGTTTTAGCACGAGCAAGATGTCACACACGGGCACAAGTACATACTCAATTGTAGGGTGCTTGGCACCGTGTCGAACATGGTAGGGTCCATATTGGCATGGATCATCCAGTTGGAGGACGTATCATTGCGGGCGTCTACGAGGACTGAGTATCGTTGCGCAACTGCTAAATCCAACAGGTCAACAGGGTATTCTTCGACATCCGTCTGCACGGGCCAGATAATAATTATTACACGATTTGTTAAGACGGTCAAGAGTCAAACTCACCCCGTCAGCTTCGATGATGCGCATGGAGTGGCCATCAATCCAGAAAAAGAACGTGGCCAAAGCGGAAGTGTTAATTACTCGCAACCTATACGTTTTTCCTGGAACGAATGGGAGCGTCGAGTTTTCATTAAAGCCTACTGCAGATGTCACTGGAGAAGGAGAAGTTCCAGAAATAGGTGGCAGGTAAGTGGAATTTTGGGCAAAGTATATTAACGCCGAATCTAGAAAACGTAGGGATGGAAGTGGTAAGGCGAATCTTCGACGAATATCTAGACCAACCTGGAATGGGTTCCGCACCACCAGGGTTGCCGATGCTGAGGAACGATTCTAACAATACCGAATGCTGTTGATGGTACCAGTCACCAAGAATGACCGTGAACTCTTCGTCATATTGGTAAGTCTCCTCAGCAGGATGGAGAACCAGCGGAGCACGGAAACCATCAACATACTGTCCCTGAAGTGACAGGCAAAGAGATTGAACTTCGCGTCACACGAAAGAGTTGCTTATACGTACCGAGGCGTGAGCATGGGCCCAATATGTTCCCCACTGACCGGAAGAATTGATGGGGACGAGATAATCAAAGGTCTGACCGGGGGGCACTCCACTACAAACATCAATCAATAAAGGTACGTTGACCAAAAGAAACAGAAATATGCAGCTGAATGGGGTGAAATCCGATACGTACCACTGACTGACGGCTAACGCTCCATCCATCCAACTGGTAGAGTTGAAGAACATACCATGATTATGCAAAGTAGTGGGTTGGTCCAAGCCATTGGTAAGGTGGATGAGCAGAGAGTCTGAATTGTTGACGGAGATGGGAGGTGGTCTATTACATCAGCAACGTTTCTTGTCAGACAAGCACGTTACGTGGTACTAATAGTGACACCTACGGCCAAGTGTTATTCACTCCAACGACCCGTCTGGCGTAAAGACCATCGGGGTTGGCGTTCTCGACGTAGGTGACGTTCCACCATAGTTCCTGGACACCCGCTAGAGCGCAAGTAGAAGTGGACAGCAGCTGTATAACACGACGAGAGAGCGACATGACTGTTTATCGGCCACCCGTCCACTTTTTGAGAGCCCGTTTGGCAGGAGACTGTTTTCCTGTCGGATGGGAAGGGTTGAGTCTTAACTTGGTGTATTTTATGTCTGAGCAAAGGGTACGGGAATCGGGGCATGTGGTCCATCTGTGGCATGAAAAGTTATCAGATAACGAAACTCATCCCAAAATAAATATGATCAAATTGGTCAATCTCAGGTACCACGTCAACATGTACATACAAGTAAGTCAAGCCTGTAATCGGTTGATCACCACCAGTCACCAGCAGTACCGCCTCTCTGCGTGCGCAGTTAGTAGTGCGTATTGTGAACAGACGCATGAAAAGACGTTGAATTTCCAAAGAGAAAAAAAAGCGCGATGATGGGCCAAGGGCATATGGTCAGTGGTATCAATCTGTCAATGGCGGGCTTAACTGCCAGGCATCAGTGGCTTACGTACTTCGGAGATCGGACTTCGGACTAGGGGCATGAAATTTTATCAGATAAGAAACATGTCATAACATGCGGCAGTCTCGAGTATTAGAAGCGGAAGGTCTTTCTCATACGAGGCTCCCATCCCCCCAGAACACCGTAGGCATACCCAAAGCCATCATGCCTCAGAACCTTTTCTCTATAACAATATTCTTTGTCACTTTCCGCGAAACCCTTGAGGCAGCGATCATCGTGTCAGTCCTACTTGGTCTGGTCAACCAAATCGTCAAGGGGGACCCCGACACAACGCCGGAATCCAGATCGCAGTTGACCGGGTTTGTACACGATGTAATTAGCCCAACTGTGCACTGAGATGCACTCCAAACAGCATGCCTAATGAACAGGTCGAACCGCAAATGCGCACCAAGATCGTGCGACGAATGAAGATGCAGGTACGCAGGGGGGAATATAGCTACCGCCGATATTAAATTCTAAAGCAAAAATTCTAGATTCTGTTGGGGTCTGCTGTTGGCCTCACCATTGCCATAGCCATAGGCGGCGCCTTCATTGCTGTGTGGTTCACTCAGGCTAAGAACTTGTGGACCAAAGCTGAGCAATTATGGGAAGGTATGCATAAATGGCTGTTAAGGAGAGTGAAACATTAACGGTTTATATTAGGTGTATTCCAGCTTATCGCGGCGCTCATGATTTTTGTCATGGGTATAACGATGCTCAAAATGGACCGAGCAAAAGCAACGTGGCGCGTAAAATTAAACCAGGCGTTTTCGGGTGAAAGTATGGGAAATCGTTGAACACCTACAGACTTAGGTTGACATTTTTATGCTTTGTTGCCAAGGTGTCGAGGGCCGCACAAAATCCGGAAGATGGGTTCTGTTTATCCTTCCCATGGTCACCGTCCTCCGTGAAGGTTGGATGTTTCTAAGCTCGCTATCATGATATGATATTTACACGTTTTTTCTCCCCCCCCCTCTGAATAGGTATGGAAGGTGTAATCTTCGTCGGTGGAGTAGCAGTTGGGCAACCTGCAACCTCCATACCCATTGCAGCCATTGTTGGAATCATATGCGGTCTCGTCTGTGGCTTCCTCATTTACGAATTTTCAAGTAGATCCGGTGAGCGTTGCCCCGCCACACTCCTTCATGAGCAAGGTGAGACTGATCATACCATAGCCCTCAAGGTCTTCCTGGTCATTATGACCAACTTGATCCTACTCGTGGGCGCTGGCCTCTTCTCGAAGGCGGTGTGGGCGTTCGAGGAAAATTCTTTCCAAAAAATTGTCGGTGCCTCTATCGACGATACCGGCGGAACTGGTCCCGGCTCATACGATGTACGAGGAAACGTATGGCACCTCGATTGTTGTTCTACGGGCACAGGGGGGTGGCAAATCTTCAACGGTGTTCTTGGTTGGCAAAACAGTGCTACATGTAAGTTTCCATGTTGTGCTCCTTCACGCGTCCCCTAACGAATGTGCTTGTTAGTGGGTAGCGTGCTCTCGTACGTCTTTTACTGGTTAGCAGTAATCACGGCTCTCGTATACCTCAAGTTCAAAGAGGTATGATACAATTATTGTTTAAACGATAACATGGGAGATGCCGAAGACTCGTATTGCAGGGACGCACGAAATTATTTGGTTTTGAATCATCGTCAGCGAACCGTCGGCGTTTGGCCCGTGAACACAGTCAACAGAAGGTAGACGAAGCCATAGAAGACAAAGTAGACACCGGAAATGGCACACAGCAAATCTAACAATGCTAGTCACGGACACTTGGCTTGCGGATTTCGGAGGTTCATGCTTGAAGATGGATATCTCACTGATACTACCTTTCGAGGTGTCTCCGCTAAGGAACTTGGAATTGGTGGAAGCCGTGGAGAAACAGTCAGCAGCGGACGACGTCTGCACATTTACCGCAATGTTTGTACCATAGAAGCGAACTCACCCCTTTGTAGTGATAGGCGACTTCAGCCATGTGTGAGGAAGCGAGGTTCCGAAGTTAGTGCCATTCCCCTCGCAAAATACTTGCCTCGATGGTTAAACTCTTCAGTTCTCGGAAAGTAGAGCTAGAGAAGCAGCCTACGATCACTGTGCACCAGCGCGAAGGTCTGGGTACCGCAGGTTTCAGTGAAGAATAAGGTAGGCTCGGTGATCACACGGTGGGAAGCGTTTTGCAAGTTACCGAGCTACACTTTTCTTCCATAGCAATAGTAGTCGCAATTGCTCACAAAAGTCCCGAGCGGCGATTTTGAACCTCGATATCCTTTTGGATTAATAGCAAGTAAGGTTCCGATCGGTGGCGAACGACAACCAATCAGAATACGACCCCCCTGTGTGACATCGTCTCGTTTCACACTCCGCGTTTCGGATGCATTTCCTAAAATGATAGAGCTTGCTTGAGGACTCATGAAACACAGGTAGTATTTGACAAGTTAGGTACATACAAAGGTGGTGTGCCTGTAAATCTACATGGCATCCAGCTGCCGGGGGGTGTGAGACATTAGTAGTACAATGTTCAATCCTTGCAAAATGTGAGTCAGCGAGTAGCGTCCAGCGCAGGGCATTATAGACGAGAATGACAAAGCAAGTGTATACTCGGTATTCATGCCGTGAGGTCAAGGCGAAACAAACAGTAGAGTAATATAGCGCCCTTGCAAACTGGACATTCGGATTTCGAAACCACTGCCCGAGTTATGCAGCTGTGCAGTGTTGATGTCAGAATATAAAATCTCCCCCACGTGGTGCCTGGACACCAACCTATTACAAAATATGTGGCCACAGATCGTTGCGGTCATGTTTTCGCAAGGATTGCGGCCACAGATCCTACAGTGAAGCCGAATTTCATTCCTGGAGGGGGTAACCGTGGATGGCGTGGATGCATCGGAAACCTGCGGGAGGAGTTCCACAGAATCAAGTGATGAAAGGGCCGATGGTAGTCGTAACGGGCTAGTGGCAGTTGAAGAAGGTACCGATGGAGCACTTGTTGCGACCAAGTAAGCGCGATTCTCCCTGGCATATTCAGGAATTGAATCCACTGTTACATATACAACAGATTGACTCGAAGACGATGAAGTCGTTTGGTCACTGGGCAGATTTAGCGTCTACCAGTGAGCGGGCTCACGTGGGACTCACCTGACGCTATCGTAGGACTCCGTCAGGAACGACGAGTTCGGTGACACAGGTTGAGGATCACTATGAAGCAAAGTCTCTTGCGCTACTAAGGTGTCGAAGTTAGACTGGCTCGCATCACTGCCATTTACAGACGGAGATAGCGAAGGTGAAGGTATCTGGTGCGAATCGCCTCTAGTTTCTTTCTTATGGTCGGAGTCTGCTGGATGATTGTCCATCCGAGGTACGCTAAACTGGGTAGAGCCAACGGCAGAGGGCGACGAAGGAACTGCGACATTATGTTTTTCGCTGCCAACACCGATATCTTCACTCGAACTTTGGTCATCGGCTTGGTCACGGCCGGATTCGGAAATCCGGTCCGATTCCAAGGAATGTCCGCTGTTCGCATGTTCGCTATTGACATGCTGTGCTTGAAAGTGAATTGCACATCGGTTGGATATTATGCAACGAACCTCGTCAAGCATATTGCGTTCTTTCATCCTGACGCCGCATATAGAGCAAGTAGGGTGCTCGGAAGCGTAATGTAGGTCTAGGTTGTCTTGCAAAATGACAGCTCCACCACATTCCCAGCACACGACAATTGGGTGCTCATGTTCCTTATGCTGCATCATGGGGAATATTTAGTTTAGTGAACTCCCGCACAAGGCGCCGAGAAACGTACACGATACAACTCCGATTCGTCGCCAAATGATATGCCGCATTTCTGACACTTGAGATGAGACTCCAGGTGCTCTTGTAACAGACTTCTGAAACAGAATTGTAGGCCACAACATTGGCAAGCAAACGCCATCTTCGTGGTTAAGTGTTGCTGGAGGGAAGTTTCGTCTGCAAAGCAACTATAGCAATCTGGACAGTGAAGAGGTATCTCTCTCCCAAGAAACCCGCAAGCATGACTCCTGAATTCTTCCTCAGTGTCAAATACTCCTCCGCAACGCCAACAACGCGTCCCCTGTTCATCTCCATCGCCATCTAAAGAGAAATTGTTTGAGCACTCGACTAGTAATGAGCGAGGATCCTCACTTATATTTTCCTTGACAGAGCAGCCCTCCATTGGAGCCTCAGAACCATCAATCGCACTAGCGTAACTAGCAGGAGAATGCAAACTTGATACCTGGCCTGCTGAAACTGATTCTGGATCGGATAGTTGCTGTACCGAAGAATTGGATCTCGGCTGTATACGACATTCGTCCGGATAAGACGTAACTACAACTGTCGTTAAGTTACTGGCACGCGAATTTGGATGCTGACCAGTTTCATGACATGATGTCTGTGCAGGCGACGGCAACTGCTCAATGCAGTGACCAACGTTTTCCTGGTCCAAGGTATCAGAGCGATCCAAGTCTACGCCATGCAAAGTATTTTCATGCTGTCGCAAGGCATCATCCGACTTAAAATCGCGATCGCACTGAGTGCAGGGGTAAAAATGAGCTGCAGTCTCGTGCGTATCCCGCATGACGGATGAACTGAACTCGAGACCGCAGATGCTACACTTGAGAGAGGAATGCTCATGCCGTTGATGTTGCTCCAACGTGCTGGGGGATCTGAACTTCTTGCTGCACTTGTGACAGGGGAGCATGGGATGAACAGCATCCACATGCTGGTTACGCGCTTCAATTGATCTAAAAGCACGGCTACAGTGACGGCATTCGAAGGAAGCATGCGTATCGCGCCTGTGTTGTTCCAGGGAGTCGGGGGAAGAAAATGCCCTGTCACATTCGTCACATGCGTGGGCAGGATGTGCAACTGCCTCATGCTGGGAGTGTGTCTCGGCAGACTTGAATGTACGACCACAATGACCACATCCGAACGATGGATGTTTGTCGCGTTTGTGCTGATCCACGGCATCAGAGGACAAAAACGCCCTGTCGCATTCATCGCATTTGTGCTTGGGATGCGTTGCCGCATGCTGGGAGCACGCTTCGGCAGATTTAAATACGCGGTCGCAGTAGCCACATTTGAAGAACGGATGTACATCCCTTTTGTGCTGTTCCAGTGTATCAGAAGAGAGGAATCCCCTGCCACATGCATCACATTTATGAGTGAGATGCACAAGTGCCTCGTGCTGAGAGCACGCTTCGGCAGAGTTGAATACGCGATCACAGTAGCGGCATGGGAATGAAGGATGGTTGTCGCGCTTGTGTTGCTGCAGTGCATCGGGGGAGAAAAATGCCCTGTCGCAATCGTCACACTTGTGCGCAAGATGTGCAGCGCCCTCGTGATGCTCGCGTGCTTCAGCAGACCCAAAGATGCGGTCACAGTAGTGGCATGGGAATGAAGGATGGTTGTCGCGCTTGTGCTGCTGCAGTGCATCGGGGGAGAAAAATGCCCTGTCGCAATCGTCACACTTGTGCACAAGATGTGTAGCACTCTCGTGATGCTCGCGTGCTTCAGCAGACCCAAAGATGCGGTCACAGTAGTTGCACTGGAAAGGATGCTTGTCTTGCCTGTGCTTTCTCAAGGCGCTCTGGGAACTGAATGTCTTTCTACAATCAACACATTGGAAGCCGTGTACAGCGGCCTCGTGGCGATCGCGCCACCCAGACGAACTGAAGACGCGGTCACAGTAGGTGCACTCGAATCGAGGATGTGCAGCCTGCTTGTGCTGTCCTAACGCATCTGGGGAATAGAACGCACGACTGCACTCGTTGCACTCGATACGATGTACAGCATCTTGGTGCTGTACGCATCCTTGAGCGGTCCCGAATACACGATCACAGTAGCGGCATTCAAACGAAGTTCTTGACCCGCTTGTGTTGCCCCAAAGTATTCGAAGTGCCGAACGACCCATTAGATTGGTCGCATTCGCTGAGCGAACGTCTCTGCATAACCATGATGTCGTCAGGATTTCTCGACAGATTATCCATGACGGACTAACAGTCATGTTACACACTATTTCCTATCCCAAACCCCTTTTCCTTCTTTCAAAGAAGAACTTCGCAGCAGGGGGACACCGTACTGTTGAATATGGGTGAAGCCAAGATGAAGTGTTTTATAACTCCCAAATCGTGCCCACAGCAACTTGGTTTCAAGTTGGGGCTTCGATTCACACGGGGGTCACACAGCAAGTTATTAGAATGGAGAACTGAGAAGACAATAATTTCGGCGATGCGGAATTACAACTACACGAATGATCGAGGAAAATATGATAATGCTACGCGGTATCGATGCCACTAGTGCCTCTACCTGTCAGCCCTGCCACCAAGACAGGTAAACTATGCTGACAGATCCATGCGGAACAAGCAATATAAGAGAGTTGGAGCGTTGCATTCTGGACAATGTGATTTTTCCATGACAATGTTTGAAATGCACCTACACAGACAAGTGAAGATGTATCTACGATGTGTGCAAGAACACTTACTCGTAGCAGAACAGATGTCCGCACGTAGTCATTGTCGGGTCGTCACAAGAATCCTTCAGACAAGACCGACAATGGTAAGAGGGCGCAGGCGACTTGAAGGTCCTCCCATTGGTGGGAGTCGATATCTGGTCCAGTTTGCCGTTCGTAAACCTCCGTCGTCTGAGGGAGGAAAATCTAGGCAATTTGCTCGTGCCTGTACTTCCAGGTTAGGCTCGAAAATGAAACTAGAAAACACTCGGTACCGTGTTTTCTTGCGTAAACCCCATTTGGCCTTCGGTAGGATACGGGAATGTCTAGCGATGGATCACTCGAGGTAGATTCTCGATCCCACACCGTCTCCGACATGATATTTTCATCGAAGCGGACTTCACGGCGTCTGCCACTGTCTCCTGCTACTGCAAGTCCAGTTGAAGAGAGGATCGGCGAGGAATTGGTTGGACTGTGTGGGACAGACGGTGACGAGACTCGTGATGTTGGGTGAGTGATGGGCAAGTAAGCTCTTGCTTCCCGAAGGTACTCCGGTGTTTGGGTGACAGCGGAAACGCTGATTCCCGCAGACTCCGGTGAGATGGGACTCGTGGATGCGGGCATACTGTATGGCAGGTTATGAACTAACGAATCTTTAACACGCACTTACGGCACTCACCATCCCATCGAGTTACCCACATCAGATACCTGCAGAACCGAGACAGACTTGTCTGCCCCCGAAAAAATATTCGGATGAGACGAAACGCGGGAGTTAAGTGACAGTTTTGTAACGGAGCCGCTATCGCTCGTCCAACCTGAGGATGTCGGAGATTCGGATGCTGGACTGGGCAACTTGACACCGGGAGAAATCAAGGGAGGAGAGCGTGCAAAAGAGCTATCACTACTGTCTTCGCCTCGGAAGTGTACAGATCCCTCGGTCACACCATTAACGGCAGGAGTCGGACGAAGGGCGGGAGGTCCATCAGGGCGGGGACTGAACGGACTTCGATAGTCGAAAGACGGCATTGTCTGTGCACTCGATAATAAAGGTGTTCCTACGGCAGGCACCATCGACAAGGGCGAATGGTTAAACTCCTGATAACTGTCAGCATATTTGTCCGTATCCACATTCAGAGACGGAGGAACAAATTTCCGCAGCTCGCCCTCCGTGGGAGAGGGTTGGTCAATAGTGAGTGTAGAACTGCATGACTGAGCATCCGGTTGATACGAGTTTTCTGAGTGGACGTTCTGAGATGTCGGGCTAGAGTAACCGCTCGTACTGGGGGGAAGCGGCATAGAAGAAGCATACAGAGGGCTATGGGCTTCGGTGCTATGTCCCGGTTGGTTTTCAACTGTCCAGTTGTGCTGAGCGGCCAAAGCCGGCAGCGAAAGCTGATGTTCGTCACCTATTTGGGTGGGCACTGCGGTGTTGTCATCAGCCTTAGGACAGTGAATTGAAAACAAGTGCTATAATAAGGCGTATGAGGTATGCCAATATGTCCCCAAGAGAAAGTGGCTCACGTGTTGGTACGTTTCCACGTCAGCAAAGCGAAGATCGCAACTGACGCACTTTGGGTGGTTGGAAAAGTGCCTGATGTGACTCTGCAACGCGTCGGAAGAATCAAATTGCCACCGGCACAAATAACAATGGGAATCTGGATGTTGCGAAGCACCATGCTGTGGCAAGACCATGCTAAGGGAGCAGACGTTGACATAGCATCACTCCACCTACCTCCGCATAATCAAACATATTCTTGAATCCCACTTGACATGTCTCACAGACGGGGTGGTGCCTCTTAGACGACAGATAATGCAACGGAAGATCGCCCTCATCCACGACCAGGCCTTCGCACGCTTCACATGGGGTTGGCCGATGGACTTCTACCACATGCTAAAGTGCGATGAGCAGCGCAATCAGCCATTTACCCATTTACTCCATGAGATTGATCGAGAACATACAATATTGTAAGCGTTATCACTTTCGAAACCTAGGTCGCATCGCATACAAACAGGGTGAATGTCATTCGAAGACTCTTTGTAGTGTTGAAAGAGCAACTCTTCCTCGACATAGCGAGCACCGCATAGCACGCAGCGATAAGGATTACGGTGTTCTTCCAGGTGCTCCTCCAGGGATTTTGCAGTCGACGTAAACACCCTCACCACAAACAGAACAAGAGTGAGCCGCCGAAATGTGGTCGGTTAAGGCCGACTGCACCGAGTATGATTCCCCACATATGTGGCATTCAAAAATCGGATGGTGGACTTCGGCCAAATGAGCTTCCAAAGCAACTTGGGAAGCCAGCAGTTCAGGACATTCGAGGACATGCGACTTCCTCGCGAGGACTCTGCATACGGGAGGGAGGGATGAACCGCGCTTACAGTGCTGGAAGATCGTCAGCTGCTGACCTCCATCCGATAGCACGGCGTACTCACAGATTTTAAGGCGGCATCATCCACGAAGCCGGTGTCGCATTTTGCACAGAGTGGATGATGGTCAGAGGAGGTAAAATGAGCAGAAAGCTCTCCCTCCGAGCGGTACGTGGTTTCACATGTCTTGCACCGAAAAGGGTGCGTGTGTCCAACCATATGATCTTCTAGTGTTTTGGCATCTCTGACGATGCTGTCCTGACATATAGTACAGCAGTGAAGCTCGTTGACGTGTGCCTCCAATGCTGCCGCAGAAGTGGCCCTATACTGACATACACGGCAACTGGGTCCACTAGGATGCTTCGCAGCTACATGTGCTTGTAAAGCCTCGTTACTTTTGAACTTTTTGTTGCATTGGCCACACACGACGCCATTCTGCTGCTTCGGTGACGGCATCCCAGTAAGATTAGACAGAGAACTTGTCGCACGAGCGATCGGGACAACCGGAGGACTGCTATGTCCCGCTAATGCGCCATTAGACTGACTCTGGTGTTTAGCCTTGAAGTGCTGACCCCATTCCTGCAAGGACGGGAATCGCTCGGGGCATTTAGAGCATGAATACCCATGAAAAGAACTGATGTGACGATCTAAGTCGGTCCGGGACCTGAAGCGCTCGTTGCACTGATCGCAAGAGGGACCACTAGGTGTCTCTCTGGTTGATAGCAAGTTTGCCTGCGGTGGAGGTGGAGGTGGTGGGGCCGTTACACCATTCACTACCGAAGGCCCAGGGCTAGGTCGGGAATGAGCGTCCGATTTGTGTCTTTCGAGTTTTTCTGAAGTTACGAATGCCTGGTTACATGTTGGACACGCGAAATGGTGTTTTTTAGCCTGCCGATGAGAAGCTAAAGCTTCAGCGGTTGTAAAAGATTTGGAGCAGATATGGCATCGATGGGTGTTTGCGACAGACGAGTTCGTGGGAGCTGGACTCGCTGGCACTCTAAGCGAATGCACGCGTGACATGTGCTGAAAGTCTTGTTAGCACTCTAAAGCGGCGGCCCCTTGAAGCGGACCACTGAGTACATACGTTGGTAAGGTCGGCTATGTCAGGGAAGAACGGATAACTGCCTACGGGGCAGAGCAAGCAAAGGGGCATCAAAGACTAGGGCAATGGCTTCTTGGAAGCCTGGAGGCCTTTATGAGACCAGAACCCAAGTACACGACCGCACCTCGTGTTTGGCCGATATCAAGGAAGACGAACCAACTTGCGCTTCTTCCCCAATCAACGGAATTAGGCTTGGGCGCCTGGAAGCCTCAGTTTGGTACTACCATGCCATTACAATGCGGCCAATCCCAGGCCTTGGCAATGAAGCTGTCGTGTGCTCGCAGGTCAAGAAATCGCCGGCAGTCATTTTCCATCAGTCTGGGCTCTGCCGCGGGTGTTACGACAGTAGCCAAAGACTCGAGAGTAACACTAACAACCTTGTCATTCAAGTATATCCCGCGGCCTAGGATCCGATCGAGAAAGTTCGATGCAAGGGTAAGTACTACTCGATACTGATTAGATTAATGTTTTCGATGGAGCTACGATTTGTTGAACGAGATCGCCCTCGGAATTCCACTTGATTCGCCCAAGCGATCAATCGGCAAAGCTGGCATGCATGATGGTGGTGGATTGTGCACACATTGCAACCACACCAACCCACCACGAGCGTGTCGCTAATACGTACCTAAGCTTCACATTACGAAGTACCAGGCAACTCACACTGTGGACCATCGTGGTCGCTGTCTTCAGAAGGAGTCGGTACGAATACATACCTCAAGCTCAAGATACTCGCGGACTGACATGAGTAGCATGGCATAGTACATCCGCGGCCCAAAGGAGATAACGCAACAGCACACATAAATTAGTCAATGAAAAACTTGTACGCCTCCCTCCACGCCTTGCTCCCATCACGCTCTATGACGTCCTGAATCACTCGATCAGCCGTGAGGATGAAAGCATGAGATCGGTCACTACTCACGCCATGACAAGGGATAATTCTGTCGAAGTCCCAAGATGCCACTGTCCTCGCATCGCGCTTCATGGCTCTAAAATTAGTCGCCTTAGTGCTTGTCAAGATCATCTAAACATGAACACCTCTCACTCCATGTCAGTAGCAAGACTTTGCAAGATCTTCTGTTGCGCCCATGAATTCGGCTTTAATGTCGCCTGAGGGATCCATCTCGAACATTTCGAGTACTGCACCATAAAGATGGCTGCGACGGAATATCAAGCAAAAGAACTTACTTGCTCGGTAGCCGGTAGATTAAGGAGGAGGTCCTGCTTCGATTAACGATTTAGACGCTACATGGAGGAACGCTACATCTTTATTCCTGAAACCGGAGAAATAACTGGAGGAAAACAGTAAGAAAGTAGAGAAACGAACGGTCACAATTATGTGCCCACCAGTGCTTGATCTGCAATGCTCGTGTTAGTCAAGGACAACTATTGCGGATTCATGGAACTTACGTCGTTTTCGAAGCCATACTCCGTATCGGGAGGATCGCGACCCCACACTTATTCCATAATCAGTCAATCTCTGTCAGGAGATGGTAAGTTTGGACTTACAACCATCAAATTTGATGCTCTTATCGTCAATACGCTTTAACGTATCTGCTACCCCTATTAGCTTCGCGTCCGGATATGCTCTCTTAAATTCGCCTGTTCCGGGAGGGGTTGTTCACCTGTGAATTGGAGAGTGCCAGACATACACGTACCTAGGAAGAGGTGGTGCACGGCATCAGCGTTGATGATGTACCTAAGTACATTTTAGAAGAAAAGAGCGAAGGACTTCGGAACAGTATTACTTTACTTGTCCAAGTTCATCGATTTTTCTCTTCGTCTCTTCGGATAACGGCGTTGAAGCGAGTACCCACACTCCACCATCCGACAGTTTGATGGCCGTGGATCTCCCACCCATCGGTAATACACCATATCTTGCAAATGGTCTGGAAAAAGCTCAGGAATAATTTTTAATGGCTATGGAGAGATGGAAGACGAACCTCGAGAATATCCATACACCTTTGGCAACCTATAAAACATCGGAGAATATCGGACATAGGCCGTTTTTTGTATCTGGCATGTGAACGGTCGCACCTCGCGGGTTACAGTGTCACTCATGGTGTTCGATAGTAGAGGGCGTCCGACTGGAGTTTTCAGAATAGAGGTGGTTACCCTGGTGATGCCGTTCGCCTTTAAGAACAGTTCTGTCACTTGTTTGCTCAACGACAACGGCGGTAATGATGTCATTGACACATGTCGTCATGTGACCAGCGCTACAGGGGAGAGCCAGCCCTTGCGCTGGCGAGATCCTCTTCTCCCAAAACGAGGCTGCTTGCAGGGGATACGGGGCTGTTTTCGAAAAAGCAGTTCTTACAATGCGCGGTCTATTACTGCTTGGCTAGAAGGACAATGAACGACCGATAGCAGGGCTGCTGTAATCTATAAAGGATACGAGGACAACGTTTTGTACAGATAGGAAACCGAAGTAACAATCGATTTAATCATACAAACACAAGTCAAAAGAAAAGATCAACTAGGATAGCTCTTCGTTCGAGGCCTTCCGGAGCGTGTCCTGCCAATCCAGAGCTAGTTTCGTCAGAGTCTTGCTCCTGGCTGTAACGAAGTTAGTTGGTACGATCAAACCATGTGACGTAAAAACCAACCAAACACAGATAGAACTTCGCGCAGTAGGTCACGTTTTGTCAAGCCAACAACCGTGGGTGACCAGCTTTCCTCCTTTCTCGTGGGGTTCCTGAAACGTGGTAGTGGTAAGATCAATGGAATGCAACCCAACGTGTCAGTGTAGGAAACATACCAATAAACGGGTCCAAACATATCTTTGATCAACTCCTCTGCTTTGGCTCTGAAGCCCTCATCTGCAAGCTTCTTCGCGTATTGTAAGAGAGCCTGTTTATACTCCGATGGGCAGTCTAGCGCCTTGGTCGCATGTAGTTTTGATTCCAGATGCCCAAGAGTCAGTGCTGCATTCCACCACTCCGGTCGTTTTTTGTCGATAGCTTTGTCATCTGTGTTGGCAGTAATTGCACTTTCGATGGAAGCGATAACATCCTTGGTATTACGCTGTCGCCCTTGCCACACGTCTGAGCCTTCTGACCACCAGCGGTCACTTAACTTGGCCCATTGCAGAAGCTGTGAGTCGTAGGTGTATGCGACACCAGAAGAGAGTTGTAGCACAGGTGCTCCATTGTGGCGCACAGTGGCAGCTACTACCTTGCTGTCCGGGGCGTGTAGCAAGCAGCCGATGAAAGCGGAAGGGAAGTAGGCCGAGTGCGACTTGACATTGCTACTTCGACGTTAACAAGCGCCAATGGTTAGTGGAGTATATATACTCACATTGACGAAAGTTGCCCAGTAACAGTGAGTAGCAGTAGCGATGTCTTGCAACTGTGAATCATAGAACAAGGTGCATCAAGAGTTATGATGGGCATTATTCTTGAAACCAGCTGCACTAAGTAAAACGACACGACCGTAGGATAAATCTTACCTCCGGCCCGTATGCGAGTACACATTTACTGAACCGTCTTGTGTTGCCACTGCACAGAAAGCCGGAGATGCCGTCAACGCGATTATGGGGGACTGGACATAATCAAGCCATTGTGTCTGTTTGCCGCTCACGAAGGTTACCTCCGATGGACCTGAGATTGGATCAGAAATGTAGTGAATTTATCAAAAGGCAGTACGTACCATCATCTTCAGAATTCTTTCCTTCCAGGACGTCTTCACCACCATCCACCTTTGCGCTCAAGAACGTTAAGACAGGAGGGACAGGCAACAAATCATGCCGTTTCTCGTGTCTCCCTGAAATGATTTCACGTACTGCAACAACCTCCCTAGGTCGGTCGCCTCCTAGAGTTCGAGGTCGAGCGGGACGATCGTCCCCTTCCAACGCCGATGCTTTCCTCTTCCCCCTAGTCGTTCCTGGGGACGATGAAGTACCGATGGCGTCAATGGGGACATCCATGTCCATTGGTCCGCCCATCTCGATATCTGCGTCGAAACCCAGCATACTTGGCGCAGGTGAAGTGGAATGAGAGGGATGACGAGACCTGGGTACGGAATATCGAGACTCGGGTGGAGCAAATGATGGACCTGCACCGTTGGTTGCCCTCGAGGGTTGGTTCACAACAGAGGTAGGTACTTGAGTAGTAACACCATTGACGATGTTATCAGATGTTGACGCTGAAGGTATATCAGACATGAGAAGAGGCTTGACACGTTTTTTGTTGCTTTTCTTAGCGACAAGCCTGTTGATTTGTTCAGTGCCACCGTTGGCGGTGTCAGGTCCAAATTCGGTTTGAGACTGAAGCCGTTCCGTTGTTCGCGACTGAGGGGAAGGCGGTGGGGTAATACGAGACGACGGAACATTATTGTCACCGTAGAAAGTGCCGTGCGAGAAACCCTCTGGTACCGGCGGTGGAACAAATCCAAATTTCTGCAAATATTGTCGCTGTGCTGTGAAGGGTGCTATACCATCCAATTCCTCTGGGTCAAAGTCGAACACCGCGATAGTACCATCAGACGAAGCGGCGTACAGCGTGAGACCATCTCGCGACCTGAGATGAATGAAATCAGAATCAAGTTTTAAAAGACGGGTAGTCAACTGACCAGCTCAGGTCCATGATCTGCCTCTCGAACACTTCCCTTGCAACAATCAGAGGTCGGGCAGATTTTGTCTGCCAGATAGAGATGGATCGGTCATCAGCTCCAAGAGCAACAACGGAACATATGTTCGATGTCACAAGGGGTCCGCTGGGGTTCCGCAAAAATATGTGCGGGTTGTACGCCTAAAGATTACGTGAACTGAAGTCATTCATGGAATGTGATAAGAAAACCCACAGCAACTTCTACCGTATTTTCATGACCAACCAGACTTATTTCAGACGTCCATAAGCCTCGCGTGATAACAGCCGCAATGAAAACGAAGCCCTTATTGTTGGTAGCATTAGATGCAGTGATGTGGGCACCATCTGGAGACCAACTGCGCAAATAAAACCCTTTAAAACGTGCTGCTCGGCTTGTGCGAAACTTACCTCAGTCGGCGGAAGAAGGTGCTACCCGGTGAATCCTCAAATGGCTTTCGGATCTCCGCCTCCAACTCCCAATCAGTTGTCCGCCATATCTTCACAGACTTATCGTCAGACTGAGTAGCCATGAATTCTCCAACAGGGTCAAAGCACACTCCCTTGACGAAGCCATTGTGTTGGTCCAGCTTTCTGATCCGCTTCTGGAATTGGGATATTGCGATATTGGTCAACTAGTTGAAAGTTGAAACAATAGCCCACCTAGCGTGTAGCCACACCAAACAATAACCTTAGAATCGAGTCCGACGGATGCCAGATATCGGTCTTCAGGGAGCCCAAGCAATATCCGTTACGTCTGGATGTACAAGGTTTGCCTCAGAAGAAGTGATACGGCGAGGTACCCTACCGCTTTCAGTGACCAGGTAGTCTTTTCATAGGCTTCCACGCTTCAACGTTGACTTCATTGGAGCCGAAACACTTTGCCCCTGCCAGAGCTGGTACCCAAGGTGAGTTGTATGTCTAGACGCTAACAGTGACGCACGGATCAAGATCCCAGATCATAATAATCTCATCGTCGCTTCCACTTGCAAGCCATCTGCCTGAATGGGCCCACCGAACTGTCAACACAGGGCCAGTATGCATGCTCAGGGTGCACAGAGACTTTGGTGGACGTCCTGAATTCTCCGAGGTAGGCGTTGAGAATTGGTTTCGTACTCCAAATGCGGACCTTGGCATCGAGACCTCCCGTTGCAATCCGTGAGCCATCCGGGTGAACGTGGATGGAAAATACGGACTGTCGCTTGGTATCCTGGTCACTCTTGGAGTTATCTGGACCACCAGGTCAGCACACATTACCTAGAGTATACTCAGAGTATAAAGATATAACCTTTATGTGTAACCCATGCTGGCTTTATGAACCTCATCGTCGCAGACAAGAGGCTATGTAATCCAAATGTAATCCGAGGCTGACACTGGACGCTGCTCCTGCCCCGGTGGCTGTGACCCTTTGTGGAACGCGATCACGTGCAGGTCTGTATGCAAAGAGACCTGTGCGAACTTGGAAGTATATGGACCAGAAGTATCACGATTCACGGCCTGGTGTGAGCCATGCTAATCCTCGACGGTAGAACGGGTTAGCCCTACTACAGGGGTTATTGTGCGGATTGCCAGCGAAGGTCATCATGCATTTCACGTGCAAAAAACGACTCTTCAAACTTCAAACGTCATAACTCTATGGCCTCACTCTGCTGTACAGACTGCCGCTTTCGCCCAGTGCCTGGAACGAAGGGGAAGCTGAGTCTCCTTGTCGCTCGAGGTGCGGCGTGGGCAATCACTTACAGATATCCCGATGCACCGAGGTGCTCGCGGTCTAACACTGGGTCCTTGGTCTGCATGTTGATGTACGACGTTGCAGAGAATGCGGTAATCAAATTCTCATTATTATTTATTCCAGTAACCTTGGGATTGTATACCCCGGGTATATATCACATCTAGCGTTAGCGCCAGCGCGATATGACAGGATGTGACATGGAGTGCGATAATAGGTGAGGTAGGCCCTTTATATCACTGTAGACACCCTGTTGAACCACTTTTCAACCAAGAACGTGACCCTCCTTGTGTGGTATGGACCACGGGAACGTGGGGAACAAAAGGCTATACTTCGGTTTCGGTCGGAGTTTTGCTGAATCGTAGGCCCTAGGCCGATAATGTCAGTGCAAGCCTTATTGCACACCATACGCAGTGCATGTCAAAGGCGATGCTGCTGGACGTTGGTATCGCCAATCGATGGCTCGCACTTCTTCAAATGCTGGGGTGAGTTGCCATTTTATCTGTTCTTTGATCTCAGTCTCCAGAGTCATCGCGAGCTTTCTCTTTCACGGACGGGCCTGCGCCGTCCTATAGACCAACTGGCCCTATACGTAAGTCACACACCGAGCCGCCCAGCTACTCAGCAGCCTCTCTCCTGTCTTCCACAGCTGATTACTACGTAACACGTGGCGCGAACAATATTGTGTCCATTTTGCGACGCGGACACTATAACTGTCCGTAGGTAGACGCAGTGTCATCCTTCTCTCTTGGCGATGAGACAACCTTGCCTTATCTATGCCACCTACGTCATCCTTCGTTCTGTTTGTGTACTGACGAGGTATCTACTGACATTCGTGCCTGAGCTACCCTGTAATGTAGTCACTTAGACCAATTGCAACGTTCTACGATGAACATTGCTGTGCACACATGTCCACACAAACTGCAGACCGTGTGTAGAGGCACCCAAGAACCCACGCGCCCGCTCTCCCATCTCCCACCCCTCCTCACCCATTTTTAAGGGTTCACGCCATTCAGAACATCACCACTAGACTAACGAAATCCTAAGCCGCCCTCCCACAAATAGGAACAGTGTGTCTAAAACGCGTGGTGGGAATGGCGGACTGTGCAAGGGTATGTCCTTGGATCATCAGGGCCAAGCCATCCACACATTAATGAGGTAATGGGGGCCAAGGGCAGCCCTTAGATACCCTTGGATAATCATCAATTCATTCTTTATCTTTTAACGACAGAGCATGGGTTGGTCCACAATCAGATCAATACACCCTTACACTGTCCATCCATTTCCCGCAGCGCGTTCCTCAACGAGTTCTTACTTACAAATTATTGCAACAAGATGGGTATTTCGGGCGGGTTCGGTGAAAACCTCTCGGACTCAACACGGACTCGTCTGCTCATTTGTTCACATAGGTCCTACCCTCGTCGGGGGGTTGGCGTCCGCCATGTACGACTTTGCTTGACCTTGTCACAGTCTCCCCCTCTCACGTCCTTATTTCCCATCAAGGTTATATGGCATAACTACTCTCCAGGTATGTTTTATGTAAACAGAATGTTTCGCCTAGTACTCGACTTACTGGTTGTATAGACTTACGTGTATTACATGCACTACGCAGAGGATGCCTCGGCCATGAAGTTCCTGGTTGCTGTCATATGGTGTGTTAGGTTAATTCGGGACACCCGTCGAATCCGCTCACAGGAAATAAGGATCTTCGATACCCTACATGTCTCGTTCAGTAAGTGTTTCGGAACGTATGAATGAACGAATGGTTAATGGTGGATTAGTGTGTCACATCTTGTATTACTACTTGGTGAAACCGACCTGTCTACATCTGCTAACTGCCATACTCAATCATTCCAGATAACTAGTTACGGTGTTCCAGAGAACTTCGAGTATATTATCTGGTTCGTATACCTTTGTAGTTCAGGATCACTTCGCACTGAGATATGGCAGGTCATTACCGGTATGCGTACCCAATTCTCGCTCAGGCACTGACTCAGTTTAGGATATTTTTCTTGCTTAGGCGTCGATTCTAGTGAATGTACGTTCCATTCACCTCAGAACTATTTGTAAGATATAGCTGTATTGCAGGTGTTTTTGATTTCTATAGTTCAATGGCAAGTGGTTATTTGTTAGGCTTCGATGCTTATAAACTGAATGCCGGTAGCTTCTTCGTGAGTCAAGTATATCACCGTAGGTCCTCCTAAACATTTCTCGAGACTTTCTTGACGGTATCCAGTCTGTCGCCCTCAGGTGAAGTGGTTAGTGACTGCCCCAATTGTGAGTATATTTGCCTGTGGCACCAAAGATATCATCTAGTAACACAGTTGAAATAGATCCTATTAGTGATAGCTCACATTGGTGAGCATCTTTGGTAGGCTCACGAGGCACTTGTAACAGCACTCAACAGGGGTTGATATAGGTTTGTACTTTGCTTCAACCACGAGAGACCCATTCTAACCGACAGGCAGAGACAGTTGTTCTGCAGTAACCTAAGCTATCTGACCGTATTCACAGAAATACTGATGTCCATTCATAGGTTAGCCAAGCACAAGACTAGTGTCCTAGCCCAGATCTCGGTATATCCATTAAGCGAGAAATCGGTGCAATGACTCACAGTCCTACTTGTTTCTAGTTTTCCGGGGGGACACCTGCTTTGGCCATCGTGGCACTAACTGAGGTTCTGATTACAGTGTCGCTCTGCATACTTTTCTATGATGGTGGCTCTGACTCTGCATTCCCAAGGATGACTCCAGCCCATTTCAGCTCAAAAATCGATTCATTGGTAACAAGCTCTACCTTAGGAACGAAGCATCTCATGAACACGCTTATCATCTATGCTGTTAACCGGTGTTTGTTGACTTCGTAGGTTTGATCCCCCTAGCTAGTGACCATGACTTGATTCAGACTTCCTGACCACAGACTAGTCGCCCTTGCAGACCTTGCCGTGGTACGTATGACTTGTTACGTTATGACTACGTCGCCCTCAGTTCCCTCAGACCGTTGAGGTCCGGGATACCTGGTCAATAGGGTTGCAAGTTCGTCGTTGAAAAACGTCAGTCTTCCATGCCCTGTTAGCACACCCCAGCTCACTACTGCATAGTATATGCCAACTCGCTTCTAGCGTCACTGAACTCCCGGGAACACCTTCGATCTCAGGATGCAGGTACACTTTCAGATTTACGCATCAGTGCTGTCCACTTCGCGAACCCTCCGAAGCTTGTGGGGGACGTTGAGAGTTCTAAGAATGGAACAAGCCAGCCCGAGATGACTGTTATTGATACTACCACTGATCCCGCGCTCGATAAGACTCTGGCATTATGTTGTAAGGGAGAGGTGTAATTCCAGTAGTTTCATGCTGCGTCCGTCATCTAGTCTTTTCGCCACAGCATAAAACAGGCATTATCAAATGCCATTTACATGCACGGTGCTCCTCTTCTGTCGTAAGGATAATGAGGGGATTTTCTCCTATCTATTCGAAGCAATGACAACCTAAAGGCAGGTCAGGGAGCGCCCCTGCGAAAATTTTGCAGTACAAAGGATCGACGGATCTACCCAATTTCCAACGTCCGGAGTTCATTGTTTCCAATGCTATCCGCATCCTCGACGCAAGCAGTGATTGTACAATTGGGTGCGACCTTCTTGTACTCGTTATGAGGCAACCGCACCAAGAGAAGTGCATTGAATGGTTGAACCATTCAATGCACTTCTCTTCGGTTGAGCAAGTCACTTGCTCAAGCTGATTTAACAGGCCCCATGTAGTACAGATGTCGTCGCCCGCCAGTATATGAAGAGATCTTGCGGATGGGAGCAGATGAAAATTTTGCGTATGAACCGTCTTTCAGCTCGACTGATAGTGAAAGCTCGAGACGCCTCGAGCCAGATGCACACGTAGCTCGAATGACCGAATGACCAAACACCCTTCGCGTAACCCACTGTACGATACAGGGAGATATAAGCCTGCGGATGAGGAATCTCAGAAATGGCATCGACAGCTTCCGTCCACTCTCAGGAAGGGTGTCACTGGATGGCGGGGCCCCTCGAAGCTAACAGCGGGTAAGGCATCGTTCGGTAAGGCGCGACGCTGCAGGAAGGCAACTATGGAAAGACGATGCTTCCCCGACCCAGTGCAAAACCGAAATATCTCAACGATACCAAAAGAACATCGATCCAATCGCCTCCTGTGACTCGGCACTGCCGTCCTTATCAATGAAGCACGTCTCGCTTCATAGCCACAAGAAACCGTGTTTAAAAGCAAGAAGGCAAAATTCTTTGAAGCTCTGTCAGACCATCTATGCCTCCATGTCATAAACAACTATACGTTGGATATCATGTAGTAGTGGCTCCCCTTACTCCATCTGTGAGATAGCGTAGTATACCCCAAGAAGGCTGTGAGCGTTTCGCGGATTTGAGCTGTTAGTTGACGGTTATCGCACGTAGCAACTGACAGGAGTAGCATACCGTACTGGTGGCTACCCTCAAATGGTGATATCTGCGCGCCTCGACCCAAAAGACACCAGTAAGCGTGTACATCGGTCGCAATGAACTGTTTCTGAGTGAGTCGATGCAGTCTGCATGCCCTGTAAGGGAAGAAGATCAGTGCCGCGCGCATAAGTTTGGTGGCTTCGTCAAGAGCAATGCGAGAGGGGGGATGATCATGGTTTCTCGGTAGAGCGAGTTCTGATGCGGCTCGCCGAAGGTTGATGGAATCTGCCAAGTCTACTACAAAACCCAATTTCCGGAACCATTCTTTAAGGCGATCAGAAATATTGACAAGAGTTGAGGGTCGCTCCCGGTGATCTGATGGCGTGAGTTCTAAAGCAACTCGCCAGAGTGTAATGACTTCATCGAGACCCGCCGTAGCTTTGCGAATCACACAGGAGCGTCGATTTGGGTTATCCGCTGAGTCGACAAGCGGCCACCAGAGTGCTGATCTACCCCGGAACTCTCCTGCCTGACACTCATGAATCTCGTAAAGGCGATCAGCAAGATTGATGGGAACTGACGATCTCTCCGAGTTTCCTGGTGAAGGGAAATCCAATGCACCCGCAATGGCTTTGTCCAAATCTTCTTTTGCACCCGTCGCTCTGAACCACCCATAGACACAATCAGCGAGTTTGACGAGAAACAAGCGATGATCTGGGTGTCCCAAGGGAGTGAGGTCTAGTATGGTTCGCCGTAGAGTAGTAGTCTCATCCAAAGTCCTTCGCTACACCACTCCCTCTGAATGGTTCGTGAGGGCGATTTGCAAGGTTATAAGAGACTGGTTGATTCGTTGATTCGTGAAAGGCGATCATGTAGACATAGGGACTAGCCTCGAAGTGTCAGTTCCATTCATGGATGAGAAGTTAGAGTTGCTTGCCGAACTTACTAACTACCGCTATGTAGTGGCGACAGCGAAGTGTAGCGCTTGCGACGACACTACAAAAGGAGCTTTCCGGAAGGAACTTCGAAATTCCAGGACACCAAGGTCTGTATTTGAGGTAGTTAGGAAAAGCATTCCCGTACGATAAGATACATGGCCCTTTTTATAGTAGAGACAGCAGGCACGCAATATCAGTACGAACGGGTGTGAGTAAGAACTAGGTCAAACAGAGATAAGACACGTAGAAGAAATGTCAAAGGAATATTGAACAAGTGACGCACGGCCGACCACGTCGGTCCGAACCTTACACGCTATCTACTAGAGCACTCCTTACATAAAGTACTCATGCGCCTCGTCGATTGCCTGGCAACTAGCCTTTGACTGTTCTATGTGGCGAACGGAACACCAAATCATCGCTATCGGTTTTCCGGCGAGTCATGGGGAATCGACCGAGTGGATTGGTCGGAAAGTCTGGCGGGATGGTTCATGTTCGCGCAAGTGTTCTAGAAGTCGCAAGAACAAATGAACACGCGAACGGCAATGCCAGCATAGTAGAAGGCATTTTGGACCACGGAGTGGGGAAGTAGATTCAAATTCGGGCCTGGTCACGAGCGGTGATTTCGGAGGTATTCAGAGAGCTGTCGTTACTGATCAAGTTGGTCTAACTGATGCACTTGAAACACAGACCGGTCCTTGTCGGACAATTATCGGAAGATCTAATGTCAAACTGAGGCCGTGATTCGAACGCGGAATCGGCATCAGGCATCAGTATCCGTTGTTTTGTACGTTCGCTGTGCAGAAGCATCACTCTATCATTTCGCTGAGGTTTCCCCTTCAGCACTGCAACCTCGACACAAGAATGCTGCAATCACTGGAAGTCGTTACGATACGTACGTTCATCAATTGATTGTCTCAGGTCACGAGGAGATCCGACGCAAAGAATAAAGCATCAGTAACGCTCACGGACAAAATGAGGACACCAGCGGTGATCGGGTCCCAGCCTCCAAGGCGTAATGCATCTCTCCCTGGCCTGCGCTATTGCTAGTAACCTGGGGTACGTGTGTGAAAAGTAGAGCCAGTCGAGAGCTGCATTTGACAGTCAAACAACCACGCAGGTTGTAGGTGCGTGGCAGGTGGTGCTAGTCAGTGCTAGCCTTCGTGTGCACATCATGGTCTGTAGCACATTTTGCAGGCAATTTCGAGTGTAGAGATCGACAACCCATGGCGAGCATTCGTTACAACGCCAAGAGTGAGTTGGTATTCATATAATCCGTTACTTCATCTCACCGTCCAAAGGGCGGCATTCAGCAATTTCTGCTTCATGGATATGTTTGGAGACCATTGTTTATATGGTTTGTATTTCTTACTTACTACACCCCACGCACCCGGTAATCAGGTGGGATCAATGCATTACGACTTCATACCTTGCCCAATACAGCCGATCCTTTGTAGGCTTTGCTGCGTTCTCCTGATTGTACTATATAATGCATCCTTCGTCCTTTAAAGACAGGACTAAGTTGCTCCACTATCAGCTCGACTCACCCTACAACCTTGGATTACTTCTCAATCGGCGCCCCGTAACGTGTTTCCCAATGTTTTCACCTCATACAAGCTACGCAAACAGTGTGGACATCCCGGGCGGGCTGGGTGCAGACTTTTCATGATTATATGCGGTATTGTTTTCTCATTTGTTCGCAATAGGTTTTGTCCTCATCGGGGGTTTACTCTCAACTATGTACGGCTTTGCTTGACCTGTCATTTCTCATGTCCTTATTTTCCACCAAGGTTTTATGGCATAACTATTCTCCAGGTGTGTTTTAAATGGAACGTTCAGGGCGGGGATCTACTTACCGGCTATATAGACTTATGTGTAATGCATGCATTACTCTGAAGATAGCTTGACCGTGAAGTTCTTGGTTGCTGCCATATGGTGAGTTAAGTTACCTTGGGATACCCATCAAATCAGTTCATGCAAAGTCAGGATCCTCGATACTTTACAGGTTTTGTCCGGTGAGTGCTTGTCGCTTCTAAGTGAGTGCGCGGCTAAGGGATGATTGGTGTGCCATGTCCTGTATTACTACTTCGTAAAACCGATGCATCTACTCCTTGTAATTGACATGCTCAATCGTTGCAGATATCCAGTTATGGCGTTCCCGCAAGTTTGAACTATTCTGTCTGGTTTGCATACCTTCCCATTTCAAAGTTGCTTCACTCTGATGAGTGTGGCAGGTCTTTACCAGTAAGTATACCCAATTTTCTACCATGCACTGACCAAGGGCCTCTTCCCCGCTTAGACGGCGCTTCTGGTGAATGTGTGTTACCCTCATCTTAAATCTGTTGTGACGAGATTAACTATGATTATGCAGGTGTTTGTGGTTGCTGCAGTTCAATGGTAATTGGCTATCTGTTGTGGGTTGGTGCTCACAAACCGAATGGTACTAGCTTCTTTTCACGACAAATATATTGTCGTAGGTCCCATTAAACATGCTCGTTGAGACTTTCTTGACAAGATCCGGTTTGTCGTCCCTGTATAAAGTGGTTAGTGACCGCCCCAATTGTGAGTATATTTGCTTGTGATGACAAAAATATCATTAAATGGCAGGTCATGATAGATAATACTAGTGCTGGTTCATGTCGGTTAGGCTTTTACTGCGCTCACGAAGCATTTCTCATGACACTCAACAGGGTTTAGTGTAGGTATGGGCTTTTCTTTGACCACGAGCGACCTAGTCTAATCAACAAAACGAACAGAGATAGTTGTTCTAATGTACCTCAGGCTGTCCAACCGTGTACGCAGATATACTGATCTCCGTGTATAGGTTCGTCAGCCAGAGGACCAGTACCTTTTCGCAGCTTACGGTAGTCCTGTTGAGAAAGCGATTGGTGCACCGGCTCACTCATTAATCCTAGTTCCGCGCCGCGACACCCTCTTTAACTACTGCTGCACTAGCTGATGTTCTGATTATGGTGTCACTCTGCGTATTTTTCTATGACGGCAGCTCTGGGTCTGCATTCCCAAGGTGACTACAGTCCGCATCATTGATTCATTCCCAACGAAAAATGCTTTAGGACGAAGCGTCTCCTGAACACGCTTATCACTTTATACTGTTAACCGGTGCTTGTTGACTTTGTAAGTTTCAGACCTCTTTCGTTTCTGACTGTGACTTGGTTTTTCATCGTAGACTACTCGTCATAGCAAAGCTCGTCATGGTATGCATGTCTTATTGTAAGACGACTGTGATGTTCTCACCCTTACTTCAGAGTGTTGACCACCAGGATAATTGGACATTGGGGTTGGAATTCATTGTTGGAAAGTGTCAGTCTCTCGCATCTCACATGCAGTGGACATAGCACCCAAGCTGACTATTGAATAGTATACTCCAACTCGCTTCTAGCATCATTGAACTCCTGGGGCCACCTTCGGTCACAGGCTGCAGGTACCCTATCAGATCTACGCATCAGTGCTGTCCACTTCGCGAATCCGCCGAGGCTTCGTCGGGACATTGAGAGTTCTAAGGACAGAGAAAAATGGTGCGACATACCCGAGATGGCTGTTATCGACATTACCACCGATCCCGCGCTCGATAAGACTACAGTGTTGTGAAGAAAGGGGGAGGTGTAATTCTAGTCGCTCTATGCTGGATCTGCCGTTTGGTTAAAGTGGTGTAATGCTAACATGAAATATGCCCTACCTGCAGGCCGCCCCTCTTGCTTTGTGAGGCTACCATAGAGTTATAATTTATGGTAAGTTTCACCCCTGCAGAAGCCAGTAATCCAGTTTTGGTCCGAGAAAGAGCTTCGGTGACAGTTTCTTTGCGGTCGCTGGCCCACAACAGCATGGAATACGCTTATTAATATGTGCAATCCGACTATGATGATCGGCAGCATGAACAAACGCGCAACTATAAAGGAATTGTTGTTTGACGCGAGGATCATTTCATACCTTCTAATTGTATCAAGCCAAGGCGTGATTATTGGGTCCTATCAACAAAATTCTGACATTCAGGCTGAATGCGACATGCAGCAGTATATCTTATGTACGAAGAAGCTAGTAGCATTCAGGTTACTGGTGTCAACCCACAGAAGAGAGTCACCTAAAGTCGGACTGCAATAATCACAAGTAACTGGAATATAGCTAAATATGGTGATAAATGGTTCAAGATGAAACGAGTGCACAATCACCAGAACCGACGCCTAATCAGTGCTATGTAGAAAATGGGGTATGATACTGGGAATGGCCTGCCATATCTCATCAGTGGGAAGCAACTTTGAGATGGACACTATACGAACCAAAGAATACGCTCCAAACTCATCGGAAGGCCATAATCGGTTATCTGGAATGATTGAGCATGACGATCACAAAGAATAGACTTGACAACCTTACCAGGTAGTAACACAAACTAATCGACCATGAGCCATGCATTCACTTATATATGCCAAATACTCACCAGAACGTGTCATGTAGGGTGTCAAGAAACCTCACTTTTTGTGAGCAGATTTGGTCGGAAGCCCAAGGTAGTCTATCTAACTTATCATATGACAGCAACAAGGAACTTCGTAGACACATCCTCAGCATAGTGCATGTAATACACATACACGGCGGAAATCAAACTCCCAATAAGGAACCAGGGTAGAATGAACAGACATGACATGACCGCGTTTGCTTACAAAGGGTCTTCACCGAACCTGATGGGGAATATCCACGTCGTTTGGGTAACTGATATTATGGAACTCGAACTTGCTGGGGGATTGGACTCGAGAAGTGATCGTGCGTGGAGACTCTGAGAGGGCATATCAATCTGACGTACATAGTGGACCAACCCTACCCTACATTTTAGAGGTTGAAGGCTGTGTCAGTATGATTGGGAGAACTTGCATGGCCTCTAGCACTGACATATTTCACTCCTGAGGTGACTAAATCATCGAGATGCCTCAGTACAGCTCTTCCTAGGCCTCGGAGGAAGGCACAACGTATATATCGTCCTCGGGAAGCCTTAGACACAGCCAGAAAATTGCTGAATGTCGAGGGTTCATTTACTTGCGGACTGCAAGCAGCAGAGGGTGCGAACGACTACAAGTTCAAAGCCATATGTCGTGGGAAGAAGTTGTTGTTTCATATCGGGCATAGTTTGTGGTGATGCAAGCTGACTTGGAAGTTAGTATTCGGAGTGTAATTGCGTAAGATGATGGGCAGGCTTGGCGGCTGAGCGCAGCACTGTCCATGGAACAGAAAACGTTGAATGCAGACTCCTCTGGACGTGGTCGTGTTGACACTCCAACAACACCGCCTGCGACATGCATGTGCAAGTACTGTAGAGAGCAGCCACTGACCATGACCTGTTGAGGGGTTCCTCGGTGTAGTATCTGCCGGTTCACCGCCATGACACCATGCTGCCATTCTAGTCTGACGTCCGTCTTCGAACAGCACGTCGCTGTAACGGCGATGCGAAGTTTTCCACTTGCAAACGAAACGACATTAGGAGTTTTCTCAAAGATTACTCGTTTCCAGAAAGAAGAGCATCCCCATCCCAATCAGTCGTCCACCATATTTTCAAACTTGCCATCCGGTTGAGTAGCCATGAACTCTCCAACAGGGTAAAAGCATATGCCCTCAACGAAGCCATTGTGTTGGTCCAGCTTTCGGATGTGCTCTGAAATTGGGTATTATGACGTTGGTCAGCTAGTCGAAAGTTAAAAGCATAGCTTATCTAACGTATAGCCGCACCAAATAATACTCTTAGAATCGAGCCAAACGGATGATATACATCGGTCTTCGGGGAGCCCAAGTAATATCCATTACATCTAGATGTACGGTTTGTATTCGAAGAAGTGAGTCGGTGAGGGTGCCTTAACACTTTCATGACCAGGTAGTCTTTTCGTAGGCTTCTACGCTTCAGTGTTGACTTCATTGGAACTGAATACTTCGTCTCACCAGAGCTGGGACCCGAGGTGAGTTGTATGTCTCGAAGTCGACAGTGGCGTGCGATCAAGACCCCACCAAATCATAATAACCTCGTCGTCGCTCCCACTTGAAAACCGTCCGCTGAACGGGGCCATCGGACAGTTAGCACACGACTCGTGTGCATGCTTAGTGGTGCACAGTGATTTTGGTGGAGGACCTGAATTCTCAGAGGCAGCGTAGTGTGTAGGTTCCGCGCTCCAATCTCGGCCCTTGCTATCAAGAATGACGAGACGCCTCATTGCAATCTATGAGTGCATCTGGGTGACGCCAAGCTTCTGCCTCCGGTGGCTGTAACCCTGTGGAGCACGATCACGTGCACATGGTGCCATAACATCTTGACTATCATGCATTCACTGTGGACCGGAGGGTTTCATTACTTATTCACCCTTTGGTGTGAGTTGGAATGCGGGCCTTGGTTGGGTCAGGTCAGCACTATCCTTCTATTTGCGCGTTGTGCACAGGCGACAGTTGCTGGAGCGTTGGTTTCGCCAATCGATGGAAACCACTTCAGTACCTATTACAACACCGAGGGTGAGTTTCCATTTTCCACGGACACTTTTGGAGTCGGCGTCACTTTCTAATACCCGGTTGGGTCCTGTGGTGCCTGCGCTGTCTAGATCTGAACCGCCAGCCCGCCCATACTTACCCAATCGGTTCGACCGCAAAGCTTGCCCAACATAAAATGGCTTCTTCATCCCATAACACACACTTCACGGACGTGTACAGTGCTTCGCACCCTCGCCGCTTGCAGGTCATAAATGGGGCATAATACAAAATATGAGCTGTGGACATTGAGTATCTTTGTCTACATCTTTGCCGTTCCTGTCCTGTCAGAAGTCATCACTGATCGGATCAAATCACGCAAGCTCTCGCGATCATAATACCAGCCCGGGCTGTGTCCCTTTAATAGCAGGGCGTGACTTCACTTCTCTGGGTACAGTACCTTCGCCACCCTCGATCACTTCTCTATTTACACCCCCTAGCGAGCTCCCTAACGAGCTCCCCAACGAGTTTCCCTCAGACAAATTACCAAAACGACATGGGGATCCCGGACGAGCTTGGTGAAGACATTTTGTAGTGCAAACACAATCTTGTCTGCTCATTTGCTCGTGATAGGCCCTATCCTCATCGGGGGGTTGGTCTCCGCTGCGTATGCATGGCATTGCCTGATTTTGTCACACTTCCTCTCATTTTATGTCAAGGTTATATGGCATAACGACTCTCCAGGGGCGTTTTAAATGGGATATTCAGCCTCGTGCTTTACTTACCGGTTATAGACGTATGTGTATTTCATGCACTATGTTGAGGATGCCTCAATCAAAAAATTCCTGGTTGCTGCTGTGTGGTGAGTTATGTCGCCTTCCGTCAAACGACCTGCTCACGCGATCTCAGGGTTCTCGATACCCTGCATGTCTCGCTCAGTGAGTATTTGGTGCATACAAGTGAATGGATAACTGAGAGCCAATTAGCGTGTCACATCTTGTATTACTACATGGTGAAACTGGCGCATCTACTCTTGTAACAGTCATACTCAATCGTTGCAGATAACCAATTATGGTGTTCCAACGAGTTTGGAGTATAATATCTGGTTCGTGTGCCTTCTATTTTAAAGTTGCATCCTGGTGATGAGATATGCCAGGTCATTAACAGTATGCACACCACAGTTTCCACATTGCATTGATTTAGAATGTTTCGCTCTCTTAGATGTCGTTTCTGGTGAATGTGCGTTTCTTCCATCCCATAATTTTTACGATAAGGTTTAATTGTATTGTAGATATTTATGGTTTGTATAACTCAATTGTAAGTGACTCTCTGTTGTGGAGTTGACATACAAACCAAACGCCACTAGGTTCTTTGCAAACATAATATATTATCGTATGTTTCACTTGACCTACTTCTCGAGACTTCATTGATCGGCATTCAGTTTGTCGCCCTCATGTGAAGTGGTTAGTGACCACCCCAATTGTGAGTATACTTGTTGTTTGCTCGTGATGGGCAGAGTGACGTGGCCGCAATAGATGCTACTAGTTCTAGCTCACTTCGGTGAGTTTTATTATTATTACTACGCTTACGGCGCATATCTAAACCGTATTTCCACAGGGTTTGGCATGGGTTGGTGTTTTTCTTCCACTATGAGAGACTTATTCTAACCAAGAAGCAGAGACAGTTGTTCTGGAGTACTCCAATCTATCCCATCATGTTCACATAAGTACTAATCTCCGTGCATAGGTTCGTAAATAACAGGATCAGTGTCCTCACGCAGATTAAGGTGATTTTGTTAACGGGCACTTTGGTGTACCGGCTCACTAGCCATTATCCCTAGTTTTACGGCGTGACACCCACCGTAGCTACCGTCGTACTCGCTGAGACTCTGATTACGGTGTCACTTTGCATACTTCTGTATGACGGTGGCTCTTACTTTGCATTCCCAGGGTAACTCCAGCCTGCGTCAGTGGTTGATTCCTAACAAACCCTGTTTAGAACGAAGCGTCTCTTGAACACACTTATCATCTATGCTGTTAACCGGTGTTTGCTGACTTTGTAAGTTTGATCCCTCGGTGGTTTGTAACCGTGACTTGATTGAAGCCTTTCATTGCAGACTAGTTGCCATTGCAGAGCTGGTCATGGTACATGTGGCCTATTATACTATGCTTATGTCGCTCTCACACTTCCCTCAGACTGCTAATGAAAAACATGCCTGGTTAATAGGGTTAAACTTCATCATTGGAAAGCGTCCGTCTTCCATACCTTGCATGCGGTGGACATAACACCATCTTACTGTTGAATAGTATATGCCAACTCGCTTCTAGCATCGCTGAATACCCGGCAATATCTTCGATCTCTGGGCTCAGGCATCGAGTCAGCCGAACACGTCGGTGCCATCCACTTCGCGGACCCGGCGAATCTTTCGTGGACAGAGGGGGTTCGAAGGGTGGAGTAAGGCGGTTCGACGTGCACGAGATAACCGCTATCGGCATTAGTGCCGATGTGACACTTGATAATGCGATAGTATTGCGGAGAGGGGGAGTGGTTTGATACTAATAGTAGTTACATCAATCTCCTTGTATGGGTGGCAGACTGGTGTGCCCCAGTGGCTATTGTCCTCTATGCAACGCGATCACGTCCGCATGAGGTTTAGAATTAATCAGATGACGTTCGGCTTTCATGGGATATGAGGTCTCACTATTTATGCTCTGGTTTGGGTCTTGCCGATCCTCGGCAGTCGAACGGGTTAGCCCTGCTGTAGTACAGATATTGCCGACTACTGCGTGTTTCAAGTTTCGAACTTCACTCACAAACCCGCACTCTTCTGTACTTGACTGCTGCATTCACCGTGTCTCACAGAGGTGAAATCGAGATTCTGAGTTGCTCGACCGCACAATGTGAACAGCTCACATGCACCTTCTCATCACTTAAACCTATCCTGATGCCCCGAGGCGTTCATGCTTCCCTCACCGAAGTGTCGGTTCTAGTAGTTACATCCTGCACTCGCCATTCGGTTTGTTCGTCACAAGAGAATGTGATAGTTCCATGTCACCTTTTGTAACGCTGGAGCCTTGAACATGGACAGAGAAGCCCGATGGCATAGGATGGAAATAATTCCCTCAATAATCAAGTGTTCGCAACACGTCTCGGGGAACGCGAAGCCAATCGAGGAGGGCGAGTTCCATCGCTGAGCGCAGGAAGAAACCGTAAGCGACCCCTGGATTTTGCGAGATAGAGAACGTGTGAGGTTATACAACAACAGACTTCCGAGCAGGTAGCAGGACATTACTGAAGTTTGAAGAAGAGACGACTGCCCTGTACAGCAGTAAATGAGAGAGTTACAGCGAGAAGAAATCTTCGGCAGTAGGAGATGGGTAGTAACTTAAAATTCTGGGGTGTGATGTGGTGGGTGAATTGGCGATGGTCACGGCACACAAACTCACACAAGGCGTGTTGCTCGGACGAAGGAAACCAGCTCAAGGCAAGAGGCGATGCCTTGTTTTGTCCGGTCGCACAAAGACATACGTATCTATCGTTGCGACCGTAAGTTTCTCGAGAGAAGGTTGCGGAAATAAGCGAGTGGGACCTGGACGACACCGTAAACCGCGTCCCAGTTGAGCTTCCGTTGTATGCTAGCTGAAAGTGGAGTGCCGCGTGCCGCCCGAAAGACGTCCGAGGATGGCAGGATGGTACCATGGCGGTAAACCACCAGATACTAGACCAAGGAACCCCCCGGTAGGTCACGGTCACTGGTTGCGCTCCTGTTTGCACGTCATAGGCGGCAGGCGACGTTGTTGGAGCGTTGATATGGACATGGCATCAGCAAATCATGAGTTTACTTATCCTTACTTGACAGCTACTTAACATTTGCTTATCATACCAACTGCCTAAGCAGCCATCTGCTTGGATAAGTAGATCCTCCTGCTGGATACTTACTTAGCACTGCTTATTTTTTACTTAATGCATGCTTAGCTTATTAGTTTCTTACTTGAAATAATGTTAGTTCTGTTCTGTCAAGCAGATAAGCAGCAGTGAAGTGCAATTAATATCTGCTAAGCACATGCTAAGTAGCAGTGAAGTAAATTACACAGTGGTAAGATTGAGGGATTGAAAAACATAGACAAACTAGTGATAGCAATTGGGAAGATGTATTAGAGGTCCTGTTGTGGACTCAGTGGATCATATAAGCAGTAGGGAATGAAAACCTACAGATAAGTGCATACTTGTCATCAGATCCTGCATCACTCAACAGCTTGGGGTCAAGTTCTTCTTGCCCTATTGCAAGTGAAGCAAGGGTGAGCTCTACAATGGCTTGAAGCTGAGCAATAGATCTTCTTTTGGCAGCCCCAATAAACTTCCTCATTGGGGCTCCCCAATTCTGGTCTGAAAATGCACACACAGTCTTGCTATCCTTGCCTGAAGCCATGTTGTATTTGATGGGGGTCTGCACAAACCTCATTGCCACTTTGGCAATACCATCTTTGACATTGATGGGGGACTTGAGCTTGATGTCACCAGATCTAATGAGGTTCAAGCCATGTGAGAGCTAAAAAACTAATCAATACTGTAGCTATGAGAATGACTCAATAAATGTTACCACAGCAGCACAAAGTCCAAGAGCACCAACAACACCATGCTTCACCAAAGACAAAGTGTCAAGACTGGGGACTTGAATGTATCCTTTGGTTGCAGTCAAATGGCTGCTCAGCAGCAGCTGTTGCACAAAAACAGAGTGGAAGGCCTTCTCAGGAGCAGTCATGTCAAGGTCTTCATATAAGAATGTGAAATGATTGAGTAATAGTTTTGCAGTGTCAGCAGGCAATGGGTCTTGAGGATTGAGGAAGAAAGCTATGAGTTACACAATGGCCATGGAGGCAAAGCTGTGCCTCCAATCACACAAGTGTTGAGATGTCTATGGTGAACACAGTCAGCTACAGATGAAGTCAGAATGAAATGGACTTCTGACAGAAACCATGGGCAAGCTGGGAAGAATGCTGCCTGCCATGTTCTTGAGTATGGGGTATATGACCAGCATGGTCTCCTGTAGAGCCCCACAAATATCTTGCTTGGTGATGTTGAATGCATCCTCTTGGTTTCCAGCCCATAGGATTAGTGTCAGAATAACTTCCCTCTTCCACTTCTGATCTTTATGCAGATCCAAGGGGAGATCTGAATTGTTGAAATGCACTTGCACAGGGATGGTCTGCACTTGACTTGATGAATTGCTTGCTATGATAGATCTCTTGCTAGTAGATGTGGCTGATAAGCTGGACATAGAGTTGCAAGCTTGTATCTTGATCTTCTTTGGCATGCCCTTTGTAACTGTGATGCACAACTGAAAGAAAATAAAGGATGAAGGAACATGGAGAAGGGTGGTTAGCACATACCTTGGCACAGCATTCTTGTGCCCCAAAACATGGATGGCATCATCTAGATTGCTGCAGTTATCATTGATGCCATTGCCCTCAACATCACAGGTTGAGACATATTCCAACTCAGCTACTTTCCTCTTGACATTGGTGAGTCTGGTGGCAGGATCATTGACCTCACAATCCTTGGCCATTGTGGCAGTGCACTGAGACTACCATTGCATGAATAAAAACTGTTTCAGCATGAAAGATACTCAATGATAACATTTTGAAGAGTGGGGACATCCAAAGCCAGAGGTCTCACTGGCCTGCTAGCTTTGCCATCTTTGTGATCAGGTAGCAAGTCAAAGTTTTCTGGTAGTTGGGATTTGAACTCATAGTTGTATTGGGGATCATTTGGCAGTGGAGAGCTGAGATTGAATACATGGAACTTGACATCGGTAGTACTTGTAGTGAGGGTACTTGTGGATGGAAGTGGTGCAGCTGATGTGCAAGGACTGGCACTGGCACTCAAAGATCATGTAGAGCTTGTGTCAATGATGTTCACCCAATTTTTGACATGCTTAGATAAAGCCAGTTTATTGTCAGAGCTGGCAGTTGTTAGGATGTTTGCAAAGAAAAGAGTTGCCTCAGTTAGGAGGAACATGTTAAGAAGTAAGACACACATCAAACCAGTACTAGCAGTGATGCTATTGTCACATGTTGATGGTGGGGATACTTTGTTGTGAGTGGAGATTATTTTTGAAGGATGCTGTAGGTATCCTCAGTAGTGCAACAAGCTACTGAGGGAACAGTGAATAAACTACTGTAAAATGTGCGCTCTAAGGTGATTATGTAAGCACCCAAACATCGCACCAAAGTGAGCAGAACACAGGGGAGAATATATCTCCAACAATTATCACATCACACAGTGATTTTGCCTTTGCTGCTTTTGTCCCTTTCCCCTTCATCACTACAGGTCCAGCATTGTCTTCCACATCAGCTAGGGGGGTAAGTGGCTCATTCATCCCTACAAAAAAAATCAGCCTCATGTTTTCTTGGTTAAGCATGATAGATACCACCATCACTCTCATTTCTTTGCCTCCCAACAGCATGAGGACAAGGATGAGGACATGGCTTGATGGGCTTAGTGCCAGTGGCAACACCACTTTGGTTGACCTCCATTTCATCCTCAATTTTGCCAATCTGTTGATAACCTCTCTTCAGCACTTCAACCTTTTTGGAAAGGGCTTCCTGGGTGTGTTCATTGTTAGCTTCCTGCTCCATGCTTGTCTGTCTTCTCAGTTGGCTGTCAAGGATGATCCTACTGGGATGCACATTAGCCACCTGGTGCTTTGGGCAACCACTCACAAGTGTCTCCTGTGGGCACTCTGCTTAGAGCCCTCTATGGCCTTAAGCAAGCAGCACTTGCATGGAATAAAGCCCTACATGTGTCACTACTCCACATGGACTACATATGATCAAAAGTGGACACTGGCATCTACATCTATTCATCTAAAGCTGGCATTGTCATTTTCCTCATCTATGTCAACAATGAACTTTTTCTTGGATCAGACAAGTGTCTTCTGAAAGCCAAGAAAGAAGAATTTATGAAGAAATGGGAATCCCATGACTTAGGGGAGGTTAAAGAATATCTTGGAATTCAAATTCACTGAGATTGATTGAAGAAAGTCACAGAAATCTATAGCAAGATCTCAGTCAAGTGCACAAGTGGCAAATGTCTATATTCGCATTACCTATAGCAAGATCTAAGGTAACGACGTGAGCATGAAGTACACAAACATGGGAACAAGACACTATACCCACCTCAGTTGAGTGCATGAGTGGCAAACGTTTGAGGTGGTGTTACTACAGTAACGAGTTAAATATGCTATATGAAACAAAAGGGTGAGACATGGGTGTTGAACCCAGTATTGAAACTACAAGCATGGTCATAGCGTGAGTGCTTGTACCATTAATTATACATATGAAACATTTGGAGACAATAAACCAAAAATTACTGTGCTGTATTGTCAGCGCTCGAAACAACTAAGTACAGTGGTCTTGTAGACCCGTAAATGGGAAGTGTTTCCCATGGTAAGGAAAAGTAGTGTCAATTAGTGAACGAAGGCTATGAGCGACTTGCCAAATCTAACACTCCCCCTCAAGTCGGGCATAGGCCGAGTTCAACTGCAAAATGTTTCACCTTCGGAGACAGTAGCACCTTCGTTAGTGTATCAGCGATCATGTCTGCGGTTGGGCAATATATGAGGTGAATTTTGCCGTTTTCTACGACCCAGTGAATGAAGTGAAAACAGATATTGATGTGTTGGTGTGTGCATGATACTGATGGTCTTTAGTGAGTGTGATGGCTGATTGATTATCAGAAAACAATGTGGTCAGCTTGATGAATGGCTGAAAAAGCTCTCCAATGAGCGACCAAAGCCACAAGGCCTCCTTGGCCATGTGTGTGGCTGCCACGTACTTGCTCTCAGTTGTTGAGAGCGAGATGATTTCCTGTCTTTTAGAAGACCACGACACCGCTCCACCGTCTATTAGAAAAGTGTACCCTGAGACCGCTCTGCAGTCTTCTGCCATGCTGCCATCTGCATCTGTGTACCCGGTCAATGCACTTGGTGATCCCCTGTATGTGAGTTGAAAGCCTTTTGTCCCGAGAAGGTACTGATAAATTCTCTTTACAGCTTCCCAGTGAGCAACTCCAGGGTTGCCCGAGAAATGTGAGATGGTCGTTATGGCATATGAGATGTCGGGACGAGTGGCAAGGGAGGCATACATGAGCGATCCTATGGCTTCACAATAGGGTATGTGGCACATCATAGCAAATTCAGCACCAGTTGATGGCGACTGCCCAGAATGCAGTTTGGTACTGGGTTCCATTGGGTTCGACACAGGCTTGAGCTCGTCGAAGCTGAAGCGTCGTATGATGGACTCGATGTAGGGGCATTGGCACAGGGAGATGGTACGTTTGTCTCTATTTCTGGTTACTTCAATGCCAAGCAGCCAGTGAAGTTCCCCAAGGTCAGTAATCTCAACGTATTTTCTGACATTGTGCTTAAGCTCCTCTATCTCGTTTAGGGATGTTGCGGCGATGGTGCAATCATCAACATGGACGACAATGATGACAAGCTCACTGGTGGTGCATTGTCTGAAATAGACAGCCTGGTCGACCGAGCACTGGGTAAGGCCCAGCTCATCAACGAGGATCTCCACTAATCTTTGGTACCAGTGATGGCCACTCTGCTTCAAACCATACAATGTCTTTCAGAGGTGACAGACTTTATTGGGGTGATTGGTGGATTCGAAGCCTGGGGGCTGTCGCATGTGGATTACTTCGTCATTGGTAAGTGTACCGTTCAGGTATGTGCCTTTGATATCGATCTGATGGAGTTCCAGGTTTGATCACACTGCCATGGCAAGGACGGTTCGAATGGACATGAGCGTTGCAACTGGGGTGAAGGTATCGAAATAATCAACACCTTCGACTTGAGAGAAGCCTTGAGCAACAAGTCAGGCTTTGTACCGTACCACATTTCCAGCAGCGTCTTTCTTTGCGTGGAACACCCATTTGGATCCAACTATGTTGGCACCACGAGGTGCATCAACGAGTTCCCAAGTACCTGCCACGTGTAACATTGCTAACTCTTCTCTTATCCCGGCCTCCCACTGTGGCCAATCTGGCCAATGATGAGCCTCAGCCAGTGAGGTAGGCTCAAGGGCTTTGGACTCAGCAGTGACTTTGTTCATGGCCATAGTGAGGTTGATATTGCAAAGGGCATTGTCGGGATCGTCTATGATGGATGCAAGCAAAGCTGCGGCTCTGTCCTCCCCCTCAAGTCTGGTGGGGTCGGCTTCGTCTTCGACTGTAGTGGGGAGCTGGACTCCTTTTGGTATATTAGGTATACTGCAACCGTTTGTACTGCCTTTACCAGCAAGGATATCAGCAAGTCGTTGGCTAGGCTTTTGAATTCATTTCGTGATGGGTGGTTCAGCTGGGGGTGATGGGGGTGTGGGATGAGCTGGGGTGACATGTGGAGGCATTGGAATTTCTTTTGTCTTTGGGATGGGAGCTGGAGGTGTTAGCATCATGTTCAGTAAGTAGCTGTCTTCTTCCTCCCCCTCATGAGGTAATGACTCAGCTGAGGAGGGATTCCAATATATATTCTTTTCGATGGTAACTGACTTCTTTTCAGGCCAGTACATGCGACAGCCATTGGGGCTGTTATCATTGATCCCAACCCATCGGCCCTCCGCAACATGCCCTCCAAGTTTGGTTCCACCCTCGATTCGTACCCAGATGCTCGAGCCCCACATGCAGGCTTGACTGAGGTCTGGTTTCTTCCCAGTTGTGGCTTCAAGGGGCATCCCACTGTCAAGCGCTCTGGTGGGAGTCCTGTTCTTTAACCAGACGGTGTGGTGCACCGCTTCACCCCATTGAGTGCGAGGCAAGCCACTCTCGTGCAGCATGGCACGGACTTTTTCAAGCAAAGTGCGATTGAGATGCTCAGCAACTCCATTGTGCTGTGGGGTATCGTGTACAGTGAGCTTCTGTTTCATTCCAGCTGCCTTGAGGTACATCACAAATTCTTTTCCGAGGTACTTGCTGCCTTGATCGGAATGGAGGGTCTTCATGCGAGCGTTATGCTGGGTGCAACACCAGGCCTCGAAATCTTTGTAGGCTGTGAAGGCTTCACTCTTCTGGTGAAGGAGATGAATATAGGTGAGTCACGTCTTATCGTCAGTGAAGGAAATGTAGTAATGCTGTCCACCGAGAGTTTCTACGGGTGTGGGTCCCCAGATGTCGCTATGTACTTCTTCAGCAAATTCGCAAGCTCGTTCTCTGATGTGTTCCTTTGCGACAGGCTTCCTGGTTGCCTTCATGTATACACAGGCTTCACAGAAGGTCAGCTCGTCTTTCGACAAGTTGAACTTCAAACCTGATACAAGTCCCTTTTCAGCTAGGTGACAAGCAACGGATGGAGAAATGTGTCCCATCCTATGGTGAAGTTCCATCACAGTTATTGATTCAGCTGCTGTGTTTGCACTGTCACAATCATCATTGTGGACAACGCGATAGAGCCCAGCTTTAGACTTAGGGATGCGACCAACAACATCATTGGCAGGGTTCCTGATGGTACAGGTACCTTCAGTGAAGGTGACGGAGTAGCCTAGCTGGTCAAGGCAGCTGATGGACATG